CATGTCCCATTGCTATTTACATCTGTATTTCTATGATGATACGTGACAATTTCCTGTTTACAGTGACACATTCCCCCTAACCTCTCAAAAGCGTCTCATCCACATATAAATGTTTATGGCGACAAATATATCAGAACGTAGCGACAATAATGTAATTACCTGTCTCAAGCAACACATGTACGATTGCCTTTCTTTAGCGACCCCATTGTGTATATACAATTACCTGTCTACACTGTCGTGTACCCGCAAAGGAATGGCCTTTTTGAAGATGGCGGCGGGTTCAACCACAAAAGGTAGGTGTCCATTTCAAACTTGAATATCTGTTGTTTCTAACGATATTTCGACAACGGCAAAAACTTTTGAAAACATGAAAATATGCAAACAGCACACTACGCCATTACTAACGGTCATCCCCCCCCCCAGAAGTCCTTGTAAATCTATCACAAAATTGGCGAAACCGTTGATTTCGACAGGGAAGCAACACACGCAGTTAAGAATCTTGTCTTGTCCCATTTTAACGTAATGTATATGAGATTTTCTCAGTTGGCATATACATCTAGTGGAAATAGTTTATAACCAGCACGTTATATATGACTAAAACCTCGTGCAATTCAAGAAAAGTGAATATAACCATTTTAGGAATGGTCCCCGACAATTCGGCGATTCGGGAGCAGGATCATTTTAATAAAAACTATATAGGTTCATTAGATGTGTTGTTGGATACACTTATTGAACATATCGCAGTCTACTACACATTAAACGTAGACACTCACTTCGCGTCTACCGGACGGTCGTCTTTAATTGTCCATAGCTGTAAAAAGGACGCAAAGCAATTTTAATGCAAAATAAAGCTGTGGAAGAACTGTCAAAATCTGCTAGTTGAGCCCTTGGTTTGCTGAATTCCAAGGTTTACCGTACTGTGTTTACTAAGCTGTATGAAAGCCACGTGCAGCCATTTCTGTTACATTGTTCTGCTAGCTCGGTCCAGTCTCAGCGAAAAGAAATTAAAAATGTTCTAAATCGAGATATGACGGTGTACGTGGTTGCAACAAAAATACATCGAACGTTGGCGTTACAGCAGATATAGGATGTCAACTACTCTTAGTAAGCAAAAGGACTGAAGATTTCGTCTATATTGCCCAGTTAATTTTATTGATCACGAACGTTTATTATACAAAATTCATGTTAGGTCGAAGCGGAAGCACAATTCGTGGGACGCACAAGCATTTCGGCTGATCGAAACGAGACATTTTGGAATCAGGAGTCAAACCCACTGTCCACACTTTATGTGTCATCCAAAGTAATGTAAGACAATAGGACGAAAGGGACTGGTTCGGCCAACTTTGGGATGATCGTGGTCATATAATACAATAAAGATTTAAAGCTAGGACCCTGTGTTAAACAATATATGCCTAAATCTTACAGCAGTGCTTTAATCAACATTGGATGTGGTAGTTGTCACGAACGCAAGTGTGTGGTAACATATTTTTGTAAGGAAATGGATCACGTGAGTGTAGGCGTGAACGCGTGGGTAAATACGGGTGGTGTGCAACCGGGATGGCTAGAACGACGGCCATGCTTTGTGGTACTGGCTTACCCGTGTTCGGGTTAGTTTCTTGGTCTTAGCATGATATAGAACGGAGCCTAGTGCACTGACTGGGCTTCACGTGATGGGCAGATGGCATGAGCACCACCGAGAGCCATCAAGTGGCGTCAGGACCGACCAGCACTATGTGTCATCAAGGTCAAGGTCAGTTGCTGTAAGGATTGTCACACAGGCTACGCGGGGAGCCCAGGATTGTACCAAGTTTCTGGTTTGACGGCCAGGGTTATTGGACCGAGATTGTTACCCTCATCACCAGAGGAGTTGACCTTCTCTTACCGTTTAAAAACAAAGTAAAACAATTTCTGATGCTACAATCAAAAGGCGAATTTGACAACCCCTTCGTCTACTATTGAGCTCAACCTCCACTTCTTTGCGTCTGGTTGAACGGGTAGTGAGGTTATATTATTGTTCATATTATGTTATATTATTGTTCATATTATATTATTATGTAATACCTCTTCAAATCCCATCCTTTTTCATAAATGCCCTGAAATGTGCCAAAACATTTTATTCACTTTCAGTACTTGTTTTCATATCTTCTATGTAAATGTAATTTTCTTTCAAATGTACTGCTCTGTTTCATTTATAGTTTATGAAAATTAAATAAAGAAAATTAATTTAATCTCATTTCCATGGCTTTACATCCCAACCGGAAGGATTACACCTTAAATGGACCCCATTGGAAATAAGCCTATTTTATAGGCTTTATGGGTAATCCAAGTCCAAAGGCATTTTCATCTGGTTTTATCAGATTTCTCTCTTTTTTATTGATATTTCTAAATTTTCAACTATTTTACTTAGAAGATTTGCAAGCACAGTGTAATTTGATTTCTGCGATACTAGTTTAAACTGTGATATTTTAAGGTATGTGAAATTCTTCTGTGATATCTTATATTTTATAATTAATAATTTTAAGAAATCCACAATAATTTATTACTGATTTTAATTGTTATGGAATTGCTTATGTAATATTTGTAATGTGTAATTTTATTATGCCTTTGCCTGAATAAACATAATAATAATAATAATAACCGTTTATACTACTAGTACGATCTGTGCTAATGGAGATATATTATTCACTATCAACGAATGCTATAATGTGAAGTGGTACAACTACAACCCCTCTTTGCGTGAAGAGACTGCAGGGTCTAACATCACTAGTATAGATAAATGACTGAATGATAGAGCGCGTGAGAACGAGTGTGAACATGTCAGTATTTAGTTGTACTTAACGTAAATAAATTTGTATAAATATATGTAATAATTCTGGTTTTCCTGTGTTTATTTTCCCTTGAATGGTTAACCGAGGCTCGTCCCGCGTTACATTAGTGCTCCTTTAAAGAGAGAGACTGCTGGATGTAATAGACACCCGATGCTTTTACATGAGCGATTTTGCTTCAGTCCTGTACAAACTCGGTGGATACTGAAGTTCATTTCTAATGCGATTGTCCTTTGTAAAGGGAACAAAGACTAAACCTATTTAATCAAATGGAGATGTTGTGTGATACTTTCAAAGATTGTGATGGTAATGAAAATATGTCTATTGATGGACAATCCAGATATCCAATTTTTGGTGCAAATCCGGGTTATAGTATGGTGAATGGTTGGCGGGCGGGTGGGCGGGCGGGCAGGGAAAAGGGGTACCAGTTTTGTAGAATCAATTCCCCCTAGAGTTTTTGACATAGAAGCTTGAAACTTTGTAGGATGTTTATATACATGTTGAGGTGTGCACCTCCTATTATGATGCTTTCCGGGCTTTGGAACTTAGTCATTTTCTGAAACTTTTATTTTTATCACAGTTTCTCAGAAACTACTACAAGAATCTTTCCGAAATTCCACATATAAATCACATTGAGGCCCTAGATGTCCATTGTCTGTTTTTTAAACATCTCCGAATCAAAAATGGCTGCAACTTCTTACTTCAAATGCCCTTCTTCTGCACCAATTCATAAAATACAACCAAAACGTCTCTCTTATAACAAGTATTCTACATACTCAACAAAAGGAACACACTTAATTGTCTTATAAATACCAAATAACATTGCACTCATCCCGCAACCCGGCCAAAAGAGGCTTTGCCCCATTTTTTTACTGTACATTTTATGTTACACAGAAGGAGGCTGTTCTTAAAGCCCCAATATACGTAACATTCACCAAAAATTTAGTGTAGAATTACACATAATTATTGAGATATTCTCTAAGATGTAGTTAAAATAAAGTTATTCAAACAATAGTTACCATGACTTTGTGCATAAAGTATTGATATATGAGCAGTTGAAACTCGCTATTTGTAAACACACCTCCATTTTAAACACGCCGCCATCGAAATTACGATTGTTGTCGAACACGTCGGAAAGTTCATGACCTGATCTCGCGAGAGTTGAGGTTTCTACTTATAGAGGAAGCACATGCAGATATGTCTACGGTAAGTTTTTGTTTACAAACACCGTTTGCGAAGTCTTGAGGTATTCCTGTGATAAATATTCAGTTTTTTGGGAAATTATTAGAAAGAATAATTAGTTTAGAAACGATCCGACGCACAATTATAACGTAAGAATTCAGAACTGGCCTGATGTATAACTGGAAAGAAAGGAAGCGACTGGTGAACGTCTGTACTGTGCCTGCCGTGTTTACACGCGGAATATGCGCATGCGCAATGTTATCGCTACGAGCGGTAATATATGAATTATTGTGGGTCCCACATTATTTATTTTTCGAGTTTTTCAATTTTTATTTAAATTGCAAACAGTCAGTTTTTTTTGTTTAATTAAAGGAAAGTATTTGTTTTGTTACATATATTACGGGGAAAATAAGATAAAGTTTGTTTTTTTTATAGTGATTTTTACGTATATTGGGGCTTTAAAATTCTATATAAGGATTTTTCTACTCATAATAAGTTTGATTTGCTAAGTAGATATATCTTGTTTAATGTTCTTAATTTCTCTTCTCCATTTTTTATTTACGTATGGATTATCATTGAAGATATTTTAAAGGTCGAAAGTGTCCCATAAGTCATTGATGGCTGGATGTTGATATAGTTTTATGTTTAAATTTCTCAGGTACTTGTTTTACTGTTGTATTAACTTTCGCGTTACTCTCTTACGCTGGTATGCAAAGCAGGTTTCCACGAGACCCCTGTCAAATGTAGAATGAAGATTGTTTTGAATGTTAATACATTCCATTAAGAACACGAGTTCCACGGGACAGAACGCAATACGCTCGTCCAGTACCAGAGAAATATTCATGATTAACTGTGTAGAACTGGATATAAATATGAAAATTCTAATATGCTGAGTCAAAAATACGCCCGCCGAAATTTTGACGGTTGCATAAAATGCCTCCATGTGCATTTTAGAGTGCAAGGTAACGGTTTTGGAGAAAAGCAACATATTATTCAAAGTTGTTTTATTAAACTTCCATCAGATTTATGGTTTCTCTGTATCTTTCTTAATTTTGTTCGATTTTGTTCCTGGCAGTGTATTTTGTAAGCGTCGAACTCGCACACACAAATATCGTCAAGCCATCGGACCATCACTTTCTCCCCATTTTCTTCGAGTCCTTGCTGTAGCAATTTCCGACAGTCTTCTAGTGATGTCATGGTGACGATCCAGCGACTTCCAGTACCGACCATCACCCCAGCCCTGATTGACACTGGATCATATTGGATTGAAGCTACTTTGAGTCCGGTTTCTCTCTCGACCCACCTTTTAACTGATGCATGTGAAATGTTGTCCTCGCGGAGACTAAAACACAAAGACAATGGCTGTTCCGTTGGAAAGGACTTCCTCATATACATAGTTGGGAAAATGCGCTTATCGTACCCAACCTTCTGTTTGATGTCGTCAATAAGCGATATGGTTTTGGCACTTACTCTGTGAGCTTCAGCACACCTGAAAATATAACGTATGAAGCTAATTGACTAATATGGAGTTAATCTTGAGTCGGTAAGACACTACCGGCCACTTCAACTGCCTCTTAGCGATTGAAAACCGTAGTGATTATATGTCATCAAATCAACCTAAATCTAAAAAAGTCATCCTCGCCGAAAATATGTTCATTTGAAAATATTGTCAAGTACATCAAGTGAACTAGAAATATTTAGTCATATAATTTTCGTTTAAAATCGTACAAATGGTAGTCACAGTAGATTGGATCAATGGTAGTCACAGTAGATCGTACCAATGGTAGTCACAGTAGATCGTACCAATGGTAGTCACAGTAGATCGTACCAATGGTAGTCACAGTAGATTGGATCAATGGTAGTCACAGTAGATCGTACCAATGGTAGTCACAGTACATCGTACCAAAGGTAGTCACAGTAGATTGTACCAATGGTAGTCACAATAGATCGTACCAATGGTAGTAACAGTAGATCGTACCAATGGTTGTCACAGAAGATCGTACCAATGGTAGTAACAGTAGATCGTACCAATGGTAGTCACAGTAGATCGTACCAATGGTAGTCACAGTAGATCGTACCAATGGTAGTCACAGTAGATTGTACCACTGGTAGTCACAGAAGATCGCACCAAAGGTAGTCAAAGTAGATTGTACCATTGGTAGTCACAGTAGATCGTACCAATGGTAGTCACAGAAGATCGTACCAATGGTAGTAACAGTACATCGTACCAATGGTAGTCACAGAAGATCGTACCAATGGTAGTAACAGTAGATCGTACCAATGGTTGTCACAGAAGATCGTACCAATGGTAGTAACAGTACATCGTACCAATGGTAGTCACAGAAGATCGTACCAATGGTAGTAACAGTACATCGTACCAATGGTAGTCACAGAAGATCGTACCAATGGTAGTAACAGTAGATCGTATCAATGATAGTCACAGTATATTGTACCAATGGTAGTCACAGTAGATCGTACTATCTTACACCATAGTCATGACATTTCAGTAGCCATCCCATCGCGAGTAGAAACTGATGACATTGGCAATATAATTGTATGACATTTTACCTCAATGTGTCTTTGACCTCCTCCATACAGAGAAGAACACGATAATTCCTCCTGGACATGCAATAACAAGTAATCATTAAGCCCCGATCATTAATCTATTCCCTAAACTCTTTACTATATTAATTTTAACACAGACACTTATCAAAAGTCTTGCGATTCATGATTTATCAATAGCATGCCTTAAAATGATCGAGGACTCCGAAGTTATCGTCTGGGTCAAGGAAGTTGAGCTTTAAGTTCATTGTAACGTAGACCGTCAGCATACATGACAAGGGTCAGTAGCTAGCTTGCATAATGGATGTTAGTCAGATGTAGCCGAAATTTTCAGCTCGTTTTAAGGTGATATAACCTGAGCATGGACAAATGCTACTTAAATGCGGAAACATGAACAGTTCCTAGCAATATCTCCCTTGTAACTATAGTTACATAAAACACATTTGTCTTCCCTCCATTTAATATGGTCATAAAAACAAAACAGTTGATGCAGATTGTGCGTGTGCGTGCGCGCGAGTGCGCGTGTGCATGTAGTATGTGTGTAAAGGTAAAATAAAAAAAAATACTATGTTAGAATACACGCATAAGCCTGGTGGATAACATTGGTCTACACTTTAGGATGCAAAACAAATTATACATAACAAGAAAAAAAACAACTTTCAATCCATATCCTGCTAAGCATTATATCCTTTTGTTAGGCGCGAATTTTGCCTTATAACGTGATATTCGGGAGGTATACAGTACTTACTCGTCATCGTCCGAGTGTTGCCCCTCAATGTTCGGCGTACTTCCATGGGGTATATGGAGCCTTATTGTGTGTTGCATGATGGGAGTGCTCGTCCTGTCTGTGGATTCATATTTAGGGACAATAGAATTGGATGGTCTGGTTGACGGAGACACTTTTGACGGTGCTGCGATAAACCTCCTTCGGAAGCCTAGCTCCTCTAAACGCCCGTAGGATTTTTCGTCTACACCATACTGAGCGGGTATGTTCCGATTGTCAGTAGGCGTGTAACTGCCTGTGGCAGTATTTGTGACAGCCATGTCACTCCGTCGCGACAGTAACTTTGTTGGTTTGCTGATAATCTGGGTAATAAAATGTGTTTTGAAAAAAGCTTAAGACAAGTAACAGTTTGAATTATTGTCACATTTTTGGATTAATCAACAATCACTTTGATCATCTTAGCCTCATGAAGAGATTTGCTTTTTGAAAAAAAATCTTAATTACACATTTTCAAATCAATAAACCTGTTAGATATTGAAACATATTTAGCTTTATAACTCCATTCGGTATCACTGAGGTTGTACAGAAAACACACAAGTGAATACCACATTTAATAAAGAATGAGATATAGTGGAGTTAAACAATGCAGTAAACATCATCATACAGCTGTTTCGTCCATCTGTAAGAATGATTGTTATTGGGGAACACCTTCCGTTCAAGGAAAATCCAAAAATTCACCAACGTCCATTTTTAATAATATGCTGTGACTTCTGGAGGACTGGAACCAAGCATCGGACAACAGATGTGCAAAGCTTTGACAGCCTATCAGTCAACCTCGTTTACAATTATCTAAGCATTAGATTCCTGCCAGGACTTGTCTGGGGTACAGTGCCAGTGATTCGGGTTACGTCATGGTTCCATAATTTCATCCCATATAAATTTTAAAAACGTACCAATAAAAAATACTGAAAATTTAATACGATTTGTTCAATTGCAACAATTTGTTGTACTACACGAGCTTTCTGTTGGTATGATCATTAATATTTCGTGTTAATAAGTATATTACCAAGTTATCTGTGATTATGATACCATCTGTGACAAATCGGTTATTTTTGTATAGCTATGCTGTTAACAAAGGCTTAAACTTGTTAAAACCTCTGAGTCAACGTTAGAACGTTTGTATCTCGTGTTCTATTTGTTATGATTTCATCACCAATAATGTCCACTATAGCACACCTAACCCAGAAATCCATCGGTCCAGCACTCGATATCACATATCCAATTCTTTGTCCCTGGAGTTCAATGTACGCGAACCATCTGCCGCATGCAGCCGAGATACTTAATCACTGGCTTGCTTCTAAACCCCGCTATTAGAACCGACACAATATCCCAATATCTACAGTCTTTAACCGCATCGTTGGTTCAGTTGGTAGGACCGTGGAATGATCACGCCGGAGAACCAGATTCGATTCCGGTCGAGACACGAAGCAGAAATGTGCTGTCTTTGTTTTGTTATAATATCCAAGTTAGAAAGTTATCGTATTAATAAAGCTAAACATTACTGTGATTTTTAAATTATTTTTACCTGCGGAGGTGGAGGTTTCTCTTCTGGCAATTCACAGTCAATCGAAGTCGCGGTAAGCATGTCTTCTGTAATATTGTTATTCTGTGATATGATTTGCCAACGGAAGCGTCTGGTCTCCTGATCAAAGAACATGTTGCCTCTGTAACCCTGAAGGATAATTTGCTGTGGTGTAGTCCCTGGACATGCCCTTGGACCTGGTTTGCCCTTTTGGAATGTAGGCATACTTCCAGCTGTTTGTGGTGGCGGTTTATTCATACCTTCAGATTTAGCTGGTTTCAAGTGAGACATTGACGAACAAAGACGTCTTGAAATGATGTGATCGGACCCCTCCGCCGTCTTCAAAATCATTGCTTGGCTTGCAGTGGGCATGGCATGTAAATCTGTTTGTATTACCGGATGTTGTGTATGATTTCGGCTGGAATATGGCTTGGATTTCCCGGTTGTGTGTATTACGTCATAACATTTGACGTAAACATCTATGACGTCATAATTATGAGAAGTTATGTCCCTTGTAAATATAGTTTTGTTACCTTTATCGATGGATGGAAAAATAATCTCGGCTAAAGGTAACTATTTGCTAAGGCATGACTGAAAAGCCAGACCCAGAGTATGTGATTTTTCGATTGTATTTCTACCTGATACTGAACGTGAATAAAAATGTCCACGATATTTTCTTACAACAAATACCATTCCAAGACGAGCTAATGTGTTGAGATAAACATCTATATACATATTTGGTGAAAAATAATTAACAGTATTAAACATTTAACTTATAGATCCAACCTTCCATTTCAACTTAGGCACAGTATGAACTTGCGTAGATCATCGCTTTTTTCTTTTTTTTCTTTATTTCCTTATTCATCATCAGAATATGCATGTGTAAAGTGCAGATGGAATATATTGCGAAAGCCCACGGGAATCACGTGATATTTAGCTGACATACCAATAACTCCCAGCCATATCAATCATCACGCCACTTCCCTGCGGCCACCCCTGAAAGTCTGAATTAGGGCGCATTACATGTACATACTACTTTAGAGAGCAAAGCCGTAGGAAAATAATCGTATTGATATTTCGTAGAAACTTTTTTTTTCTTCAACTGACCAGTAAATTCAGATTTCTATGATGTTTGCAGAAAGTAACATTTTCTCATTCTATGTTGGTCTGCTCTGAAGACATGTGGTGAGCAGACACTTCGTCCAGTAACAGAGACTTTGTCCTTCACTGGGACGCTGTCTGCCTCTTTGATATGAATAATGATTCTATTTATATTAGTGTGTTTCCCGGACTGGTTCGTCGGTAATTAATTATTCATATGAATGTGGATGTGCCAAGAAGTGCTCAAAGTGATAAATGAAAGGCCGCTTGTGACGTCAGTGAAACGGGTACATATTAGTCATATGTCATGGATATTTGACATAAATTACGGAAATGTGTTGTTGTCTAAAACATTATGGTAAGTCGAATTTTATTTTCTTTAAAAAAAAAAAGGAATTTGCAGATTTACATTCAACGCCGCATTGACAGTGCCGGGTGTGTCTGGGACAAAACATTACATTTATAATGTATAATGGTTGTACTGGTTCCTTAATATACATGTTGAAAAGTCCAAAATCAGATCACCCCGGGAACATCAAATTATGTGCTTACAGCTCGTGATTTGGCATTGCTACGACATAACTTGGACATTATCAATACATGATCCCCAAAGGTAGAAATATTATCTATAGATAATGTAAACAAATTAAGATTGCCTCCCCTTGTTAATCAAATTAGTGTTAATTTATTGGAATGCTTTTTAATTCTCAAGTCAAATTTGTCGTGGAATGTATGATAATCAGTTTAGTCCAAATATGTGTAAATTTTATATTTAGATCACGTGGTAGACAATTTCAACACAAAACGTCACGTGCAAATCACGATTTGTGAGACTAAGGTATGGGACCGTTTTCTGTAATATTCTAAACATATTCACATCTATGTGTAATGCTATCTTTAAGATTTGTTTTTATATTTAAGTAATATACTAGTGTTATAAACTAACACAGTGATATAATCCTGAGTATATATTGCCGTCAGTTGTCGTTCTTTACAACAGAAATGTCACTCATTTTATTCACTATAATGAAAGAATTCCACGTCTGAATGAAGATTTTAAATCACAAATATTACATTCTGAAAAATGATCCTTTGAATACAGTAAAGACAAAAGCCATCCGCAATAAAGACATGCAGCATGCTTTTTCAAATTTTTTTCCCCACATTTGACACTTGAATTGAACTAGGTCATTCGACTGAAACAACTTTCAGTATTTAACCCCAGCTGGCTTCTTTCCCGATATCTCGACCCTAGACCGCTTGGTTACCGAGAATAACATGCAAACAGTTAACGGCGATCTTTATAATAAAAAATCCCCAATCCTACCTCACCTCAGGAACAATCCTCACACTATGCTTTCTGATTTCGATATTTGATGTACGTTATTTTACTTCCTTAGCCTCGATCTATATACAACATCCTTTTGTGGACTGTGACGTTGTCCCTATCAGCTGTCTCCGCTGCATACATACGACCTGTCGTTTTTACGAATGGGACCATAGGAGTCGAGGTCATACAAACAGATGACCGAATAGTGATTCCCGGAGACGGCAATAATCCCGACGAAGAAAAAATTGATATGGATGCCTTCGAGTTTCCCCTGACCAAACAGGATGTTGTCTGGTTAGGGTCTTTACTACACCTCCCGGAACAACACGAGGTACGGATTCGAAAGGAATACCGTGCAATGACTGAAGGAGAAAGGCTGAAATTTCATTTGGCACTCAATATTCTCAAAAACGATACGGTGAGTGTTTGAAACACAAAGAATGAAAAGGTGAATTTAAAAGGGCTACTTTGTAATTTGATTCTACAATTTTACGATGGTGGGTAGTGCAGTGCTGATGTATACCCCTGACAATACAATAACGATAGATTGTCCCGGCCAGGGTAGGGGGAGTCAGGGAATAATATTAGTGCTAGTAGTCATAGAAGCAAGATTTCCAAAATTATTAATTTTTCGGTGAAGATTCTAATAGACAGACAAACCATTAATAACATGAGATATGTCATCGTTTATAAAATAAATAGATAAAGGATGGAACATCAACGATTTTATTGGTTGACATGTACACCAACCAACCAGCGCCACCAACAGGACGTTGGATTCCTCAACCTCTGTGTTATCCTTCATTTTGTTTATAAAACGTTTTTCTCAGTCTGCAGGTAATTCCCGGGAAGTCACATGGGGAAAGGATATTTTGTTTATTTTTAAGCCGTACTAACATTGAGTTATCTGTATTATAGTCAGTAAGCCTCAACAAGTATGACCTACTGGCCAACATCCATTCTCGTGCGTCTGCTAATAAAGCTGCGCACGCAGGTCCGGGATTCCTCGGATGGCACAGAGTCTTCCTGCTGATGTAAGTATGCACGACTTTTTCGCAACATCTCTGTCCGGTAAATCCCGTAAAGACTCGGATTTTGATAATTTGGCGAGTTAACTGTTAAATGTCAGGTTCGTTATGAGTTAGACTCGCTAGCAGCGCTTAAATTAATGAAATGCTTTTACGCATTTGTCATCTACTTTGTCTTCCCTTCATGTGAAACTCTAGAATCAGAGGTATTTAAGAAATCATAACTATAAAACCGATTTTAAAATTGATTTCATCCTGTTTACTTAGAAAGAAATTAATGGCAAGTAGCTTCCTGCATGGGTTCAGTTGTGCTTCACGTTCAAGCCAAGAAATATCGAGACTCAAAAATGTCGACCGTTACCATCTAGACTGTTTTCAACCAGATAAGTCGGATATCATTCTCGTGTCAGAGTTGTGGTTTTATGAACTCATCGAATCTTTTTTTGTAAAGTTTTGAGGGAGGGCTAAAAAGGATATATCTGTCTTCATTTTAGTTACATAATAATAACGACTGTTCCTAAACATACCCCACAAAGTCAGTTTAAAAAATTCAATGCAAAACGAAGTAAAGTATATGAATTCGTTGTAGGATGGAGAACGCTCTGCGGCAGGCGTGTCCTAACGTAACAATTCCGTACTGGGACGTCACTCTCGACGGACGAATGGAAAAACCTTATCAGTCGATCATCTGGTCAGATGATTTTCTGGGTTCAGGTCACGGTCAAGTGATCGAAGGTCCTTTCAAGCATTGGGAAACTCAGTTTGGATTCGGCCATCTACAGCGCCTTATCTCGGCGCAAGGGCGCCTAATTTCTGATGCCGATATAATACAGATACTATCTCAGAGACGATTGGGAGATATCAGTTATTTTTCTGCTAGCCAAGAGAGTAATATAGAAGCGCTACACAATAGAGTTCATGTTTGGGTTGGAGGTCAAATGAGGAAAATTGAGATAGGCGCATTCGATCCTATTTTTTACCTTCTCCATTCGTTCGTAGACAAGATATGGGAGGACTTCCGGTCCCATCAAAGGAGAGAAGACGTCGACCCTCAGAGGGATTATCCTCAATTTTACGGAAGAGCTGGTCATGCCCCACTAGCTCCGATGGGTCTTGGCAGTCTCGTTGTTTTAGATGGCCTCAGTGATGTATGGAATCACAGGGTGCAATATCAACCGCGACCTACGTGCAGCGCAACTACCACGCAATCGAGTTGTGACTCTCCGTATTTGAGATGTAACTCAAAATCTCTCTGTGTTTCTATCACTATAACAGATGCCCTGGCATTATCTAGATCAGAACAAGTAAAAGGTGCACCAAAAGAAAATCATACGCCGCCAAAAACAGAAAATCTGCCATTAGACAAAAATACTGACACTTCCGGTATACAGAACAACTCGCACATATTCGATGCTGAACATAAAGCCGAGGATTCATTATTTACGAGTAATCAGTCACTGGACACCGTAAATATAGCCGCTCGTGATTACAACCGCTACATAATTCATTATAACATATACATTGGCGGATTCCACTCTTTACGTCATCAATCACGTCATATCTACCAATACCCATGATTCAACACAATGACGATCGATAGCTTGCAGATGAATTCAAGTTAGACAAAATGCAGCGATATAGTCCTAATTACAGCGTAAATAGATTTATCTAACATTGAGGAGACCATAGAAAATATCCATGTAAGTTTAAACATTCATGGACGTGGTGACACGGAATGTTGTGAGCGGAACTCTTGTTTAAAAAAGAAAAGAAAAAAATACGTCTCATTATTCAACAAATAATCAATTGAGTTTTATAGGCATGATAAGAAAGTTAAGGAAAAGTGCCAGCTATTTAAAGGAAAGTCACAGTCATATATAAATATGTTAATATTACAACTCCATTCCACCATTGTTACTGATATTTTGATGTAGATTGTCTTTTACTGGTGATGTATGGTCCGCAAATAAAATATTTACGAAATCAATAATCTTATTCTGAGATTTATATAAATATGTGGTTACTTATAAATAGGAAAACTGAACCAATGATTAAGGATAGTTTTCGACAGGAAACCGAAAAAAATGTCAAAAATGAAAATCCCTCCCAAAGCTAAAGGCAACAAGAGAGCGCCAGCTTCTGCAAAGTGTACAAAGTTACAGGGTTGTCTTGAAATTTGTGATTTTGCCAATATATATAAAACAAGAGGCCCATTGGGCCTGCATCGCTCACCTGGTATTCAACGTTTCACCAAAAATAGAATCAGTGTTCATATCACAAATATATATTGACATATGTATACCATTTGCATTCAAAGTGGGCACATCCAATCCATTTAAACCAATTTCAACAACAAACAGCTTCTGATACTCACTTCTTAACAGTGACCTGAATTTTAAGTTAAATGCCAGATTTTTATTCTCGAAATTTGCCGGGCTTCTACCTAGAAATACCCTTCCACCAAATACCATGCTTCTAAGACTTTTGGTTTACCAGAAGAAATCTCTTACAGGTTTGAAAAAAAACCTATCAACCAAATATCAAGCTTCTTCGCCATTTTGCTTATTCAAAAGAAGTTGTTTAAAGGTTTTAACAAATTCGATCCCTGTGACGTGGAGTAAGGATTATGGTAAATTATTTTCGCATCCTTTGGCGGAATTCATCATAGAAACTTATCAGCCAAATATACCATGCATTTGCATCGATTGGTTAGAAAAGATAATTTAAAGGTTTTAACAAATTTGACCCTAGTGACATTGAATAAGAGTCAAGATATTTTTTCACAAATATTGTCAGGCTTCATCTAAGGAACCTATCATCCAAACACTATGCTTCTGCGTCTTTTGCTTATAGATAGTAAAAGTTGACGGGCACCAAACACCCTGGTATCCATATACATCACTTTGCTCTTCAGGACAGGTGAGCTAAAAAAGGAGCAATTAAATGACAGAATTGGAAAAGAATGTTTCCTATTTATAAGATTGTTAAAATCCCTATCAGTGTAACTTAGTGGGAAGGTATGGGATTTAAAAGGAATTGGATACTTTGACAAAGCACTTAAGGTTCAATGCATCCATAACAATATCGTACTATCATCTTGATCTGAAGAAATGATTCTTGATATTTCAGGCAATCTGACTGATCAGTCATGTCCCAACAGGATATAGATTTTTATCATCTAACCTAGTTGGCATAGTTTACCAAAACTGATATTCTCCTTTCTAACCTATGGTATCTAGAGAAATAACATTTTAAAATTCTGATTAGTCATCTTATGTCCCTTCATTCAATTAATGGTATTTCTATTTACCGTATCTCACCCTGGAGAAGAGTTTAGAAATTTAAGCCAACTTTCCCTGTTTGTCCACCTCTCAATGCCTTTGAGAATGTGAAAAAATTAATACATGATTTTTTCTTTCTATTGGTCATGGAAGCGTTCTGCAAAATTTCCTTGAAAACAGAGCAGAGATTTTTATGGCGACCAAACAATTTAACCCGTAGCAACAGAAAAAAGACCAATATCATTTCCTTGAATGCAAGCAATCATGATACTGTTGAACTTTAATGACTTCAGGTGTATTGGTTATTGGGAAATAGTTTAAATAATGAACACTAGGGAAATGATGGCCCATGTATCAACATAAGCTTACTTAACCTTCAGTCAAGTGAGTTAAAACAAACACAAAATAGCTTATGCAGCACTTTTATTGTCAGTCATGTGACATGTCTGACTTGAATAGTATGTATTGAGCAGGTAGAGAGCGTACTATATACAACTAGTCATAATTTCTTATCAGTATGCATAAATATACCACATATTTATATCTCAAGCATTGAAGTCATAAATAGGCATAGAGATACTTGTTTGACCTGTAAACTGTTGGCTACATTATGAGTATGGACATCTTGAACATTAACCAGCTAATGTAACAGATAAGTTTGGCTAGAAAGAGTATGATACACAGACCTCAACTTGAAACAACATACATCCATTCTGACACCCAAACACCAGTAATTTTCTTGTGGTCACAGTATTTACCACATATTAAAGTAAAAATTACCATGCAACATATATGTTCGACTAATTCATTAATGTAAAGCAATCAAAAGTAATATTATTATTAATCATAAAGGTATAACCACAAGTCAACAATACTATCCATTGTATTTTTTATGCTCAGGAGTAATGTAAGATCACCTCTGGAGTGATGTGACATTTACCTCTAAAGTGGTGTTGGGTCACCTCTTGAGTGACGTGACGTGACATGACATTCACCTCTGGAGTGATGCAATGTCTGACCATCTCTGGAGTGATGTGATGTCTGACCACATCTGGAGAGATGTGATGTCAAGTCACATTTGGAGTAATGTGATGTCTGGTCACCCCCAGAGTGATGTAGTGTCAGGTCACATCTGGAGTGATGTGATGTCGAGTCACATTTGGAGTGTTGTCTGGTCACCCCCAGAGTGATGAAGTGTCAGGTCACCTCTGGAGTGATGTGATTGAGTTCACCTTTAGAGAGATGTGATGTCTGATCTCATCAGGATCGATGTGATATCATGTCCCCTCTAGAATGATGTGATGTCAAGACACCTCTGGAGTAATGTGATGTCTGGTCACCCCCAGAGTGATGTAGTGTCAGGTCACCTCTGGAGTGATGTGATTGAGTTCAACTTTAGAGAGATGTGATATCATGTCCCCTCTAAAATGATGTGATGTCAAGACACCTAAGCAGTAATGTGATCTCAGGACAATTCCATAGTGAAGTGATGTCAAGTCACTGTAATGTAATATCAGGTCACCATTAGGCACATCACTTCCTCAGTGACATTTGTCATATCACTTCTGGGTGTTGTGATGTCAGGTCACCTTTAGAGTGATGTAATATTTAATCAACTCCAGAGTAATATGATGTCAAGTACCTTTTAGAGTTGGTGATGTTGGGTCTCTTTGAGGGTGATGTGATATCAGGTCACTTCCAGAGCAATTTTCAGAATGATGTAATTTCAAAACCCTGCTACACATTGTCACAGATAAAACTCACCACAGGAGGCAACACAATGCAGAACTTTGGGTTAACATTGAATCTGCCAAATTACACAAGATATTCACATCAGTATAAAAAAAAAATTCATCACATACATTAATTCATTGTTATCACAATAACACAATTTAACTGGCCTTAACATGATCAAGTATAATCAACATAACACACACTTTAAGCATGACATCTTCACTTGTATCATTCACTTGTTCTGACATTTAAAAGCCGATCTCAGACTTAACTTCCAATTATCCAAGCAAACAACAAGTCAACTGTTGGGATCTTGGACCTTTTACTTACGGGAAAAATTGTTTTAAGATTTTAAAATAAATGATCCCTTTGACATTTTTGCCAGGGACATCCACTTGTATCATTCACTTGTTCTGACATTTAAAAGCCGATCTCAGACTTAACTTCCAATTATCCAAGCAAACAACAAGTCAACTGTTGGGATCTTGGACCTTTTACTTACGGGAAAAATTGTTTTAAGATTTTAAAATAAATGATCCCTTTGACATTTTTGCCAGGGACATCCATTTAAACAATCAAGATATCACTTTAGCTCAAAAAAACACAGGTCAACTATCATGATCCTTGGACTTGAGATTATCAAAGATAAGTGAAAATTATAATCATTTGACACTATCAACTTGAACATAAATCATGGCCATTCATCTGAATACCCAGCATGCATCAGGCAAAATGTCATGATCCTAGGTCTTATGGTTAGTGAGAAGTTGTTTGATGACTTAAACACGTCTGATATTTACTCCAGCATGCCATTGGCCCTAATATCAAGGCCCTATATATAACTTGTCTAAAGGAAAAAGATGACACTGACAGGGCACTACACCAAAGCATAAGATCGCTTACCATTCAGGTAAATATTAATGAATAATTACAGGTTGTGAATAAGGCAATGTTTGATGGCAAGGGTAGTAACTGACAATGACTTGTATGAATTAGGCATTAGCTTGGGGGGATGTTATGTAATAAACACCAAAATGTGTTTATTCTCAAAACCTATCATTTTTTTCCTTCACTGGCAATCTATCATAATTTGAATGGATTTTACAAACTGCATATTTGTAAATTGTTGGACCATGTTTACATCATAATTGTCACAGTCAGCCAAAACAATTACAAATAGAAGCATTTTCTCAAGTAAACAGATCCTATACAATACAGTAAAGTTAAAAGTTCTTTTCCTTGATGGATCCAATGTTTCAGTTATACTACAATTTTTAAGCAAACTGGGTGAATATTTTCACAAAGGTCATGAAAGGAGCTATGATTTTTGTTTTCTGTAATAGTCTCTTATATAGTATCTAACTACCTAGCTCTATTTTCCCCCAAATGTTCATCTTCAAAAACAATAGTGATCCTGTTTACAGAGACCTATCAATTACACAAATTAATTTCCCTTCATCAAAACATGCTCATCAAATTGAGACAACATTCAGGCATTCTTACAGAAGAAGGATTTCAATTTTTCCCTCTATTTCCCTTCCTGGCCCCTGCTTCCTGCCCCTCAGGTCCCCGAGAAACGAGAACCAATGTTTATACAAAGTTATTTCCCCTTCTGTAAAGGATGCTTCTAAGGAAATTTGGGCTAAATCCAATCAATGCTTCAAGAGAAGTAGGATTTTCAAGAAAAAGGGAAAAGAACCAATATATAAACAATTTTGGTTCCCCTTCCCTCATGAATGCTTTTGACCAAATTTGGTAAAAACTATTCAGTCATTCATGACCAGTAGTGTGTTAAGGAAAATGTTGATAGACGCTGGACAAATGAATGATACCATACCATGGCATAAGCTCATCATTCCTTTAGACCAGGTGAGCTAAAAAATATGAAAATATCAATACACATTTAAAACACCTTATCTATAATGACCATTCCTATTTGAAATACAAACAATTACTAACATGAGAATGACTCTGAGGCTGGTCAACATTTCATCACAATAATGTTTTTACTGTACAATACCAACTTTTAAGAAACTTAATAACAAAAATATTTTTGAACAATATTTCTGCACAGTATAAGCACTAATGTTTTCTGTACATATTTGTATTGTAACACATAGATCAGCCAAAAAGGACTTTTGGGTTATATTTATATATTTAACAGCCATAATATACTTACCTTAAGAAGTTAACACCAATAACACCATTCATTGTTCACTATGAGAACAGGTATGAATACAATCACTTACCTATATTGTGGAAATATATCAATGCTAAATCTATAACAAATTGTTTGTACCGTTTCTTATCAAAAACAATTTTCAGATGTACAAATTCAATGATTTTAGGTACATTATCTGTAACTATCTAACAAATGCCAGATCTGATTTCACACACTATGACAGCTGAACACATACTTGTAAGATTTCCCCTTGATGCTCTTTTGAACATATACCACACACACAGCTGGGGTGAGAACATAGCCACACACACAGAGCAATCAACTCGACAAATAACCCAGGTGAGAACATTCTCACTTATGCAGGGCAATCCACTGGCCATATACCCGAGGTGAGAACACCCTCACTCATAATGGTCAATCCAGTGGGCATATATACCTGCAAAGAGATCATCCTCATACACACTGGGTAATCAAGTGGGCATATGTTTGAGGTGAAAGCGTCACCCTCACTCCCTTCTCTTCACACACATCTACACAAAACTCTATTGACGCATTTACTAAGGGTTCATCTTTTCCTTAAACCCACATTAAGCAATGTTGTATACAAACACACTCATAGCCAATATATCCCTAACAACAGTACAATTTCATAAAAAATATCCTGGTAGTAATATTCCACTTTAAAAACACAGAAGAAATATTCTGCATTTAGAAAAAGAAGCGAGTTCATGGTAAAAGATTGTTTCTTTTTTTAAATAGCACTGTCATGTTTGTATCCAAACTATCTGGTTCAACTGTGTTATTCAAAATTTAGTACTATAAATATAAGAAGCAAAGTTTTAATAGCAAATCTTAAAAAGAAATATCTTCAAATGGACACTACACATAGATGTAGGTACTAGGTTAAACTTGAACTGTCCAAGTCGAACTGAACACCACATTTACTTGTTCCATTCAAATTTTCAGTCTCTAACTCTGAACCGTCTCTCAATTCTAGTTCCTGTGCACTGAGAAGTTCCTCTGTCACCTCTGTATTTTGACGTACAAATAGCGTTATGCCAGCCTTGTATGCCGCAGGGATGGTGATGTGTGAGGTGAGCTGGGCACGGTGTCGAGGTATCTGGTGTGACAGCGCAGTACAAGCTTCACGCAGAACATTCACTACTTGACCTGAAAACAAAGTCAAGAATTTTTTTTCATCTTGTATGGATAATGAAGCTAGTCAGAAATATTTAAACTGTTAAAAGTCCCTGAAATCTTTATTTTCGTCTCTTGATTTTTTGTTCTCTGTTTCTCTGAAATATTGAAAGCTACAATCCCATCCTCATTTCACTTCAGTATTTAAAATTTTGTTTGACGTTTTGTTATTATTTCATATGGATGATGAAATTTGCCAGAAATATCTAAATTGAGTTAAAATCTGATTGTGTCTTCATTCTAGACTTCTTGTTTCCTCAAAAACACCTCAATCTAGCTAACATGTTTTTACACTTTATTTCTATGTTACCACACAAATCTAATTTGACTGATTCCAGATCAAGAAAGAATTAAACTTACCAAGCACATTCCATGTTTGCCAGCGTGTATCTCTCTGTTTGAGAAAATCATTAAGTGGAGCCCAGTCCCTGAACCGATTAACAACATCTTGTCGTCTCACCAACAGAACTGAGTCACTAGTCAACTGCTCCATAACTGTCTCTGCGGGTACAATCTCCAGAGGATTTGTCAGATACACTCCTGTAAACGTAAGAGGCCCAGAATAAGCAACACATTACTTAAACCCACCTGTTTACGATGAGGGTGCTTTTGCTTGAACCAGAGAGTCAATCCAGGTTGCATGTTAGTAAACAATCACACCTGCACTGATGTTGAAATTGTTATATCTAAAGCTCAAAATGCACAGTTTCTGAATTTCCTATTAAATACAAAATATGTCCCATATTAACCTGTACTAAATATCATATCTTTCCCAGATCATTAAAAAATTCTGAAAAATTTATGATATTCTGCTAGTTACTTTTCTGAACATGAGAAGGTTCCACTTGCAAGACTTGTCCTGATCTATACCTCCTTCTGGTTCAAAAGGTCCAACCATTCCAACCGTTTGCACCAAAGTCACCTAACTCTCAATGATGCATAAACTAGGACATTTTATAAATTTCAATTTTCGAAATCAAAAGAGAATTATAGGAAGGGTTTTTTTTTCTGAAATTGTGATATAAAGTTTTGCTGATTTGGTCAGTATTACCTTTAGAGCTTACACCATACACCATCTGGTGATGCCAGGCATCTGGTATTGTCCATCCTGGCTTTACTCCACGCTGAAGGTTTAGAGTGGCAATTGGAACTGCACCTGGGATATCGAGATAAGTGTTATATGATACTTCAGATTAGTTTTCACTGATATTATATATGTATATATATATATTTCAGAACTTGCATGAAGTACATGTAGTCATGACACAGTTGTCTCCCTTGAACTCCTCAAGTATATACACGGTGCCATGTTAAAGGATAATCTATCTGGCAGTCTGTATATTTCAATGTTTCATCGATATTTTAACCTTAGAGTTTATTTTCTTCTGCTGACTTAGGAAAGGCACTAATACCATTCATGGACAAGCATCAGATTAAATAGGATACAGAGATAATTGTGTGTGAAACTGAACAGATATAGTCAGGACATTACAGTTGTTCTAAGCTGGGACTCCTACCAACACTATGATGGATCTTTTCTTTTCTGATTATTACACAGACTTCAGTGGCAAATCAACATAAAATCAGTAATATCTGATAAAAAAATTAGTGAAAGAATGTGATTTCATATACCATCCCCTACCACTGTATAAACAGTTGCCGACTGCAGCTGTGTTTTTTCTAGACTGGTTCAAAACATTCTCAAACACCTAAAATTAAAGAGATTACCTTTTTTCATCCAGTAACCAAGCCATTTGAGGAGCTCCACTTTGCGAGGCGGATAAAAATTGAAAAAGCGACCCCGTATAGCTCCCTTAGTTAGCTTTTCTACTCCCTCCAGTAGATTCTCAGCTGTTGTGCCTGGAATATAACACATTTTATCTCATTTCTGCTCTATTAAACGACAGGATCTGTAGGTCATAAGATCTGTGTATTACCTTAATTATTGGTCACCACATGATGACAAGATAAGCAGAGTCATGTCATGATATCACTCTGAAGTCATCATGACATCAATGACAACTGGGTAAAGAAGAAATACTTTTTACATTGACAAACATATAATAAATAATATGATTAGAGTATTTAAGTTCAATTATCAATAAGATACGAAAACAAACATGACTAACTTCAACATATTCAAATGAAATGAATTCATCCACAATGCTGTATTTAATACCAAAACTGTGATATTGATAACCATGATGCTGACTTTTTCCTCCCCTTACACGAAATGCGGTCATATGGACAAAGATTATCGCCTCATTGAAATAATGAGATATAAAAGTATCATAAACTTTTAAAAAAGGTCTGCCATTAATCTTTCTAGTAACATTTAAACATAAATCAGACCTCACTCATAAACAATATGGTTCTATAATGTGTTTTCATTGCTTTGACACCTATACTTCTATTTACCTGCGGCAGACCTAGAGAAGAGGTAGTACGGTATTGGTGCCCCCTCCATCCTTAAATTGGCCAGAATTTGCTTACAGATCTCATCCTTGTCTACTTGGTAATCAAATGCTTTCTGTAAAGTAAAACAAAATTAACGTAAAATTAATAAGTTAAAGATGGCAGTCAGTCTGAGAAAGGAATTTCACATGCACTATATAAGATTATTATATGCTGAGTAGCACTTGACTTTTATACGTGTAAAGTATCAATATGAACAATAAAGTTTGCTACCTTGGGAAACCATAACAATAACATTTACTTTATTTCAAGGTTCAAATTTTTGCACTTATCAAAACATTTAATTAGAAAAGTTGCATAATTCATGGGGGGTCCTTTCCTGTGATCATTTTCAAAGAATCAATTTTTTGTAATTTTATTCTATCCTCGAATAAAAAACGTAATCTCAAAATTTTTTTTTTCAAATTCAAAATTTTTATCCATCGTGTAATATTGATAGAAGGATTAGGAAAAGTCAATATTGTGCAAACAGGAGAAGTATTCACTGGTGCACAGAATGAATACAGAAAACTTGTGAATATAAACATGAACTCACCATTACATTAAGTACAGCTGTCGGACCACAAGCTGTTGTTCCAATCTGTTTCACTTGCAAGACATATGCCTCATACTCATTCCAGATCATTACCTTTTCCACATGGCAGTGAGGCTTGTTACCTCGTCGACGTCGCTGTTCATACTTTGGTAAAACCTAAAAAAGTTCAGAAGTTTGAATCATAAAAAAACAATTAAAACTTCAGTGTATAGTATATAACATATTTCATAAATACAATAGAACTGATACCAGGGTTACTCAAAAATGTTACTCATAAACAAGACATTACCTATATAAGACATATTATCTTTGTAATACATTCCCTATCCAGTCCAAATGTTGATATGAATGCAATATCGAAATGGTGATTTTGAATTTGAAAAAGAATTATTCTTTGACAAATCCTGGAAAAATGAAGTCAGTAGAATGATGCTACCAATTTTGGAAATGATATACCAACTGCACATGAACTTTCTACAAAGAATGGCATCACCTATGAACAGTGGCTCTAGACACTCAGTACGACATACCTGGGACACATTGTCGGTAGATTTTGTGACTTCCTCCTTGACAACATGTAGACTGTTATCACCTGTCAACAGTGGCTCTAGACATTCTATTTCCTCATAGATTGGCTCATCAGAACTCTCCCTACAATCAGTTACACTTTGAATTAGATGTAGAATCATATGTTACATACAGTTGATGGGATCTTTATTATTAGTCAACATGTGTATATATCTTCAGACAATATATGTTAGACATGAATGCACTCACTCTCAAGGCCATAAAAACAATTGTTGTGGCTTAGGACTACAGATTCTTGGGAAATGAAATTAATCATTATCGTAAATAGCAGTGAAGGACCCAGAGGACAAGCACATGACAGGTCCCACCCTTTTCATGATTAATCCAGGCCCCGGCATTTTTTGAGGAATTTTTCTTTCTCATATATGTTAAGTATTTTTTCATTGAGTTGTGATCAGTGTAATATGCTTAAAGGCTACCCAATCTAAAAATCATGGTTCTGCTACTGAGTTTATGGAAGCATGCATTTATAATGGAAACTTTTATCTTATATTAGAAATTTCAATATATGACCATACTGAAAGGTATTCTTGTATTTAACTTTAAATTTTACATTGATAGTGTATGTTCAAAATCTTTTAAAAATTTGTCAGCTGTAATGATAATGTTAATTCAATTGAATACTTTTATATAATAATATTAACTATGACCTCAAGTTCTTGACCCCTAGAAAGAAAATCAAGGATCATCATGACCTTAACTGCTTGAAATACTAACAACATGAATAGATGTTATTAAATGCACTGTATTTTCTGGATTATAAGCTGCACTTTTTTTCCATGGGAGTTGGTTGTAAAATCTGTAAAAATTGGCTCTGTGGCTTTTATATCGGTGTAGCTTGTAACCCAGAAAATATGTTAGTTTCCTGAATGAATCCTATATATAAAGTTATTTATGGATACCAACACTAACATCATTCAAAGCCAGTTAAAGGCATTCTAATAACATATACTACTAAATTTTAATTGTCCTGTCTCTCCTTGAGTTAGAAACTATGTGTCGGCCCATTGGCAAATCCAGGATAAAAAGTTTTGAATAAGAGAAGCAGTTGTCCTGTTCTTGATATTACATATGTTAAACCAAGTCTATCATAATTTGAAAGAAAGTCCTACTTTCTATCACTTCTAATATAGAATGCTGTCTCAGCTCAGACTGTGGCAATTCAAAGTGATACATATTACAACTAAAGAAAATTAAGAAATACCGGTAATCAATTTATCTCCGAAAAGTAAATTATGAAAATTGACTTTCATACAGGGTTATATATCTTATAAATAATCTTATTTTATAATAAATTGATCAAAACCTGTGTAGTGACAAACCAACATAAAACATTTATAAAAAAATTGATCATACCCTGAAGATTCCTCAAGTTTAGGTGGCAGTTGCATGATGACAGCATTTTGTAGTGCATGAGTGAGATTCTCTAGGTCCCCCATGTACATGCATTCAGTGTTGCTATTTTGGGGTGCACGATCCTCATCACCCTCAAGGTTTGCAGTCACATCTTTCATAAAACTATGAGAGACATTCTCCTCCTCATCAGAAGACCCTGATGATAACCTGTTCTCCCTATCCAGAGCAGCTTTGTAGAATATCTTTTCACGACGATTACTGGCAGAGTTCTGAAAATTTGCACCGGGTACCTTTTCTTGCTTGCATATATCTGGATTGCAATAGGCGTGAAAGTTTTCATTATCAACCTGGAGGTGTGGATCATACCTCTCCATGTTATTGTCAAAGTCTTCAAAGTCTGTACAACATCGGTCATAGTTCAGATTGTTGGTGAGGGATACAGCACCCTCAGCCATCATGTCCTCGCAGCTGTTGGCCAAAGATGCCTGATGAACGCCATCACAATTACTGGGATAACAACGTTCATCAGACAAAAACGGGGTGAGAATCTCTGCATCCCTGACAAAGGAAAATGATTGGTGAAGTCCTGCAGACCCTGGAAGATCAGAGTCAACAAATTCTAGAAAGTCTGCTTCAGGTGAGTACACCACAGATGAGTCAGAACCCATATGACCTCCAACCTCACTTCCACTTTCACTTTTACCTGTACAACTGCCCAACCTTGGCAGTGGTTTGGTTGGTTTGATTGCACAGTCATGATCATTGTCTTTTAAACAGGCATGATTGGACAATCTATCACAGAGCTTCAAATCACTTGCAGAATCATCTAAAAATAGAACTCTACTTTCACTTTCATCTTCCCTGTGTCCATTTGATTTCCTTTCGTGAAATTGCAAAGGCTCATGTGGGAGAACAGGTAGTTCATTTCTATCTTCCTCGCGTTCTGAATAATCTGGGATCCGAGGTTCTGCATTAACCCCATACCCCTCGTCCTCATCAGATGAGGTTGAGGAAGAGCTTGCAGAGCTACAGGCAAACAGTAGGCGGCTGGCTTGAGATGGAAAATCTGTGTCAATGTAGTCACCTATCTCATCTAAGCTGTCATTACTAGCAGGCCGTGGAAGCTGTTGAATTTGTGCATTTGGTAAGAACGGCATAATTGGTGATCTCATTTCTGCTTCACGTTTTGGCATGTTTTCTTCACATGAAATATTGTTTATTTCTAAAACCTGTGAAGCAATTTGATCTTGACTAGCATGGGACTGGGAATATCTATACATATTATTATTATCTAAAGAAAAGTCAAGATTATCACAGTGAAAATCATTAGGGTTAAAATTAGAATCAGACCCACTTGACAGAGAAGATCCTCCACTGTCCTCTGGCACTGCAAGTGGTGCTAGAATACAATCACTTCTCACCATCATTACTGGATCAAATGGAGGGCATGTCCCACTTTCTGAGGAGGAGGACTTTGACCCATAGCTGTCTGTACTTTCATTACTCAATACAGTTCCATTAACTATGCACTCAGTTTTGGAGTTGTATCTTGAATTACTACCACACGACAATGGTCTTGTTTGTTCCTGTTTTGTTTCACAGATAAGATGGAAATTCCAATCAGTTCCTCCACCACTTGAAGACTTTTGTATCTGTGATTTGGAATCCTCTGCAGACACCGAAACAATATCATCGAGATCTTCCTCGGAGCTAGAGTACATTTCTGGGTATAAATATGCTTCTCCGCGACTTTGGCCTCGAATATTGTTTTGCTTTCGATTTCTCTCCTTTTTATCCTTTCTCTGTTTGACCAATCGACTCCAAGAAATAGTTTTAGGCCGAACTGCTTGGCAGGCCTTTGACCCCTGATCCTCCATTCCACCATTACCAATGATGAATCCATTGGGTGTTCTAATATCATCAGAACTCCCAAATGTACAACCAGTTCCAATACTGTTCCCCATGGCTTCACCAGCCATGGAATCTACTTCACCATTGCAGATTACTTTGATTTTTTCATTTCTAGAATTGAAACTCTCATTTCCATTTGATCGGAGGCTTGGAATATCAAAATCTGTGTAAATTTGATCATTATGACAATCTGTTACTACAGCTGGTGGAAGTGTAGATGTAGGACTACTTTCTGTTTGGGTAACATTGTTGTTGAGTTGAGAGTTGTTGTTATCAGGTTGTTTTGTAGCACCATCGGCACCTACATCAGTACCTGCAACTGTCATTGTTTTTCTTCTTGCATCATTGCCTTGCTTCACCTGTACTGTTAACTCTAATGCAGGCACAACTACCGGCACACTGCACTTTACCTCTTCAGATTCAATGGCTATAGCTGATACATGGCTGGTCTCTCCAGTCGCCATCTATTCTGTAGCTAGAAAAACATTAACAAGTTTTACAGAAATATTGATAGCATGATAACGCCTTATGTCTACACTTCAATAAAATGTTATTCCATTCTATATTACTCTATATGTATGTGATAGATATCTTTTGACAGTCAAGTTACCCAGGTCATTGCGATTTGCCACCATAAATATCTTAATTTACCATATTTGGAAACAAAAAATATTGTCTTTTTATGCCTAAAAGTTACTCTATCAAATGTAACATTTTGTACCTTTTCTAAACCTTTTATTGCAATTATCAAGGAAGTACCTTGTTTACTTACCTACCATCCTTAATATTTAAACAAATAACAGGAAACAAACATATGTTTAGCCGTACCAAAATCACGAAACAATTTATATCAACATCCATTTATCAAAAACAATGTACTATGTTATTACTGAATTAGGTTGAAAGCTTCAGTTAACTGTCAATCATGCTTGTCTATGTTTAACTGCCATATGCACATACCTGCTAACTTTCCTGATTCAGACAGGAGTTTCCTGATTTTCACTCCCCATCCCCGCCTCCCTATCATATGGATCAAAATTGGGGTAATCTCCCGATTTCTGAGATCCCACTAGGTAGGCCATAGGTAACCTTGCTATGTTTGTCAAATTGGTAAGATTGACCACCTGGCCACATAATCAAGGGTAGCTATGTGAGTACATTGCCCAATTATCTAATTAGTGTCACCCAATTCCACTTAATTCTAATTGACTGCTACGGTTTAGAGCACTCTTCTACTTGATCAATTGTTCCCTACCTGATTAACGATAGACCATTGGTCAGGACTCAGGAGTGGGCCCTGGTAAATGTTTGGTTAAGATGATGTCATTTTACAGACAACTAAGTAGTTATTACCATGTTTATACTACCTGCGTGGTCAAATAACAAATTCAACAAGAAAATTATTTGAGAAACGATCTTTATGAATGTATTTCACAGTAAATTCAAAAATTCAAATATGATGGACCATTATTACAAGATTAAAAGATTTTGAATTTTATGAATGAATTTATTTCATTTATCCTTTTTTGCTTCTCTCTATTTTAATAAAAAAGACAGCTTAAAAATTCATGAGATGATTCATATTATTTCTTCCTTATTTCCATTAAACAAATTCTTTCAGAAGCATCATATTTGGAAATACATATCCTTACTAACATCCAAACACATAATCACCAATCTTAATTTCTGTTATGTTGTATGAGTTCAATGAATACTGAGAATTTAAATGAATAAATTCCAACTTGAACCTTACTTGCGGAAAATGCAGATATTTTTTCATTATTATTGTATATTAAAGCATGCACTTAATCAATTTAAAGTTATCTAGATTTATTAATTAAATATACATTGGAGTCAAAAATGTCTTTCACACACTGAGAATTTTGAAAAGTTGGCAGATATGTATGCATCAGTGAATTTTGGGTAAGGACACATGTTCATCAAATTTTGGAAATGGTGTTCTGGACTCAACTGGATAAAAAAAATCCCACTGATGTATCTGGTTTTAACAGCTGAATCCCTCCCAAGATGCAGCCATTTTTACTTAAGTAACAGTTGACTGAGAACAGTCCTCCATAACCAAACACACCACTATCTATGCCACACTTGAACAATCAAATTTCAACACAAAATGGTTACTGTGATCAGAAGATTTGTACACGCTTCATTCAGTGGATTTAGACATGGGATGAAAACTGGTATACTAAGGCATACTTCTGATGGAGAGTTTTAATACAATCATAATACCCAGTGATGGATGTGATGTTCTAAACCAACAACAGTTCAACATAATACCAACTGAATTGGAAAATTTGACTTATGATTTTTCTGTGAGGCTCATTCACATTTCGCGAACAAACTTTCATACGACTTACCAATATTTTTGTAAATGATGCCGAGAGCTCTGGCCTCGACTGTGCGAGACAAAATCAATTATGTGACTCCAAACAAGTACAAATGACTCATTGGACAGTGATTCCACTAGTCTATTTTTTCATCAAAATGTCTCATCGACGAATACATCTGCTATAGCAGTACATTCCATTAAAAATCGGATCGTTCAAGGACTGTAAATTAGCCTCTCTTAAAAAATCTAACAAAATTTAAGAAAAAATGACTATCATTAAGAACGGTTTTTCAAATTACATGTTATATTACAGTCCATTAGATATTCCAACGAAATATTGGAAACAACTTTAAACTTACCTTTATGATAAATAAGGCTAACACAGAAGAAAGATAGGACGAATTTGGAGTTTTTGGTGTCATTCCCAAGGTCCAAACTTTCTTCCGCCATATTGCTTGATGGGTTTTAGTTCGGATTTTCTCGTATATTGTTATCTAGAATAATGATATCGTCAGAGAAGTTCCGAAGTAATAAATTTCAGGAATCTTTGCAACCAGCCAATCAAAACTGTCCTTACATCAGTGTACACAAAAGGTGATTAATGGAAAAATGGCTGCTGGCGTGAAGTTATAGAAGAGGACAGGAAAGATTTTTTTGATTATTTTGCTATGTTAACAAATTTATAAATCTGCCAGTGATCTCATATTGAAGTTTACCTTGAGTACACGAGATGGGTACGTTAAAGTTTTATCTTCGATCACTGATATTAATGTAGTTACTATTTTATACTTACGATGCACCGAAAATCATGAAACATTGATGTCTGTATTGAAACTGTCACCGACTAAAACTCGCATTTAAAAAATGTACATTTGATCATTTTGTCTTTCTTAACTTTACCATGAGATATAAAATATTTATGAACTGGACATGCCATTTGTTTCATTACATTTGGCAGTCAAGTCTCCTACATACACCGATCAGGTCGCGATACGTTGTTTTATAGCTATAAGATAATAACTATTCATCGGTAAAATAGGTCTTTATGGCGAAACAGACTTGGTAAAAAGCAGCTTAAATAAAATGAATCTGTTGTTATCTGTGCAATAAAGTATGAATTTGTGACTACTTTCCCCATGAATATTGGTTCGAGGCGCAATGACAGCAGTAGACTCGCATTTATTAGGCTTTTTATTGGTATATACATTTATACCGATTATGCTCATTTCAGAGACAGAACAGAGATACTTAACAAAAAGTGGTAGAAAATGCCTCCACCATGGATGCGATGAATTAAACAATTATTCCCACAGAGTACCCAGAGATTTTTAAAAATTCATTTCAAAGCAAAACAAGTTTATTTGTATCTACTATTTCTAAGCCATTCAAGTGTGTGTTTTTCTGTCTTCACTTTAGCTTTCAATTATGTTCAGAGTTTAACATTGAAATGTCCATAACAGTACCATAAGCAAATGCAATCAGTTTTGTTGAGAATAAAATGAGTTAATAATTGCTCTTGTTTTGAATCAAAATTTATTTGCAGTTTGTTCTGATGTTGTTTATAGATATCTGCAGTAAGTTGCAAGTGTCAAATTTGTGCACATGCATTTGTATCTGAAATAATATTGTTTTTGGTCAATTTAGTATAGCTATGAAATATTATTATGGTCATATACAACTTAGGCAACAATAAATCAACATGCATCTGACCTGCCAATTGCACTGAACAGGCAGGTTAACATTTAATATGTTTTCAATTAGACAGTTAATGTTGGTGTCACTCATATATATTTTGTTGATTTTGATAAAAAGAGATTTGAACATTCCTAGATAATTTCCTTAATACATAAATGTGATGTAAATTATAATACAATCTATACCTATTTTAAAAATAATCTCTTTGGTTTTTAGCTTCGGTCACAGAAGTCAAGCAGAAATGTTGCCAGTATAGAAGATAATACTGTGTTTCCATTGCGACAAATGTCTTCATATTGGAATTAATACAAAGAAGTAAAGGCCCAAAAATTAGATCTGGAAATGTAGCATCATAACTGTGTCAGAATTTCACAAAATGTATGCCCAGATTTTTGGGAAGTTATTCCGACGTACAGTTATGCTGTTGACGTTACTGCTATTGTTTTTACTCGTACCCGGAAGCCAACTGACTGACAATGTTAAATGTAATGAAACATCACCTTTGGAAAACATCAAAATTGAATATGGTAGCAAGGTTGTTGATCATGGTGAGTGTGATTTTTGTAATTATTTATAGTCCAAGTTTACTAAAACCAAAGATGCATTGGATTAATTATTTGTAAATATGAATATTGTTCAGGGTTATGAAATAGACACGTTCTCAAATGAAAATGGAGCTCTTCTATTTGGTTTTTGTCAATATATATTCTTTACATTTAAATCTGGTTTACTTTGTCTTCTGAATTATGTTACCAATTACTGAATTATAAGATATGTTTCATATTTTTAAGGTAATGATATTCCTGTTTTTGTCAGATTTTCCCTAAATTTGACTTCCCCAAAATGTTTTGCTTATAAACAATATAGGGATATAGATACTTTGTATTTACATTGCATGTTTTTTTTCATCCAAGTAATGACTATGAAATCACATTTAACTTTATCACAAGATGTTTCAGATAGGTCAAGATCTATTGATGATTTAACATTTTTCACATTTTGGTCTGTTTCAGAATATATTGTAACGTTTAATGGATATTATAAAGCACAAACAAGGAAACGTTATTTAACAGCTGCCCTCCATAACTCAAATGTGGTTTCATGGAAAATCATGCCGAGAAACAACCCAGCTAATGATTATCCCAGCGATTTCGAAGTGGTCAAGGTGAGTTTTGCAAGCAGATTGATTAGGATAATGTTAAAAAAGAATTTTTACAACCTATACCAGTATATTATGATGGAAATTATTGATATTGCTGATATTTGTAGCCCTCTATTACAACTGAGCACAAACATATATTGAAAATCATCAGTGTTATAGGTAAACATTTTTGATGATAAACATAACACAACTACCCTTTCAGTCTATTGTCAAAGCCATTGGAACTAGATGCCAATCTTAGCTTTCTGATTTGTGGAAATATTCTGAGTTCACCACACCACCTAGTGGGAGTCGTTTGCAATAAACAATGATGCTGTCTTTCAAAACAGTATCATGCATGCATACTGTCGCTATGAGACAACGGTATGTTATACAAAAAGCTTATCTAAATTGACAGACTAGGTGTTCATGAAAGTTTTCATATTGAGGATTGCGTCTATCACAAACTATTATTGCCTGGTTTGCAGCGGGTTCTCGGAGGCGGAACAGTATGGTGGAACATGCAGAATTATGGGATCATTGACTTGTATTCTTAGTGGTCTTTCTAAAAGTCTAAAAGACTGTAGAAAATCTATTTTAGAATAATTAATATAGTTACAGCAACATTATAGACGTGATCACAATACTCTCATTTACCAAGTTTCATGTTGATATTTGTAAAATTGATTGAGCATTGAAGACTTGAATTTTCCTTGATCGCTGGCAGAACTGTACATTGTGTATCACACTCAAGTGTAGCTTCTTCAAATGTATATCTTAAAATAAGAAAATTTAGTGACATCAAAAGATATGAAATTTAATAAAAACATAGTACATTAATACATGAAGTTTCAGTCTCATAACTGAAAAATGATAGAGTTATGATGATTTTCATCCAATGAGATTGACAGCTTGACACATGTGTAGGTTTTATTTGAGTTTAAGTAATGCGTCTTCAGACACTATCGCCTAAAATACTCAAAAGAAGTTAGCAGCTTCAAAAGATGTATTATTAATATGATTATAATACATCCTTGTATTGAGTTTCATGTTGATATTTGTGAAATTTTTTGAGTTGCCGAAAGATAAATTTTTGTCAATCACAACTTGAGAGCAGTGTCATCTTATTCTTAGTACTTGTTATATGTTGATAAGACAGGAAGTAAAATTCATTACAGGGAAGAATTCATCCTATAATCATTTTACGCTTTCTATTAGAGACATATATAACACATAAGCATCTCTGGTTTTGTAAGCCTTGTCACACAATATTATGCACAAACCTGGTAATTAAAATCTCTGCGAGTGAGGTTTTCTGTCATGTCACACTGTCACATCATGTACATGCTAGCTGACACATATTGAGGCCACTCCAAATCTGTATTGCAAGTAATTAATATGCAGAGCATGGAATGCATGCAAGTGTACTTTACCAAAGAATAACAGTCTTTCACTACACAGTTTGATAAGATAATTGGGGGAATACTATCCTTGTTATGACAAATCAATAATTGTTTAATTGTAAAACACACAGATATGCTTCATGAATACCAATGAGGTCCATTTTAATCATTAATAAATCTAGACCTAATGTAGACTCTGCATACTAGTATGTCAACGCTAACTTTTGCAATACACAAGTAAGTGCACATGGCTTCTCTGTTGTGATATCTAACGTGAAAGAGAATAAAGATTGTCATATAAAGTTGACACAGTTTTTGTCCATGTTCCACTCAGACCTCTGTGGTAAAATCTTTACCAATAGGTAATTTCCCATCTTGCTTGTTACGATCATGTATTTTTTAACGAGAAAACACTTCACCCTGATTTTGGATGATGTCAACTCGTAAGTAATAATTTCATTAATTTTTTTTTATCTCCCACAAAATGCGAATGCAGGGGGTATTAATTTGGGCTTCATCCATCCATCTGCCCATCTATCTGAGAGCTTTTCTGGGCTATAACTTCATAACTGTTAAACTCAACTAAAATTTCTGTATAAGTAAGGTTAGCCATCTTCTGTAAAAATGTATGATTGTTTTACTTGTGAGGTATTACATCTCACATTTAAAGTTAAAAATATATTATCAATATATTTAGCTTCTCAGTAATGTCAGTAACTGGTTATTTTTTTATGGATTCATATTGTAAGCAAATTGAACATGATGAAAAAGTGTTATCTATAATATTCGTAATTCATGTATGGTATAGACATACAGAGATAAAAATTGTTAGGTATTGTGCTGAAGTTTAGCTTTTGTTACAGATATTTATTACCAGCATCGAGTTGATGGTGCCCTTGTAACATCATAATTTATTTGTGTTACAGTTGAGTGATGGAGGACAGGCAGGAGTAGAAGGACTTCAGGATCATCCACTAGTTCGTCGAGTTACACCACACAAACAAGTGACAAGGACACTCAAGTTTATACCAGGTATAGAATATAAAACAAACTCATTGTAGTAGAGTTTAAACAGCATGAGTCGACCTGTCACCATTATGTTGTGGTATTTAATACAGATGGGTTGATATCAGAATGGAAATCCTAGGTATTGTATCATCCTTAGTCAGGTTCTCTACACCTAACAATTAACTACATCATCCTTAGTCAGGTTCTCTACACCTAACAATTGACTACATCATCCTTAGTCAGGTTCTCTACACCTAACAATTGACTACATCATCCTTAGTCAGGTTCTCTACACCTAACAATTGACTACATCATCCTTAGTCAGGTTCCCTACACCTAACAATTGACTACATCATCCTTAGTCAGCTTCTCTATACCTAACAATTGACTACATCATCCTTAGTCAGGTTCTCTACACCTAACAATTGACTACATCATCCTTAGTCAGCTTCTCTATACCTAACAATTGACTACATCATCCTTAGTCAGGTTCTCTACACCTAACAATTGAATACATCATCCTTAGTCAGGTTCTCTACACCTAACAATTGACTACATCATCCTTAGTCAGGTTCCCTACACCTAACAATTGACTACATCATCCTTAGTCAGGTTCTCTACACCTAACAATTGACTACATCATCCTTAGTCAGGTTCTCTACACCTAACAATTGACTACATCATCCTTAGTCAGGTTCTCTACACCTAACAATTGACTACATCATCCTTAGTCAGCTTCTCTATACCTAACAATTGACTACATCATCCTTAGTCAGGTTCTCTACACCTAACAATTAACTACATCATCCTTAGTCAGGTTCTCTACACCTAACAATTGAATACATCATCCTTAGTCAGGTTCTCTACACCTAACAATTGTCTACATCATCCTTAGTCAGGTTCCCTACACCTAATAATTGACTACATCATCCTTAGTCAGGTTCTCTACACCTAACAATTGACTACATCATCCTTAGTCAGGTTCTCTACACCTAACAATTGACTACATCATCCTTAGTCAGCTTCTCTATACCTAACAATTGACTACATCATCCTTAGTCAGGTTCTCTACACCTAACAATTAACTACATCATCCTTAGTCAGGTTCTCTACACCTAACAATTGAATACATCATCCTTAGTCAGGTTCTCTACACCTAACAATTGACTACATCATCCTTAGTCAGGTTCCCTACACCTAACAATTGACTACATCATCCTTAGTCAGGTTCTCTACACCTAACAATTAACTACATCATCCTAAGTCAGGTTCCCTACACCTAACAATTGAATACATCATCCTTAGTCAGGTTCTCTATACCTAACAATTAACTACATCATCCTAAGTCAGGTTCCCTACACCTAACAATTGACTACATCATCCTAAGTCAGGTTCCCTACACCTAACAATTGAATACATCATCCTTAGTCAGGTTCTCTACACCTAACAATTGAATACATCATCCTTAGTCAGGTTCTCTACACCTTACAATTGACTACATCATCCTTAGTCAGGTTCTCTACACCTAACAATTAACTACATCATCCTTAGTCAGGTTCTCTACACCTAACAATTAACTACATCATCCTAAGTCAGGTTCCCTACACCTAACAATTGACTACATCATCCTTAGTCAGGTTCTCTACACCTAACAATTGAATACATCATCCTTAGTCAGGTTCTCTATACCTAACAATTGACTACATCATCCTAAGTCAGGTTCTCTACACCTAACAATTGACTACATCATCCTTAGTCAGGTTCTCTACACCTAACAATTGACTACATCATCCTTAGTCAGGTTCTCTACACCTAACAATTGACTACATCATCCTTAGTCAGGTTCTCTACACCTAACAATTAACTACATCATCCTTAGTCAGCTTCTCTACACCTAACAATTGACTACATCATCCTAAGTCAGGTTTTCTACACCTAACAATTGACTACATCATCCTTAGTCAGGTTCTCTACACCTAACAATTGACTACATCATCCTTAGTCAGGTTCTCTACACCTTACAATTGACTACATCATCCTTAGTCAGGTTCTCTACACCTTACAATTGACTACATCATCCTTAGTCAGGTTCTCTACACCTAACAATTAACTACATCATCCTTAGTCAGCTTCTCTACACCTAACAATTGACTACATCATCCTAAGTCAGGTTTTCTACACCTAACAATTGACTGCATCATCCTTAGTCAGGTTCTCTACACCTAACAATTGACTACATCATCCTTAGTCAGGTTCTCTACACCTTACAATTGACTACATCATCCTTAGTCAGGTTCTCTACACCTTACAATTGACTACATCATCCTTAGTCAGGTTCTCTACACCTTACAATTGACTACATCATCCTTAGTCAGGTTCTCTACACCTAACAATTGACTACATCATCCTTAGTCAGGTTCTCTACACCTAACAATTGACTACATCATCCTTAGTCAGGTTCTCTACACCTAACAATTGACTACATCATCCTTAGTCAGGTTCTCTACACCTAACAATTAACTACATCATCCTTAGTCAGGTTCTCTACACCTAACAATTGACTACATCATCCTTAGTCAGGTTCTCTACACCTAACAATTGACTACATCATCCTTAGTCAGGTTCTCTACACCTAACAATTAACTACATCATCCTTAGTCAGGTTCTCTACACCTAACAATTAACTAGTTGGCAATCATGTAATCATCCAACTCAAATTATCCATATAAAGTTAATCACATGAACAAGTCTATAAACTCAAAAATGAATTGATTGCAAAACAGTTGTAGTCAACCAACTTAAATACGCTATTTAAAGTTCAGTAGGATAAATCATTTTGGTTTGACAATTTATGTATTGAAATTTATTTACCAGTTAATGGTGACATATCAACAAGATAAGATCTTAAGTGACTCTCATCCTATAATATGTGATGTTCCCATTGTTTTGATGATATCTTGTTTCGTTAAATGTGTTAGACATATGGTGAAGGATTTGATTTTGAGAACAAAAGGATGTAATTATACTGATATGTTTACTAGGACATGTTGTTCAAAGTATGAACGAACTGGGTTGTCTTGATATAGTGTAACTTAAAGACCCAATTTAATTCAATGGATTTTGTCAATCCTTTTCTATTTTTACACAAACATTCAAACTGACTTAAGTTAAATGAATGTTTTGAAAGTAAACATCGCCAGAAAATCATTTCCATTATGGAAGTATGAAAAGTAGATAATAAGTAGTGATTATGTTCTATCTGTTAAGGGAATGATACACTCCAAATACCAATGATTTCTTTTAAAACTAAACAGGAAGTGTCCTATCTCAATACATGATAGTTGTCTGTGATTGAGGCAGCTTACTGATATGATGATTATTTTCTGTAGATATGGGTTACAATAAGGACGAAGTGGTCAGTAATTCTGAAAAGGAAATCCATACAGACAGAAATACCAAGGAGATGAAAGAATGCAACTGCACGGACAGTGATGAACCCTGCCAAGCCTCATGTGGTCCAAAAAGAAACAGAAACCGTCAAAGTCTTTCTCTGGTAGAGAATTATTTTTAAATTACCATAATGATTGGTTATCTGATCTAATTAAAATGTCAAATTAGAAACTGTTACAGTGTGTTATATAGGCTTACTAGTGATGGTCAGCTTACTCCTGACTGGTATTATATAGCTTTTGTATAATTATGTTTAACATCAGATAAGCCCCCTCTGTAAGTGTGTAGCATCAAAGCAAGTAGTGTGCCTGCTTGGGATCAGACCTACGATGCCAAGTTTACCTGTCCATAGTTTTGCTATTTAAGCCAAAGGTTAATTTTCTCTGCTGCGTGGAATTAAAACTGGTACATGAGAAAAAGACGGTCAACTAATAGTACGCACAGGGAAAAAATGAGTTTTTGGCCCACCATTGTCAGATGGTTGGCTATTCAAATTGCCCTACATCTTTGGTCTGTCCGTCCATCCGTAAACAATCTTTGTTATTGCTATAACTTGAATGTACTGGATGGATCTCTCTCAAATTTCCTATGTAGGTTCCCCATTGTCCCTAGTTGTGCCCATTTAATTTTGGGACTGATCAGAAAAACAAAATGACCAACAGATGGTCATCTTGGATTTTGACATTTAAAGTTTGTTATCACTATATCTTGAGAACTGCAGCATAAATCTTTCTCAAATTTCATGTGTATGTTTCCCTTGATCCTTATTTGTGCCTGTTCTGTACTGATAAAAAAAACCCACCAAAATCTCAAATTTTGAGTATAGGTTTTCTCTTTGTCCCTAGTTTTGCCTATTTGAGTTTGGGACTGATCAGAAAAACAAAATGGCTGACAGGCAGCCATCTTGTATTTTGCTGAATAAAGTTTGTTATCCCTATTTCTTAAGAAGTACTAAATGGGTCTCTCTCAAATTAACTATGTATCTTTCCTTTGGTCTCAACTTGTACTTGTTAGATTTTTAGACTGATCAGAAAAAACAAAATGGTTTCCAAGTGACTGTCTTGGATTAGTAGGTAAAGATTTTCATTGCTATTTCTGCAAAGGAATGTTAAAATTTATCATTCAAAGAGCAAATAAAGATCAAACAATGGTGGGCACCAAGATCCAACTAGGATCTCTTGTTAAAATGTATTTTCAGTATTACCTGTATATTATATGTTTCTGAAACATTAAGGATTAACAGAGTAAGTTTTTAATTGAGATGGAGATTTGAAAGTAAAAAATCAGATTATTCTTATACTCATGTTACTTAAGGTATGTATACTGTATAGGCTATAGCTGTCAATTATGACATGTTTACAGAGCGCAACTTACTGGCACTCCCCAGTCCGATACAGAAATAGACGTCTCCTCAGAGCTGTTCCAAAGCAGGTATGTCATCACTGTTCCAAATACTTTGACACACTTCCATTATCTATCCTGATACTTGTGTTAAGTTTATCTGGTATAAGATATATTGAATTATCTTCTTGTGTGTCAGAAAACCATGTTTACATATTAAGCCTCTTAATTAGAATGTTTATTTATCTTACAACCTTATCAATTCTGTTATTGAGCCTTTGGGTCTTTTGAATTGAAATACCATATTTTGAGGATTGTGAGCTGCAACCATATGCAACGTCGATCACGCCCTATATTTGTGCATAGACAATCTTTGAATACCCAAAGTCAAACAAGTTTGATATTTACTATTATAAGTATTTTGAAAAATAAATAAGATAGAGAATTATTTGTGTATAATTCATTTGCAAACTTCATTTTGTTTCACTTACGATCTTGATAAATTGGTTTCTGTTGTCTGTTTGGACAAACTTTGGTCAACATAATGATAACTATATCCTAAGAAAGGATATAACCTATATGTTAGTGTGGCTGATATGTGGATCAAATTGATAAAAGTTGGCTCTGTGGCCTATATATGCATACGTCTTATAGCCCTGAAATTTAAGTAAATGAAGAAATGTCAATGCTGTGTTGAGTATGTTATGTTTTGTTACAGATTGTGAGTGCTCTTCAGGCCGAGATTCTGTGGAACATGGGTTACACAGGTACAGTAAACAAAATCTATGAGATTCAGTCTTTGTAGTAAAATGCCTGTGATAACTTTGAAAACTTTTTTAATGAAACCTGATTTCTGTATTCATGCTTGTTCATCCATTGTCACTACGGTAATAGTGTTACCAAAGTAACCATGTAATTGATACATTTTACAATACTGTAGAACTACTGTAATTAATGTATTGTTAGCTTGGAACACTTACTAGTATATTGTGTTACTTCAGGAATACTGTTGCTGTTTGAATATTTCTGTGGAAAGTGTTTTAACATATCTGCTATATGTAGGTATGTTACTTGGGGAACAATATTGCTATAGGTACATGGCTACTATTGGAACGCTATTGGTGATGTTTTATATGTGATGAACTTCTTAAACTTACCATAGGAATGCAATAATCATATTGGTAGCTGATCGAAGGAAAATTATAACTCTTACTGGTTCTGGTTGATTTTTATAGGAAATGTTGATGAATGTAGTGGTCATGATGATGATGATGATGATGATGATGATGATGATGATGTTTAGGGTGATGGTGATGATGATGTTGATGATGATGATGATGATGATGATGATGATGATGATGATGATGATGATGATGATGTCAATAGTGATGATGTCAATGGTGATGGTTATGGTGATGATGATGATGATGATGATGATGATGATGATGATGATGATGATGATGATGATGATGATGATGATGATGATGATGATGTCAATGATGATGATGATGATGTTAATAGTGATTATGTCAATGGTGATGGTTATGGTGGTGATGATGATGATGATGATGATGATGATGATGATGATGATGATGATGTAATGATGATGGTGGTGATGATGATGATGATGATGATGATGATGATGATGATGATGATGATGATGATGATGATGATGATGATTTTTTTTGTATATATACAGGTATAGGAGTAAAAGTGGCAGTGTTTGACACAGGACTTGCTGAGGATCACCCACATTTTAAGAAAGGCAGGATTAAAGATAGATCTAACTGGACCAATGAGAAAACACTGGATGATGGTATGTGTCTTTTCCACAAACAAAAATATTGTGGGGTTTTTTTTCCACAAAAATGTACATGTTTTATAATGAAATGATATGCTTTTTTAATGAAATGTTAAAATTAGATGTGTTTTATTTATATTGTAAGTAGTCAGCGGTTGGTTTGGATTGTGTGGATTAAATTGACCTTATTTGTTTATTGTAGGACTTGGACATGGTACGTTTGTGGCTGGTGTGATTGCCAGCTCCAGAGAATGCCTTGGATTTGCTCCTGATTCTGAGATCTATGTCTTCAGAGTGTTTACAAACAATCAGGTTAGATTAAATACTTATATAACAACTTTGTGCTTTAATCAAAACTCAAATATTCTTTTAAAAAAAGAAATTCACCTTAGTAAATATCAGTCAGTCTGAAGAAGCTATGTTGTGTTTTAAAAAAATACATACCTGTAGGAACAAAATTTTTGTTTTCCAAATGGACAAATAAGCGATTTTAGTGTAATAATTTTCATAAAGTAAAGTAGTTTATGAGTCTGGAATTTAAGGATTGTTAATATATTTGTTCTGCAGCGTCTGTGTTAAATGATTTGTGGTTTGTGTTACAGGTATCTTATACTTCCTGGTTCCTGGATGCCTTTAACTACGCCATTCTGAAGAAAATCAATGTGCTCAACCTCAGTATCGGGGGTCCTGATTTTATGGATCATCCATTTGTGGACAAGGTAGGTTATATAGCAGAATCATATTGTACTCAAAGGGAAACAGACATGAAGAACAATTCTACAAAAAAAGGTTGAATTATGGATTTTGTTATATATCAGCGATGACACTCTCAGTGTCATTCATGTTGCTTATCATATTTAGAAATGAGGTAGGGAGTTGCATGTTAGTTTTAGAGATGTTTTGGGAGAAGTTTCAGATGTTTTCTTTATTTGTTTACAGGTGTGGGAATTAACAGCAAACAAGGTGATCATGGTGTCAGCCATTGGTAATGATGGACCACTATATGGGTAAGTATTTATCTCTCCTCAGGTCTTTTTATCATCAATAGATATAAATCTATTAAGGTTTATTTCTGTGAAACATCAAATCCACCCCAGGATGCCTGGTTTTGGTGAGGAGTACTACCAATAGAATTTAATTGATAATTTGCTTGAAAGTAATAGACAGAATTCAAACCATGGATAGATGCAGTTTATTTTGGAGTTCTGGTGTCTAATAGATTGATTTGAATTAGACTATTTATTGAATTTCAAAACAAGTTTTTCAACTTTAAGCCTTAAAGCTTTTCATATCTGTTCTAGGAATAGAGCCCCTGAACGCTTAGATGAAAGACATGTGCGTTTCTACTGTACTACCTGACCGCCCTAGTAGATGTTAATTGGCATAATCCTAAATATCTTTCAGTTTCCATATAACATTATTGGAGGGAAAGCCTATTGGTTTGAATGTCGATATGTGTCACTTTGTATATCACCTCTTCACCTACAACTGCCATTGTTGGATACATATGTAATGTAATAATGATTATTTGTATGTACAGGACTTTAAACAACCCAGCAGACCAGATGGATGTGATTGGTGTCGGAGGTATCAACTTTGAAAACCAGATTGCCAGATTTTCTTCACGAGGAATGACCACATGGGTAGGTGGTTTAAGTCATGATAATTTTCCCTGGTTATAGGGAAATCTGAAAGTTTATTTACCAGAAGATGTTCTATTTCCTGAAGGCATTGTCCAAGGGAAATATATCGGAGGGTAAATAAACCTTTATATTTCCCTGCAATTAGGACCATTAATTGTTTATTGCACTGAATATTTCAATGCACATTTTGAGTACGCATAAAACATGAAATAAAGAGCATTAGAATGGTATGTTCATGACAGAGGCTCACCATGTCTCCATCAGAAATTCTCTATTCAATGAACCACTGTATATACGTGATGTGAAGATTGCATCAGTTTTGATAATCCTTCAAAGGTCATACAGGTTACTATTTACTGAAATACTTTATTACATCAGAAATCACTTGTATATGCAGTTGTAATTGACTGAATGAGAAGAGATTGAAAGTAAAAGTCTTGTTTTATTTTACCAGGAACTCCCTCAGGGATATGGACGGGTCAAGCCAGACATTGTCACTTATGGATCTGCTGTGCGTGGTTCAGCTCTTAAGTAAGTTTTTTAAGGTTTCTCTTGTCATGTCTTTCACAGCATATTGACATTACATCCAGAATTAGTAAAAGTTCAAAAAAAAAGTTCCAGCTTTTAAATGAAAATAATTTACTCCCAACTGGGAACTTGAATAATGTTTTTTTCTTGTAATTTTTCTACTGCATGTAAATCTCGTAGTGATGAATACATTTAAAAATATATTTTTTGTTCTGTTTGTAGGAGTGGCTGTCGATCACTCTCAGGAACAAGCGTTGCGTCACCTGTAGTAGTAGGAGCCATCACATTGCTGTACAGGTAAGCTTTCAGACCCATTCATTTGTGTAGGTCTGACAAAACAGAATTGTAAAGCAGGGAAACTCTAACGAGAAAATCAATCTGGTTGTGTGTGTATACCTCTCCTTGTTTGGGGGATTGGAGTTTGGAGGGTGGAGGCAGGTGGGTATGCTTTCTACCAAATTCATTCTCAGTACTTGTATTTTTAATGGTTAGGACCTCTGACCCGAAGGCGCACTGTGTGTGAACTTTTGACATTTCAGACTTCTCATGTTCCATCAGTGGGATTACACTACATGCATTTTTGTTGCAAGAATGTTGTCAAACAGTAGCATAGAGGAAGAGTATTTAGATTTCATTGTATGTGAGTGTAATTTTGTCAAAACGGTCATTCCAATTTTATACTATGTCACAAATGTTTTGTAAGGTCAGAAATTGCTCCTTAGGTAAAGAAAGAAAAAATTAAACATTACTCATGTTGTTTGTAGCGCTGTGTTGGATAGAGCCCATGTCATCAACCCAGCCAGTATGAAGCAAGCCTTGATGGCCTCAGCAAGACGCCTCCCAGATGTAAACATGTTTGAGCAGGGTCACGGTAAACTGGACCTTATTAAGGCTTATCAGACACTGCGTACCTACAAGCCACAGGCTAGGTAGGTTGGGACAATGTCAGGGGCATGTTTCCTTTCTGTTGTTATGTTTTCTGAGACAGTAAGTTGTCACTTCTTTGTTTTTAGTGAGAGTATCATAGTGATCTATCTGTCCTGGCCACAGCTAAATTGTAACTTAACTGTTGTTTGGATCAGTTATGTGGTAATTGACAATAGGTAACTGATTAAGTAACTGGCCCCAGTTGCTTAAGTCTTGGTTAGAGTTAACCAGCAGTTAATGAAAAAAATATATGATTGAAACTAGATTGTGAACATTCTGCATGATTTCACTGCTTTAATTTGTGTCTTTCCTTTGAATTGTACCTTACATATTTGCAGTCTGAGTCCCAGCTATATTGACTTGACTGAGTGCCCCTACATGTGGCCATACTGCTCACAGCCTCTCTTCTATGGACAGATGCCCGTTATCATCAATGTATGTTCCACGGATTTGCTTTACTAAACGACAATGCAATATTTTTCCTTTTGAATACATATTAATATTAGAAGTCATTTTATCATTGTTCATGGTTTATTTCACGATGGAGACAGACACCAATCTCTAATACATTCTCAAATACTGTATCAATTAAGTGGTTTTAAGCCCATGTCAAAATGAGTTAAATGATTTGTGAATTTTCTTTGTAGGTCACTATTCTGAATGGAATGGGTGTCTCAGGAAAGATTGTTGATAAGGTGAGATAGTGTATTTGTTAATCTAAAGGAAGGAGCATTTTCAGCTTTGACAAAGTCTTTATCATTTGGAAAAATAATTTGAATTTTATATGAAGGCTGTATAGGGTAATTACTGTTCAGTCAAGTCATCCTCTTTAAAAATGGCACTTTTGTTCCATAATTCATTAAATCTTTTTCTGTTTAATGGTTCATTTTTCTAAAGAGTAAGAGTTTTTCTCCAATAAAGCATCTCTCTGACCCCAGGACTTCAATAATAAATCACTTCTCTCCATAGCTTGGTTTCCTACATTTTACTTCAAAGCATTCCATAGGAGAATACTCCTTAATAAAACCTGGGAGGTTGGATTGATGTTTTACAAGAATAGCCCAAAACAGAACCTGGAGTCCTTGGGTTGGATAGATGTTTTACAAGAATAACCCAAAACAGAACCTGGAGTCCTTGGGTTGGATAAATGTTTTACAAGAATAACCCAAAACAGAACCTGGAGTCCTTGGGTTGGATAGATGTTTTACAAGAATAACCTAAAACAGAACCTGGAGTCCTTGGGTTGGATAAATGTTTTACAAGGAAAACAGAACCTAAATGTTTTACAAGAATAACCAAAACAGAACCTATTTGGGTTGGATAAATGTTTTACATAACCCAAAACAGATTTATTGTTTGTGTTAAAACAGAACCTTCTTGGGTTGGAAATGTTTTACCCATATTCAATATTGTTGTGTTCGAAATTCTTAGAAATGACCATTCAATAGTTGATATCTAATGTAGTTATGCTAACAAAGGTAAATCTGATATATCAATACTGGATGTTATTAAAACATTTTCCTCTTTTTAAGTTTGGTTTGTATCTCCCTTGCAGCCAACGTGGCACCCATACCTTCCTCACCATGGTAATTACCTAGAAGTGGCGCTGTCTTATTCAGCCTCTCTGTGGCCCTGGTCTGGTTACTTAGCTGTGTCACTCTCTGTTGCCAAGGGAGGTAATACCTGGGAGGGCATCGCTCAGGGTCACATCTCCCTCATCATAGAGTCTCCACCTGAGGTAAGTATCTAAAGCTGGTAAAAGAGCTTATGTATGACAATATTTGTCCAGATGGTTTATAATCAGAAGATGCTTGAAAAATCCAAGTTGAGCCCTTGTATCAATTTATTGATGAGTAATATTAGACAGGTAGATCCCTTGGATGAAGCCTTGAATATTTTGTATTTATAATAGATAAAAAATCAGAAATTTTCAACGAAGATGTGTCTGCAGTCATGAAGTGATACTTGATTTGAATGGAATGTTAGCAAACTTGATATCATCTTAAGTCAAAAAAATTTTATCATGACCCACTGTGAATGTCATGGTCTAGATATTTATAAACAGCTTCAAGAACCGGTGAACATTGCAGGTCAGTTGTACATCTTGTATGCTTTAGCATTGGGGAACATTATATGCTGCTCCATCTGTGTTTGGTATTTTAAGATATGTAAATTTATGTTGATGGAATCATAATCCAATATGTTAATAGCATGATTTGTTCTATATTAATCAACGTATTAGTGTGTTGTAAAACTCATTGATGAAAATAATTTGGCAAATTAATTTACTTTTTCAGGGTGAAGAAACAGAACCAAGAAGGACAACACTAAAATTGTCTGTCAAAGTGAAGATTATCCCCACTCCACCTAAAAGGTATGTATATCTGTATCATTTAAAGAAAGTGGACCATTGAAACCCATCACTTTAGAAAAAAGGTTACTGGGGCAAATTCATACCTAGACAAGGCCAAAGCATCATCTAAATATCTCTTTTTGTGATTTTATAGCAAGGCAACATGATTATTATTGTGTGGATTCAGGAGTTAAACTGTTATTTCAATAAAACACCATAAATAATGGTTTAAAAAATAATTTTGTATTCAATTTTTCTGGTAAAATTGTTTAGAAAAAATTATTTGTGGTCATTTAAAAAAGTTGAATAAGACATGTATGGATCATGTAAGTCATAAATTAGACCCTTGTTTTCTGTATTAATTTTATTTTCACACAATTTTGTGTGATTTTATTCTATCCTTGAAACTAGTGAAAAAAATGGAATTCCTTAACATTAGCAACCTTTTAATTTGAAAACAGATATACTGCCATCTTTAAATAGAAAAATTAACACCTTTAGTGATTCTGTACAACAGCAGTAGATGTGGGTTGGCTTATGCATCATGTGATGTTAACTTAACTATCCTATACATTGCAGTAAACGTGTACTTTGGGACCAATATCACAACCTTCGATACCCACCGGGGTACTTCCCCAGGGATAACCTGAGGATGAAGAATGACCCCCTTGATTGGTATGTTGTTTGATTGCATGTCTTATATCAGCGAAAAGTATTAATTCTCATTCTTAAAGTGGAAGAATTCTTAATAAATGAAAAATAGAATGCTTATGTTTATGAAGGATTTTATTGGTAAATGTTGTAGTGTGAAGTGTAGTACCTTGTGAACCAGCGTTCTTTTAACTTACTCTCAAATAAAAACATAGCAGGAATCCAATGACATCTTGTGAACCAGCGTTCATATATCATATTAAAAACAGAAAAAAAGCAAGGCATTGGTTATAGCCAATGTCCCTCCAGTCATTGAAAAAAAGTTACATTTAGAGGACTGATAATTGTAACAGGGAATTTGTATTAAGTAATGAACCTAAATTTACTGGAAAATTAAAGTGTTCTGCAGATATTTTTGTCTTATGGGTAAAATGTAATATCAGTGTTTTTGATCTGTGATTTTAGGAACGGAGATCATATCCACACAAATTTTAAAGATATGTACCAACACCTCCGGAGCAGTGGATACTTTTTGGAAGTGTTAGGTGAGAATATTGGTACTGGAAAAGTATAAGTAGAAATGGGAAAGAAAGTTTTGAATGATTACATATGCAGATCAGTTATAAGCATGAAAAGAGTTTTCAAAATTTCCACGTTGTGTCACCAGGGCCACTTCACCTTATCCAGTAGTTTGACTGGTCAGAACAGAGTTTTTTTTGTATATAAATATAGACTGACCTTCTGATCTTATTTTACATTCCTGCAAATCTTGAGGACTTTTTGAGTCCAGTGTTAAACATTTGCTGGTCACTTATGATTAATGCATAAAATGTTAACAAACTGGTTTGTTTGCATGAAAGAAATTAATCCTAATGTAATACTTATCAATGTGTTAAGCATGTTATGTTATAAAATATTTTGTATAATTTTGTTTTGAGGGTTTTAATGATGGTCAACTGAATTTGTAGTGGCTGAAAGTTTAAGTGTCCTAGTATACCTTAGGTCAGTTTGTTTATGAGTTTGTCTGCTCTCTAAATGTAACATTCAGCCATAAATCAGGACAGACCAGCAAACATTACTCTAGGCCTTGAAAAGCTTAGTGATGAAATGCCAAATCAGTTGTAACAATTTGTAGACTGTTCGGATTTTTCCTGTGTTTGCTTGTAGGTTCTCCATTCACATGCTTTGATGCCAGTCAGTACGGGACGCTGCTGATTGTGGATGCAGAAGAGGAATATTTCCCAGAGGAAGTGACGAAGCTCAAACGTGATGTCGACAACGGCTTGTCTGTTATCATCTTTGGAGACTGGTACAATGTGTCTGTCATGAGGAAAGTGAAGTTCTACGACGAAAATACAAGGTAGGTTAGGCATGCTGGACTGTTGAGAATCTTCTGTGAACTAGTGTATGATTGCAAGACCAACAGCAGACTATGTAGTGCATCAAACATGTATATCTGCAATCTAGAGTGATGTTCATTCTTAATTCACAGTTTTAAACTTAAATTTTGAACTATTTTTCAGCCATTATATTTTTATGAGTTTGTGAGGCCCGTTAGGGTAAATTGAGAAAATGGGCTTTCTCCTCTCATATGCCTGAACAGAGTTCTCACCTGTTTGACTGAAACGTCATTGGGTGAGGGCAATCATTTCTCAAAGATTGCCGTATTGGTCACAAATATTTTTTTTTTCCATTGAAAATTTTGTGAAGAACACATACATTTCTATTTGATATTTGGTGAAGAACACATACATTTCTATTTGATATTTGGTGAAGAACACTTAGTTTTCTGTGTATTTTGGTTAGACTGTTAAAGCCCATGGGCCTCCTGTTTTTATAGATATCTCAATTAGGAACTCTTTCGACAGTAATTGATGCTTTAGTGTATGTACTGAATTGTTGATAAAGTGGGTGAGGTGTTTATATTACAGGCAGTGGTGGATGCCTGACACAGGAGGAGCCAATCTACCAGCTACAAATGATCTGTTGGCACCGTTTGGAATGGCATTCAGGTAATATATGTATCTTATAACTATACTGGTATAATTGTCTGTAATAAGTTAGAGGGCTAACACATAACCATACTGGTATAATTGTCTGTAATAAGTTAGAGGGCTAACACATAACCATTCTGGTATAATTGTCTGTAATAAGTTAGAGGGCTAACACATAACCATTCTGGTATAATTGTCTGTAATAAGTTAGAGGGCTAACACATAACCATACTGGTATAATTGTCTGTAATAAGTTAGAGGGCTAACACATAACCATTCTGGTATAATTGTCTGTAATAAGTTAGAGGGCTAACACATAACCATTCTGGTTTAATTGTCTGTAATAAGTTTGAGGGCTAACACATAACCATTCTGGTATAATTGTCTGTAATAAGTTAGAGGGCTAACACATAACCATTCTGGTATAATTGTGTGTAATAAGTTAGAGGGCTAACACATAACCATTCTGGTATAATTGTCTGTAATAATGTAGAGTTCTAACACATACCAGAAATTGGAAATATTTTTTGGAAAAATGTCATTTTTGTGTCACCTGATGGAAATATTATAGAATCTGATGTGTATTTGGCTTATTACTTAATGATGGGTAAGATGTAGATTTCATAAAGGTTATGAAAAGGTCAATGCATGAAAAGGTCAATGCACGGAAAGGTCAACGCATGTAAATACATGTATATAATTATCATAGAAAGGTGCTAGAAATTGTCAAATATGTTGGGAGAGACAATTCAAGTGTTTTGATACAAGGTCATTTATATGTTTTCTTAGTAGAGGTCTTTAACATGTTCAAAGTGTTGTGTTGACATACAATTGTCTGTAGTTTAAAATAAAAGTCTTGAAATTATTGTTAAAAAATTTTGATATAGAGAAATGCAAGAATCTGCGATAGAAAAACGTTAGAATTTGTTCAGGAGTGTTGTAAACCATGTAATAATTCTATGTGTTTTCAATAACCTGTAATGTTGTGTATTTTACAGTGACCAGGTATACGAGGGAGACTTCATGATGGGAGAGCATGACAGTAAGTGTAGAATATCATATAAGTTGACTATAGTCATTTTACTATGTCTGCTGCACACTTACAGGAAATTTAGAACACAGGCTCAGTGTAAATGTTACTCTGGGACTGATCTGTCTGTTTTAAGGATTGTTCAGTCTCTACTGAACCTTTATAGAAATGTTACAGTTGGACTTTGGTAGAATTGGATGGAAGCTACAGTACGTCCCCTGTAGCATTTAACTTAGTTGGCAGCATAATTCCATGGTACAGCACAATACTAACACATCTCCAGCAAACCTACAGACTCATAGACATATTGAGGTATTTAGTAAGGTGCCAGAGAACCAGTATTAAGCCTTGGATTGAATCATCTCCAGTAAAATCCTCCGTTTTGTTGATTGTATGAGTTCTATATTGTGTGTGAAATACTTCATCAGAATGATTGTTATATTGGATGATACACTAATTATGTTTAAAAACGTTCATGCTTATTTTGAAATAGTTTGGTAATAAGAAAATGCTATTACAGCATCCACACGTAAAAATGATCTTTTGATAAAAATTATATATCTTCTGTAATTCCTTGTAGTGTACTATGCCTCCGGAACAAGTCTGGCCAAGTTTCCTGATGATGGTGTGATTTTGAGTCATAATTTGAAAGATCAAGGTAAGTTCACTGGTTTGTTGATGGGTTTACCAAAAACTTAAAAGGATAATCTTTTCCACTCAAGTTGTGAAATAGGCTATTATTTCCTTTGTGAATTTTATTTTCCTGTAGTCTTTTACAGCTGTAAACCATCTGTGAAAAAAAGAGAAAAATAGGACTTGTAAAAATAGTCCACCTTTACAAAAACAGAAATGAAAGAACATAAACCATTGAAATGCAGATGTATAAAAGAGGCTGTTCCAAAACTGTTTTCTTTCTTTAAAACTCGAAAGAAACATACTTAACACACAAAAGTCATTCTTTAAACTTCAAAGACAATCATTATCCAAGGTGTTAATGTCAACACCCAATATCCCCCTTGTCAAAGGTCATCAGTCGGTGTCTAAGGTCATAGGTTAATGTCAATCAAGGTCATCAGTTGATACCAAAGGTCTTGGCTTTGTGTTAAAAGTCATAGGTTATTGTCAAAAGTCGTAAGTTATTGTCAAAGGTGATCAGTCCAAATAATGAATAATAATAAATTTCTTTGTTTTGTGGACCAAGAGTAAACTATGAATGTTTTTTTTCTAGACCATGAGAGTTACCAAATTTGATTACATATTAATGAGTGGATTTAATTTTGTGTTCTAGGCCATGAAGTGCTGAAAGGTGAATCCAAGACGGTGGAGGGTGTGGCCATTCTTGGGTTGTACCAGACCACATCAGCTCCAGAAAGTGGGCGTGTCGCTTTATTTGGGGACTCCAATTGTCTTGACAACAGTCATATGCAAAAAGGTAAGTAAAATAAAGATGCTTCTTAAGGAAACCATGGTATTTATTTTATGTATCATTTTCTGTTCAAGGTTTAAGATAATTAAGGTACTATGTATAAATATTTAGTCTTTTGCTTACTTGTTACATTTATGTAATAACATTCATATCTAGGTCAACAGGCATTTATTGTTAGCACTGCATGAATGATTTTGTGTAGACAAGATTGACATATTTTTACCAGAGAAGTGCTTTGAAATATAGAATGATTGTTTTTAAGTTCTTGAAATATTTACAGACATAAGAGGACAAACTTAACAATGTACCAAGGGACATAGCATATCATGGTGTTCTTAATGTATGCATTCTTGTTGTGGGGTTCTAAAGCAAACTTGTATTGGAGATCGAAAAGAACAGATCATTGGCTCACATGATTGGTTACATGACCATTTGCCTATTAGATTACAGGTTCATTTTCTTGCTTGGTTGTGGGATCATTGTATCTAGGTTACAGGATTGTTGTATCTAGGTTACAGGATTTTTGTATCTAGGTTACAGGATTGTTGTATCTAGATTACAGGAGTGTTGTATCTAGGTTACAGGATTGTTGTATTTAGGTTACAGGAGTGTTGTATCTAGGTTACAGGATTGTTGTATCTAGATTACAGGATTGTTGTATTTAGGTTACAGGAGTGTTGTATCTAGGTTACAGGATCATTGTATCTAGGTTACAGGAGTGTTGTATCTAGGTTACAGGATTGTTGTATCTAGGTTACAGGATTGTTGTATTTAGGTTACAGGAGTGTTGTATCTAGGTTACAGGATTGTTGTATCTAGATTACAGGATTGTTGTATTTAGGTTACAGGAGTGTTGTATCTAGGTTACAGGATCATTGTATCTAGGTTACAGGATTGTTGTATCTAGGTTACAGGATTGTTGTATTTAGGTTACAGGAGTGTTGTATCTAGGTTACAGGATTGTTGTATCTAGATTACAGGATTGTTGTATTTAGGTTACAGGAGTGTTGTATCTAGGTTACAGGATCATTGTATCTAGGTTACAGGATTGTTGTATCTAGGTTACAGGAGTGTTGTATCTAGGTTACAGGATTGTTGTATCTAGATTATAGGATTGTTGTATTTAGGTTACAGGAGTGTTGTATCTAGGTTACAGGATCATTGTATCTAGGTTACAGGATTGTTGTATCTAGGTTACAGGATTGTTGTATCTAGATTACAGGATTGTTGTATTTAGGTTACAGGAGTGTTGTATCTAGGTTACAGGATCATTGTATCTAGGTTACAGGATTGTTGTATCTAGGTTACAGGAGTGTTGTATCTAGGTTACAGGATTGTTGTATCTAGATTACAGGATCATTGTATCTAGGTTACAGGATTGTTGTATCTAGGTTACAGGAGTGTTGTATTTAGGTTACAGGAGTGTTGTATCTAGGTTACAGGATTGTTGTATCTAGATTACAGGATTGTTGTATCTAGGTTACAGGATCATTGTATCTAGGTTACAGGATTGTTGTATCTAGGTTACAGGAGTGTTGTATCTAGGTTACAGGATTGTTGTATCTAGATTACAGGATTGTTGTATTTAGGTTACAGGAGTGTTGTATCTAGGTTACAGGATCATTGTATCTAGGTTACAGGATTGTTATATCTAGGTTACAGGATCTTTGACTTACTAGGTTACAGGAGTGTTGTATCTAGTTTACAGAATCATTGTATCTAGGGAACAAGATCACTGTCTTGTACTTGAAAGGTTTTAGGATCATTGGTTTGCTTGGTTTTAGAAAAATTGTCTTTCTAGGTGAGAGGATCATTTGTTTTGCTAGGTTACAGGATGATTGTCTAGTAGATAACGTGATCAGTGACTTGCTTGGTTACAGGATCATTGTCCTGTAGATAACATGATCAGTGACTTGCTTGGTTACAGGATCATTGTCCTGTAGATAACATGATCAGTGACTTGCTTGGTTACAGGATCATTGTCCTGTAGATAACGTGATCAGTGACTTGCTTGGTTACAGGATCATTGTCCTGTAGATAACATGATCAGTGACTTGCTTGGTTACAGGATCATTGTCCTGTAGATAACATGATCAGTGACTTGCTTGGTTACAGGATCATTGTCCTGTAGATAACATGATCAGTGACTTGCTTGGTTACAGGATCATTGTTTACCTAGGTTTCAGGGTTATTGTCTTGCTAGGTTACAGGATCATTGTTTCGTTAGATTACAGACAGAGACAGTGATATTCCCGTATTGGTTTTCAGATTGCTTTTGGCTACTTAGTGCCCTCCTGGAGTACACCGCATACAATAGCCTGGTACCCTTGTTTTCCGGCACAGACCAATCCATCCTTCCTCCTGCGGAGCTGCCACTCAGGATGGAAGGTGGGTAGCATTTACTAATCTATTGTCTCTGCAGTGCCCAGCTGTTGAGAGCATTGGTGTCAAAGATGTTGGCATTCAAGCATTAACTTCAGTAAACACAATATCATACACTAATGGTATATCAAATTTGAGTTTTACTCAAAGGGTGAGTTTTAACAGCCTTATTTTCCTGTCGTTAATTTTTTGCAACCCTACATCAGAGTAATGAGGAGTGCATGCACATCTGCATTAATAGGCCTTAAAAGACAAAGTTTTCAGAAGACAAAAGAATATTTAAATTTTGGTTTGTATAGGAATGAGGGCATTCATATGTAGTAGACATTTTTTCTTATTTCTAGTGTGATAATTAATAACTGTATTAATGTTATGCAATATTTCCTTATTTATTATTACAGGGAATCACCTGCATCGTTATTCAAAAGTGTTAGAAGGTCACCTTGGGTCGCCAAGGTCACGGCCTCTGCCTCAATGCCCAAGATTGATCTGGACAGCTGCACAACCCTTGAATGTATCTGCTCCCTCGTATGTACTATTTCATACTCTTTGACTATCATTTCAAATTAATTTCTTTTTTTAGATATTAAGGGAGACTCAGAAAACTCAACCACCATAACATAAGTCATTAATTTGATGTCATTGACTTTAAAATTGCAATATTTCTTTTTGGTTCTAATATGAAAAAAAAATTTAGGTTCTGATTCAGAATGTTGATTTTTACTTCATCTGGTGTAGAATTTAGCTTTGGAGGATTTCAAAGATATTTCACTGATATGATTTGAACTACACTATTATATCCTCATACTCTTGGTATACAAAAGTCGTTTTTAAATCAGATCATTTTTCATAGTATACATTGTACTATCATAAGGTTTAGAGACAAGTTCAGGCTACAGGTATCTTCATCACAAACATGTTTTTATAGAAGTTGTTCAGCCCACCATGACAATATGGTACCTTGTTCTGTTCATCAGCCTTTCTGTACAGATGCCGTTTTTCTATGATAACTATTGAAATCATTAGTTAATCTCCTTCAAAGTAGCCTTTCTTAATTTTTAATATTTGATTGTCTCAACCAAGTTTTGGGTTGTCAGCCAATTCTGAATCATTATTGTTAAATTTTCCATTGTTCATGGCAGATCTCTTCTTCACTGTTTGTTCATTACCGTGATTTCCTATGGCGAGACATATGATAGGGCCCCTCAGGATTCTAGATGTATCTATAGTACTTAACAGAGGTGATTTGATTGATCAAAGGTTATGGTATTCATGTGAGTGTATTTAATGTTGTTTTGTTTCTGAATTATAGCAATCTGTATCAGCAACAAAAATTACTGTCAACGGGGCTGGATATCCCAGTTCCTCCTGGGATTGATCGGCGGGACAGCGACCTTATGCCAAATATGGGAATTGTGAAAGAATCCGGTGGATTTCAGGCAGACCCGCTGATGAAACCAGCCAATCAGCTCCAGGATGTAGACTCAAACAGTGTATTTCCTGTAGTGGCCTTTGTTGCCACAGGACTTGTACTTCTCTTCCTCCTGAACCAATACTACAAAAGTCGCTCAAAGCCCAAAAAGAGGCGACCAAGATTAAAAAAGTTTCACCAAATATTTACAGGGAAGGTGCCGAGTGTATGATATTTACTATGTTTTAGGGAAGTGTGAATCTGTGAAAGAATGGCATATATTGTGTTTTGGAGAAATGTGAACCTGTGTGAGACTGGGATTTACCGAGTGTTGAGGATGACTATGTGTATACTTGTGTATAATAACAGCTGTATGTTTGGTTTAGCTTGCAACAAATTTTGTGATAAAACAAAGGTATGCGAGTAGTGCCATATTGTGGATGTGCTGCCCATTATCTGTGAAAAAATTACTATAATGTTTAAATGTGAAAGGCATTTTCTGAGAGTTTTTTTTACATTCAAATAGAGGGAAAAATCTTTTCTGTGAAACAGATGAATACAACAGAAATTGAATTATCATTTTTAATTGATAAACATATTCTAGACATTCTTTTTTTGAATTTTGAGCAAGATAAATTATACAGATTTATTTCTCTTTACTATTTACATCATGGATTTCAATTTTGATTTATGTGTTACCCATTTTATACTCAATGTAGCATAAATGTTTTTGCATACAAAAAATGAATTCATGTGCAAAAACTCCGTTATTTGCTAGGCAGTTCTTCATCAGAATATACCTAACAGATTGGAAATTTGTTGAGGGTACGATAAGAAATTATGAGATTTGTTTCCTTAACGTGAATTTGCTTTTGATACTTACTTCGAATTTAAATGAAAATAAACATCATGCATGTTAAATATGTAAGTAAATCATATGACATTTTTGTATAGATTGTATCTCCTAATTTTGTGCGGGTATCCCAATTGATTGCTTTTTTTTATATGCCCTGATATGAATATGAAGGTGAAAATGTTCAGGATGATAGAATAGAAGTTCTTATAACACAACCAGTAAAAGATTGGAGTGTGATGTTTTAATCACTACACAGTCATCTTTATCAGACAAACGATCAGTATGGAGTGCACTAGCTCTGACGAACATAGTATACGATTCCTTACCATTTCGTCCACTGCGTACGTCGGTGCTAGTATGCTCCACACTGGTCATTTGTTTGATGAAGGTGATCGTGTCATTATTGAAATGTTACACTCAAATCTTCTACTGGTTGTGTTTTAAGAACCTGTATTGTATTGACATTACCAACCTGCAGCAAATGTTCCGGATGATGTGGTTAGTGAAACTCTTTTCTACTGAATGAGATTGACAGAATTTACTTGGGTGTGGATGTGTGAGAGAATTTTGTAAATATTGGGAATATTTATCTTCCACGCCTGCCAACAGCATCATGAATTTCTTCCGTCACTGTTAAAATATTAATAATAAACCTGTTTTTCCCACCTGGTATTGACAAACAAAGTCTTTCACTACAACATAGACACAAGTTCAGGTATATTTGATATTGATTTTGTGTGATAGAATTTCTCATTTTGCTATTACTCTGAACCTTATGAATGTAGCGACTTTCATTCCCGACATCTTTGTTCTCAATAAATAATCCAGCTACTTTTGTTCTTGGTAGACAATCCAACAAACTATATTTCGGGAAAACTATTTTTAAGATTTCTAGGAAATGCCATTTTCCTGTTCCAATGGAAACAGCTTTGGACTGCCAGATTCAGTGTGTTGGTGCAGATCACCCTTGATTAAGGATAGGGATTCAAATCCATGCCAGATACACATTTCAAAAATGAAAGAAGTGGGAATTATTCCTGTTATTTTCTTGTCAATCACCGCCAGTGCTTTTGCTGCCATACCCATAACTGAATTATTATTTGTCTTGTCGTTCACCAGTGTATACCAGTAACTCTGTTTCTTAATGTCTCTTATTTCTGCTTCATATATACACAGTTGTGAATGGGATTTTCGGCTTAATGTCTAACTCTATTTCATATTGTAATATCCTACATAATGTCATTTTTGTTTCTGTTTATTTTCTATGTAACACTTTTTTGTAGCATATTTAGCTCTTGCAAATAATATTAAATCAAATACATTGAAAGAAAGTGAAGCAAATGTTTTTTTTTTGAAATTATCAGAAAATGGATGAAGAGCTATTTCAGTAAAACATCAATGCATCACCAAGACTCTAGGTTTTGTTGAGGGTAAGGGCTATATCAGTAAAATATATATTCAAACCAAGGACTTCAGGTTTTGTTAGAAACTATTTTAGTTAAAATTCTATTCCACTCCAAAAAGAGTGGTATTGTACTTGTATAATTTATTGTATTAGTATTGAACAAGATTGTTATTTATTTGTGGGGTTTTAAAATAATTAGGAAATTCATTTGAAGTATTTTTGAGTTGAAGAAGTAAAACACAAAGTTTTAAAATATATCTTAAACTATATTAATATTTATGTGATAAAATCTGTTTTTTTTATATTGTTCTATATAGCATAGACAGAATCCTCATGTGTGCTGTGTGGTCCCAAAGTGCAATAGTAATATGTATTTATCATTTCCTTATTCTGCCTTTAGAGAATTTTAACTTTTCTATTTTAATGAAATACAGGTCTCTTGAGTAAATTAATTTTTGATCTGAAATGAAGTATTAAATTATTGAAGCAAGACCACGTGGAGGAGTTGCTTGAATATGTAATGTTTTATTGTATAGAATCTGATAACTTCAGATTGTGGTAGATTTGCAGTTCTAAAGCTGTGTAGGTGACTGTTATAATAATGTCTGTAACTATTGTCTGTATCGTTTCTCTGTTATTTAATATCTATTTTTCATGTTAATAATGGGACTGAAACTGGTATCTTGATCTCTGTGTAATTGTATGATGTCACAACTTAAATGAATGTATGGTAGTGTATGAGCTGAAGGCTATTCCAGATTTTATTGTTTGAATAATGGACACATATTTATAAATATGTGGAAAGGTCTTATATAACAATGAATTTAGTATGTTCACAGTGAAAAAATATAACAATAAATTTAGTATGTTCACAGTGAAAAAATATAACAATGAATTTTGTATGTTCACAGTGAAAAAATATAACAATGAATTTTGTATGTTCACAGTGAGAAAATATTTCTGATAGTTCAAGTTGAAAAACTTGTCTTCACAATTTTTCACCTGTAATTTTTTCTAGTGACTGAAGTTAATGTAGTTTTACCAACAAATTTTTATATTTAGCAGAAATCACCATACAGGTTTTAACTTATTTTAGATTGAAAGGTATTTATTTTCATTGTTCTTTCCTTTAAAATAGTGAACAATAGAACTCATTGAAATAACAAATGTTTGTGATACAGATTTGTGGAGTAGAATATACGTGGTGAGAGTTTTCTACTTAATTATTTTGACCAAGTTTTGTTATATTTTCTACATGACAATGGTAAACCAGTATATCGATGTTCCACAAGTCATGACTCTTCTTGAACTTCAAATTGTCTTGGTGAAAAATCTTATCTTCAGGTGTGTTAAGGTGCAGGTTCCTTAAAGGGCTTTAAATAGATGTGATATACAATGAATTTTAATTACAGTAGTCCTTTTCTAGAAATGAGATTAAGAATTTCAACCTACACTAATCTGTACATTCGTAGTGGTGTTCGATCACTGATAATAACTTAACAACATGGTTTATGCAATGTACTGAGATGAGTGATTAATATGAAACAGATATGGAAAACATATTTGAAATATGAAAAAAAAGGAATAAAAACAACATACAAAAAATAATAAAATGAAAATAAAAGACCTATTGTTTACTGTTTTAATTTGCTGAGTCCTAATAACACTATCAGAATGATGTAGAAAATTGTAAATTAATACTAATCCTCACCTTATTAACAGCAATTTACTCAGAATTACAGTATAAAGATCAATTTAAAGGAAGTGCTTTCTGCACAGAATATTTGCTATACAGAACTCTTGTGGAAACCAATTTTCTCTTGATAGTAACAGTAACCTTGACAGTTGACCCCTGACCTGAAAAGCACTTCCTAACAATCACTATCTGCCATGAACACTAGTAAGTTGTTGAGCAGATTTGGCCAAGCAGAATTTGAGATGTGCAGAAATTGAGGTTGGAGGGAAAAATATGATTACAATATCCCTTGTGATCTCCTTCGGAATTATGATATTTAGAATTACATTGATATATTTGAGCACTTTAGGCCTTTCAGGAAAAAAATGTTTTGTTCATTAATCAGTATATATTGTCACTCAATTCTGTGTTTCAAATCGAGACTACTGAAAGTAAACAGTTTGGCCTTTGTTACAACCATGAGGATGAGGATAACTCGTCTTGAAGTAACTTATTAATTGATGATCTGCTAACAGGTTCCATTTCTCTGTTTCCTAGGTTCCGTAAATCCACTGCATAATATTAAGTATATGATATCAAAAAGCATAATGTAGATAAATCAGTTTACTGTTAATTGGATTTAATTGTAACAGAACTGTTTTCACAAATTGAACTTGGTCAATAAAGTCTACGTCATAGTGGAAGGAGAGGATAAGGTAGTTTATTTTCCCTCTAGCACAGAATTTATCAGTTTCACTATCACCTCTACCTGTGAAGACATGTATGGAACTGTAAGTCAGTTATAGTCCAGAAATTTATGATCATAGTCAAGTAGGGGTCACAGTAACCTCAATTTAGAATGCGACACATGTTACAACTTACTGTTATCACCAAGCAAGGGATATCCGGAACACCCTGATCTACACCTAGCACCACGATGTTGGCTCTAATCCCTGGGGTAACTTACTGTTATGGTACCTATTTCCTAAATTTGTTGTCCATAAAAATGAAAAAGTGAGTGCTGTATGTTTTCATTTAAGGTAAAATTCAATGGCCAAGTAGAGATCATAGAGACCTTATTTCAGTATGTGGCGTGCCTGTGTTGTACCTGGTGACTGAGGTAATGTAAACAGTACTCTCTCGTAACTTCGTCAGCATGCAGGAATGCAGGTATTCCTGCACAAGGTGAATAAGAGGCATTATTAGATGTCCTAACCAAAATTGTCCTCACAGAGGTCTACCACAGAGACATTGATGTTCGATGCAACAAACCCATCGGTTCTGTGAAAACAACACAAACTTGTTGATTAGCTGGTGAAACGGGCTAGGAAACTGCTTAAAGTGTTGAAAATGTTTTCTTTACTTTTTATGCCCCTGGATTGAAGTATTGGACATATTGCTTTTGTGCTGTCTGTTTGTTTGTCTGTTGTCAACTTCAATCTTGCTCATAACTATTGCACTGTACGAGATAGGTCTGCCATATTTCGCATGCGTGTTCCTTGTGACAAGACCTATGTAGTGGTACTAAACTTTTTGACCATGTGATTTTAATTTTGTTGCAACCAAGGGCTCAATGTTTCATAAACACATCTTGCTACTCTTATTATAACCAGACAATACCTTGGATTAACCAAAATACACCACTGGTATTGTTGATAAAGCAGAAGACATGTTTGCTTCTAGTACTACGTTCGTACATTTTTGTAGTCACTGTGTACATCTTTCTCTTGTAAATACATTTACTTTTTCCCATTGTGTCTCTTGTGAGTTTGAATTATGAGTAAGTTGTTGAGATGGCAGTATATTGTTGCTCTTGTTATTCTTAAGATGACACAAAAGACTTTGTGCCAAATACCTCTGCAATAACCTCTTAAGAACAGGTTATAGCATAGCGGTGAAAAACAACCACCCCTAACCAATGAGCAAGACCAGAATCCTTAGTGTACTCTCTTTAACAAATGTGGGAGTTTGCTTATAGACAACATGTTGCTAACTTTAAGCAAATATCACAAAATGCCTCATCTTGAATATTACAGAAGGCGATATGGATTGTAAAATATACAGAAGTGGGCAACTGAAGAAGTTGTCAGGAACGTCGGGAATGATCATCTGGCTTTACTGTAAAAGTTAATGCGGGAGAAATTATGAAACAAAACCATTCTGAATTTTCAGCAATGTATATTGTGTTTGTTCTAAGCATATTAGTTTCTATAACATTTTGAATTGTTTAAAAAATATTTGATTGTAATGATTGCAATTCCAGGATTGGGCACAAGTTTTCCAACTGTTCTGTTTTTTCCCGATAAGTCTCTCCTAAATGGACAACAGTAGTATAAGTTACATGGTATACTTTTCAATACTTTGGAGCAATTAAATTATTTTTCAAATCATGTACTAGATGTTATGAAAATTAAAACACCCTTTTGTACTTATTTAAGTGTTTGAACATTTCAATGATGTTTCAGCCCAATGACATCCGAGAACTGGAAAAGAAACTTAACATCTTTTTTAAAGATGGCAGTCCTGTTGGATTTCTGAATACCCTGAAAAGAGCAACTCTAAATTAGGCTTATCTCATGAACCTTAACAGCTAAAACCCAGATATTAAACTTGAGTGTTTGAAACATGTTCTGTTAAGGAAAATCATGACTGCACAACCTGATGTAAAATGGCCATCTTGGTTACCTCTTTGAGCTTTTGCCAGCCCGAAAACTAACAATTTGCTGGTATCAATTCCTTAATATCTCTACGAAGCTTTGACCCAGTCAATGACACTGATGAAGCTGAAGATGTTCAAAATGAGGTTTTCAAGATGGCAGCTATGATAATCATCTTGGATTTAGGAACGACCCAAAAGATAACAGTTCTCCAATGGCCTCAAAATTGCTACAAGCAAAGCGCCAACCAGACCCTACAGATGGAGTGTGAGAAGTTTGAAAATGTGTGTTGTCTAGAAAAGCTGTAGATGCGGAATCATGTTATAAAATGTTAAAAGACTGAAAAATAATATTTTGTCCTGATTCTTCTCATCTCTCCTAAACTTCAACTCCTTGGTATCAGAGAGATTGGAGATGAAGTTTTAAGTGTTTTTTGTTTTGTTTCAATACTATTATTCCAATAAACTTTCGAATAAATCCCCCTGAAGCATCATGTGGGTCAAAGTTTCAGCTTTGAAATTTACTCCTAAATGTAGTTGCAATCATAAACTAGGTATTTCATTGTGTCTAATTTTTTTTGACAACTAAACTTTAGAAATACTCACTTCATTTTTTGTATATATTATATGTTGTTCTGTATGATACTGGGAATTTTTCATTAATTTCTTATAAATTTTTCAGCAATTTCTTTTAATCTAATTTAATACCTATAAGTTGCAGAATTCATTAATTAGAACCTTGGTTCCTTTGTCGATAAAGTGAAGTAAAGTGAGTTTTTTTTTAATTTCCTAACACATTTGAAACCTGTACCACAAGCAAAAAATTAACAAAGAATTTATGAAAAGAAGAAATATTTCCCTGAAACATATCTGGTTATAAATACATACGTACTGCCAGTCAATGGCATTGCATGCCCACCAGAGGCTTATACTGTTTAACTTTTAACCTAGTAAAACGATCAAATTGGAAGACCAGCAAATTCCTTCGTGTCTATGGATATTTGAGGTTTTGAAACTTTTTAACTGTGAGTTTGCGCAGGTAACATTATTCTACATAATGTTATAACAAACTTAGAAATAAAAGTTCTTCTTCCATCGAATGTATAACAATTAATAGTAATGACTTTTGCTAAATTCAAAGATTATAGTATTCTAACTCTTAAAGTTTTTTTTTTTTTGTTTTTGTTTTGTTTTTATGTTTTGTTTTGTTTGTTTTTGGTCACAGATATATATACACACTTACCGCTTGGATGTAGATGCAATAGTCACACTTGCTACACTGTATTGGAATTTGAGATATGTTGAATCGAATACGATTATCCAACGTTTAATGAAGAAGATAGCAACAGATCATTCTCCTACTGGAATATTTACGGTAAATCGTTCCCGTTAATTTAGAGTTATCTCCCTTTTGACCCGGAAGTCAACAAACCATCACATGATGAGGAAGGTTTAGGGGAGGTTCTATTTACCTGTAAATTACTTAATATTGCAGGTGTGACATGCTGTAGATGATCATGCCTGGACCGGACGAAGATATGGTTCGCAGTACGGGGGGTCAGGTAGATGGTAGGTATTAAATACAAGCTATGCACCGACAAAACAGCGGACCGAACTAACGGACACTTGTCTGCATCATTGATGCTGACATCGCTTCTTGCCGCACACTGATACATTTTGCATCTGGTGCATTAGAATGTGTTTACAATTTTCTCTGTATTATTTAAAGAACGATACAACAAATATATATATATTAATTGTTATTGTTTTACTGTTCTTTTGGATGATCGTCACAACAGACAAGACAGGAAACATCTGAGGTTTCATCACCTCATTATCTTCCGACGGTCGAAGGTGGTCGTTATCACGTAGTTATAACGTGTATTATTCTTCTAACTTGCAATTATCAGCTTAGGATTTCCCCCTCCAGCCACAATGACTACCGGATTAGAGGAATATATCAAAATGATAAAAATATGTGATGAACACACAGATCTTCGTTGGCTTAATGCCACTTTATTGATTAAAAAAACAGTAAGATAAATGTAATTATTTGGCTTTATAGCAAGATATTCTCATAGTTACCGTTAAAACTGTGGTCATAATGATGTAATTTCCTTTATATTTGGAGTCCCTCATACATATAGAGATATATTGCTATAATAAATCTAATTGCATACTCCAAGTAAGAGTTAAATGTTGCTCTTTTGGAAACGCATTTCTATATGAAAAATATACAAATATAGCTGAGTATTTGTTATCAGATTCTGTTGGTTTTCCGGTTCTGGTTACAATTTCATGATTATTCCAAATAGTGTTGTTACCCTACAGATTATGTATATATATCATCCAGAAGTTTTGCTATCATCATGTTAAATAAACTACAGAGAAAATAAGTTATTACAGGTAGCACATGCTTATTCTTCTTTACAGGAAAATGAATAAAAAAATTACCATATATACTGATCTGTATTGATAAGCAATTTAACCTCTAACTTTTGATCTGCAGACCTGACCATGGCCCTGATAGATGCTGCATATGATAGGGATGAAGAATGTCAGGAACAGATCTGTAATTCCTTGTTTGACCTGGGCAGAAGGAAGCCAGCCTTGGTCCTTAGTTCCTGCTATGCTTATCTTAAAAAGCATTCCAAGGTAACCACAAACTCACAACATGATAAAGTTAATAGTGTTCCTTATATCTGTCACATATAGAATTGATTTTATTTGAAAAATCTATCTCTAATTTGACACGAAACAAATAAAACCACTATGTATTCTTCAATTTCTTGGATATAGGATTATGTGTAATTTTGGACATTGTAAAATTTTTTTGTAAAGTTTTTTTCTGAAGAAGCACACAAATAAAACCACGTGTACTGTTTCTTGGATATAGGAACCGTAATTTTGTTGTAAATGTTTTTTTCACACTGTTCGGGCGAATAAAAAAAATCAACTTATCCCGAACCTGTTGCGATTGAATTATATACTTATGTTTTTTTTCTGTTTCATGGTCAGCTGGTCAAGGAACACCGTGTGGTCTTGTTACAATGTATGGAGAGGATCATAAAGGAAAAGCTGGACGATATTGACACTGGTCTGGCAGTGGACGTGGTTAAACAGGCAGCATTGGAACTCACTCTGTCAAAGGTTAGGGATAATGTGAAGGAGATATACCTGGGGTAGTACAACTGTAATCCCCAGTTATACCAAGACCTTCTGTACCATGCCAATTCTGGCAGTATAATGAGAGTGGGGATACAGTTTCAGCACAGTATCTGATGACACAAATCATATATAGTGAAATGCATTTATGTATAACTTAAATAATAGCTGATTACACATGTACCGTATTTATTCCAATAAATGCCCCGTCTCTAATAAACGCCCCCCACCTGTTTTCTCAGTAAATTTCAACAACTCAGGAGTCAGGTTACAAAGCTTACCTTTTAATAAATTTTAAATTCCTGGTATCCATGAACATGAACAAATGAATTTTGGCACAAGAAAATTACACTGTCACGACATGTACACAAGTAATATCAATTTAATCCACGGTTCATTTCAATATACTGCAGGCCTAACGGCCGTGACTGCCACACAAGCTACTGTCTTCACTTTCACTTTCACTTTCGCCAGTCTCGCTTTCACTCAGTTCTATTTGTGGAATAGAAGGTGCGTTCACATCACCTATTAAATTTTGCAAAACATCATCTGCAGCTTGGACATCCTTTTCACTAAACCCCTGGAATTCCTCATCGTCAGAATCATGCTGGAAAATATGATCCTCGCTACCGTCCAACGAATTTGTGATACCGCATTTTTTGAACGATCTTCTGATTGTGTCCGGGCTAATGCTATCCCATGCTGTCTTGACCCAAGACAACATTACAGCTTTAGATGGGGCTTTACGATTCCCTGCTTTGGTTTTCTCAATGGGGCCACTGAAACACCATTCGTCATACAACTCTCCAAGTTTTTGTTTGAAGGGTTTATTCCACGACACATCGGCTGGCTGTAGCTTACATGTACATCCTCCAGGTATAACACAGATGTCTGAATTATATTTTTGACGAACCAGATTTTTTACATCTTCAGTAAGATGACCACGGAAAGCGTCCCATACTAATAACCGCCTAGCTGTATTATTCACACCCCAGAGTTTTTTTAACCAAAATTTTATACTTTCCTCGTTTGCCCAGGATTTTTGTCTAGCCCCGCACATGTATACCACAATACCACTTGGTATGTCATCTTTCGGAACGGGACGAATGCCTGGCAAGTACACAAGGGGGGCGATTTTAGTCCCATCGGCATATGCTGCCAGTGTCACTGTTATTTTTTGTTTTTCGTGGCCAGTACTGTAAACTCTGACCTCCTTTTCCCCCTTTATTGCCAATGTCGATTTTCCTGGCATGTCAACGCGTTCTTAACACGAAATTAAAAAAACTGTCTATACGATCATCAATTAATGAAACTTCATGTTGTGCCACATGCGTAGATTGCCTATACGAAATATTATGTCTCTTTTTGAATTTAGAAAACCATCCATATGAGGCTTTGAACGATTGACTACCATTTGCCTTATGCATACGCAGGGCCTCAAACCGCAATGCTTTCCCAGTCACTTGTATTCCGGCCTCCCATCTGTCCTGTAGCCATCTCATCAGATTTTTGTCAATATCTTCATATCTGACATGCCTTCCACCTCCTTTACAGCGTTTAGATGTTTTAGAAAGATTTTAAAATTTTTTTTTGTTTTGACACCAGTCCCGCACTCGTTTTCTGTCAACACGAAACACTTTCGCGGTGGCATGTTTACCCTTCTCCTCTGCGAAGGCGATTACTTTAAGCTTGAAAGCAGTGTCGTAATTTCCTTTTGTCCCAGACATTGTTATCAGGTATGTGGGATTTATTAAGAAACAGACTGGCTTATATACCGCTGTGTTTTTTTATTTTGTTATGCAAACTTTTGAACATTGTACGTTTTTGACTGAAGCTGACACGATTGACATCGTGTCATTTCATACAAGAATTCAGGTTATCAGAATGCAATTGACAACAATGTTTAAAGCTACAACGATGTTGGAATTACTGCAATTTTCAAATGTATTCTTTGCTGAGTAATTTGTTAGTTTGTTAAACAATGTTTTTAAGTGACAGCCATGGCATATCACGACCAACAAATTATGAAATTTCGTGTTCTATTAATCGCCCCCTGTCTGAAAAATTTCACACCCCCGGGGCATTTATTGGAATAAATAGATAAGTTTTATATAATATAAATTTTCAGTCCACCATCATCAGGTAGTGGACTATTCAAATAAGCCTGCAAGGAAGGTCTGTTGTCTGTCTGTCTGTCTGTCAGTCCTTCAACAATTCTTGTGCTATTTCTGAAGAACTGGATGGATCATATGTAAGAATCCTTGGCCCCTTGTTGTGCATTTTCCCATTTTTGGACTGATCCGAAAAACAACATGGCTGATAGGCAGTCTTTTTGGATTTTGACAGTAATAGTTTCTTATCATTTCTGTAGAAGTCCTTTTTTAATCTTTTTCAAATTTCATATGATGGTGCTGCTTGGTCCCTAGTTGTGCATTGTCCCATTTTTGGACCGATGCGAAAAAGAACATGGCTGACAAATTTTCTAAGTAGGTTCCTCTTTGTGCCTAGTTGTACCCATTCATATTTCAGTCTGATTGGAGGTACCAAATGGCTGACATGGGGTGATCTTAGATTTTGACATTGAAAGTTTATCATTTTTCTTGAGAAGAAATGGATGGAACTTTCTCAATTTTAATTTGTAGGTTTCCTTGGTCCCTTGTGCCTTTTTGGTTTTTGGGATTGTCAAAAAAACAAAATACTGACAGACAGCCATCTTGAAGATAGTCAATGCTATTTCTTGAGATGAATTTGTACATTTCATATTTTTATCTGTAAATATGAAGAAAGAAGGGAAAAGATCCAACATTGGAAGAACAAATGAAGATGAATCAGTGGTGGGCACCAATATCCATCTTGGATCTGTTGTATCTTTCAATCATTGATATTTAATGAAGTAAATTAGTGAATTACAAAAACAATTTTAAAGCATTTGTAGTAAAATGTTTAAGAATGTTTAAAAATGTACTTTGCGGTTTGCAAAACATTGAGACGTACATGCCTGATGTTATCCATGCCATTGTCAGGTTTTAATTAGGATAATGTCGAGGAAAGTTAGATTCCAGATATATATGTCAAATTTTGTTGTTCTGTGGGGGATCATTTTATCTCTCAGCAGTAAAACTTTGAATGTTGTGTTCCACATGAACAGGAAGCAAACGATAGACCCAGCTGGTCTCAGAAATGAAAACTGTGTTATCTCCCTTTTTCTGCAATCCTTTATCAGTATCCAGTATCAATATCACCTGATAAGAATTCCTTTTTTTCTTTTTAAGATAACATAAGTGTTTGTGACATGTACAAAAAGCTTTGTTGATGCTTAAATGAATGTTATGTCAATGTTGTTTACTCAGGGGCATGGGACAGATCTAGAGGTAAGGTAGAGATAAGAAGCTTGTTTCTGTGACAGGCTGTTAGCTATCATCAACAGTCACCATTTAAAATGAATTTTTGTGAAGTTTAAATTTAGATGCTTGTTTACATTTTATGATTGGAGTTCAGAAAAAGCTTGTGCTTTCGTTTTCTTTGCCATCATTTACCAAATATAAAAAAACAACACTATTTACATACAATGCTTATTTGAAGTACCACACCTGTTACATGTGTATACACAGGTATATTATATCATGCATGACCAATTCCTCAACTGTATGACTGACAGCTTGACATCAAGAAAAATAAACAATGGCAATATGTTTGGGAGATTCACCAAATCTGTATTTGAAAATTATTGGAGGATAGGGGTATATAGATGATGGAGGTATTAACAGAGTTTTAAATAGTAGGGAAAAACATTCTAAACAAATTCATGGCAGCATGCTAGGTTGGTGATAAAACGGATGGGAGTACATTGGAGGACTACTGTAAATTTGTCCCACATTAACCCAGGGCATATATAGTCTAATTCAAAGCAGGAAAGAGGGTTATTACATGAAAGTTTTAACTGGTATTTCCTTAGTAACTGTGTAAGGTGGGCTTAATACCTACCAGACAGATGTTTATTCAATGGTGAATGTGGTATTGTAACAAAGCAATTAGAAATTTAAAAAACAAAAAGTGAAACAATAATGAGAAAAAAGTATGAAAGGTGACAATTTTTAAAACTAAATTTTAGAAATCTAATTTTTTAGAAAGAATTTAGAAGCAAAATCAAGGAATGTTCAAATGAAACCTGTAATTTTCATTAAAAAAATGAAAATTTAATGTTTGTCCTAGTTTTGTATTTGTATGGTTTATCATGACAGGAGGTAGTCCCTGATTGGCAGACTGCAGCCAGTGGTGTTTTAGTGGCCATCGGTACCAAGTACTGTGATGAAGTGATGGATGAGATGTTACAACGCTTCCAGCCTGGCACACTCCCTCACTTCTTTGTAGTACAGACCATCGGCAACCTATCCCAGGCCAACGGTTTGTAGTCTTTATATAAAGCTTTACACGTCTCTGTAAACTCATCATCAACACCATAGTCAGTATACATATACATATGTTGTCTTCATATGAAGTTTTACCTGTGTCTGTTAACACATCATTAACACCATAGTCTGTAAACATATACATATGTTGTCTTCATATAAAGTTTTACATGTCTCTGTTAACACATCATCAACACCATAGTCAGTATACATGTTAGTGAACATATCTTGTCGTCATATAAAGTTTTACATGTCTCAGTTAACACATCAACACCATAGTCAGTATACAAGTTAGTGTACATATGTTACAGTCATACATACCCTTGTATCTGGTAACCAGAACAGAACTCTGATCATCCTTTAGTTAATTGCCTTTTACAAATATAGGAGATCACGATGATCAGTATGGTCTGTCAACCTTTTCCTACTGTCTTCCTGTCCATCCACACAGTGATTCCTATATCTATTTTTCAACATATGTTTAGGTATTCTCTATTATATCCCTACTTAGTAAAGGTAGGGATGGGGTTAAATAGTGATCCCTGTGTCTATTGTCCATTACACAAGGTTTGTGTACAAAATACTTCTTGAACCTCTGAACAAATTTAGTTCATAGTCTCAAGCTTCCACACAACTTCTACACCTTGTTGTGTTTTGGTGGTCAGTTGTGAAGGTTAAAGGTCATACAAAATGTAGATCATACTGACTTGTCCACTTATAAAAATAAAAAAACTTGTGTATGAGATAGATTATGAACCCTTAAGTAGATACAGTAGCTATGTCTGTATGAACCCCTGCTCACTTTATCTTTAGTAATGAAGTTACACATGGTGGTTCAGTCTTTAAAATATTTTATTGTCAAATTTTCTTTATTGGTGGAAATGTAAACTGGTCTGTATGTCAACATTTTACAGACAAAATTTCATTATTTTTGAAAAAATCAAGCTTATGAAAAGATGAAAAAATAGGACAATGAGATGTTTAGATATTCTGTTTATATGATATTTAGATGACATTGTGAAATAAGATCAGTGAGTTGCCGGGTCAAGGTCACTAATCTTGGAATAACTTTTATAGGATATACTATCTGTCACATATTTTGGCCCTTTCTGACCTGTGTATCACCCATCGTGGTCTTCTCTCCCGTAAGTTACCAACTGTGGTCCTGTCTGACCTGTGGATCACCCATTGTGGCCCTTTCTGACCTGTGGATCACCCATCGTGGTCTTCTCTCCCGTAAGTTACCCACTGTGGTCCTGTCTGACCTGTGGATCACCCATTGTGGCCCTTTCTGACCTGTGGATCACCCGTTTGTGGTCCTGTCTCCTCTAAGTTACTCACTGTGGATCCTGTCTGACCTGTGGATCACCCATTGTGGCCCTTTCTGACCTTTGGATCACCCGTTTGTGGTCCTCTTTCCCGTAAGGTCACACATTGTGGCCTTTTCTAACCTGTGTGTCTCATATTGTAGCCTTTTCTGACCTGTGGGTCACACATTGTAACAATTTCCGACCTATCAGTCACCCACTGTGGTCATATCTGACCTGTCAGTCACACATTATGACCTTTTCCGACCTATCAGTCACCCACTGTGGTCGTGTCTGAACTGTCAATCACACATTGTGACTTTTTCCGACCTATCAGTCACCCACTGTGGTCGTGTCTGTCCTGTCAGTCGCACATTGTGACCTTTTCCGACCTATCAGTCACCCACTGTGGTCGTGTCTGAACTGGTTTTTTTTGATGGATTAATAATGTCATATGATTTTTACAGTTTACAGAATGGTACCACATTTGACTGCCGTACTGGGAACCATGCTACCAATGCTGGGTATGGCGAAACATGACAACATGAGATGGGTCTTTTCGGCAGGTAAATACTGCAGTCTAAAACATGAGATTTGTCATCTTACAGATAAACATGTACAGTCTAATACAGAATATAGATCATCTCTGCAGGTAAACACTTTAAAATATGAGATGGGTTATCATCATATGGGGAAAACATCAAATATTAAATAAATGATTTGGTTTTCTCGACTGGTAAAAACAGTATACAGTGAAACCTCACCTAACGACCACCTCAAAATTACGCTATTACAGGCACATTTTTTCAGTCCCTTTTTTTCCACTATATATCTTTGTATTGGTCGCTTCAGTATTACGACCACCCCGCTATTCCATATTACGACCACTTCTTACAGTCCCATCGACCACTATTTAAGGATAATTGACCTCATAATTATGACCAAGTTCTGACCAGTGAATACTTCTTCATGACACTACCTTTTAAGAGTTACTTCCCTTTGTTTTTTTTTTACCATATGTCATGTACAATGCCACTTTAATTGCGAATTATTTGTCTGATAAGTGATGTATTGAATTTGGAAATCAGACCCTGAATCCATTTTACAGAGAGTGATAATTATGGATTCTATCAGTTCACTACCAGCCTCATTGTCTTTTTAGATAAGAACTAAGACTCAGCTTAGTTTGACAATGATAAGTGATATTCTACCACTTGTAGCCCTGTCCAAATTTTGTGAGGCAATCATTGACTACTGCGCTAACATTGACAAAGCTCCTGACCCAACCGTTACCAAAGATCGCTTCTCACAGGAGGTGGCTTCAGCTTTTGATGTCTTGTTCAACTCCTGGCTACAATCCAAAGAAATCAAGGTAGAATTATTTCATAACCATCTGCTAGTGTGTTTGACTAAAAACTTCAAATATCAGATAATGGCATTTGCTGTGAAAAAATGGACTTGGTGATCTTAAATTAAAGAAAGAAAGTAAAAAAGTTTATAATTTTGCTCTCAAATACATGCTTTCCATTGAAAAAAGGGAAGTTTCTTTGTTTCTTACTTTATAATCACTTAAAAAACAACAAAAAACAGCTAGCTAGCTTATGAAATTTTGTGTTTAATTTTCTTAAAGTAGAATTATCATTTGGATTAATAAATAATTTATTTCAGAAGTATGATACTAATATCTGATCTAAAATGTAATAACATTAAAATTGAACTATTGGTGATGTCATGCAGTAGTTGCTTATGTCTTTGTGGTGTATGAGGACAGTGGGAAATTTGTGGTTTTATTGCAGCTTCGTCTGGCTATTGTGGAAGCTCTAGGTCACATGACACACTTGATGTCCAAGGAGAAGTTAGATGAACAGTTGCCAAAGATACTGCAGGGAATTCTGGGACTTTACAGACGACATCCTGAACCTCTACACATAACTACGGTTAGAACTCCATGCTATATACTCGTCTGCTGAAGGACCGAAAGGTCGTAATAATGGACGTAAAACCCATTAAAATAAATAAATAAATAAACATTCTGTGCACTTAATTCATGTTAAAATAGTGAAATCTTTACATATAAAAATTCATTACAATATGTGTTGTTTAGTGGATGAATTTTAAATTTCTCAACATATATCATACAATGAAACCATTCTAATCTGATACTATGTGGAACACTTACTGGAAACTTTGTTCCAAAATTAAATTTTCTTTCTGATGAAATTTTGTATATGCTTTCCAAACATGAGACATAATAAATGTGGGTTTTTGAAACATGATGCTCACTTTTCAAATGAAAACATTCATTTAGATGGAAATCCGTGAAAACTAGGACTTCAGCTGGTAAAACCTTTGTAGCAATGAAACCTTGAACATGTTTTCTCTGTTTTGATATCTGTGTGACAGGGTCTATGCAGTGTGCTGGATGCTGTCTGTGTAGAGGGTAACACCGTCCTGGAACCACACCTAGAACAGCTGCTAGCCACTCTCTTCCCACAGGTCAGTGGTATACTCGGTCAGTTAGATTTATAGATTCAACTTAAATGCAAAAGTCACAGTATAATCCTGTTTTAAATCAGATTATGTTTTATTATATGATATTTGATTTTTGCTAGATAATTACATGAACATGTATATTAGACAAGACAAACACTTGTACACCTCCATATACACATCTAGATACGCTAATACTTCAATTGAGGATATTTTTTCTATTTTCTGTTTCAGATCTTCAATCCTCCTGACTACAATAATCCAAACAGTGTTAAGAATCACAACGAAGTTCTGCGTTGTTTTGCTATACTGGGTATGTCTTCTTGTCTCTGTCTTTGTATTGGTCATCATTTCTTTATTAATATATGTTTTTCGCGAAATACTTCAGATGCATTTTTTCTCAACAAATAAGAATTGTACATATATGTTTTTGTAATTGTAACAAATCTCTGTACAGTAAGATAGGAATAAGAATTTTACATACAGGGTACATTTTTTTGTAAGTGTAACAAAGTAAGGAAGATACTGATGATCTATTGTGTGTTATTTCACAGCTCGTTCCTTCTCTGGGAAACTGACAGGAATCTTACTGGCCAAGCTGGACAATAACAACGAAAAGACCAAGATTGGTGTACTAACCATCTTTAAACATCTGATAAACGCAGCAAGTATGTCCGAGTCATTCAATAGTTGTACTGAAACGACAGGTTTCAAAATTTGTTCCCTTGAATTGAAAATGATAATCTTGAAGAGTTTATTTTCAGTTTCAATATTCTAAGGTATGTTTTTATCAAACAGATCTTGTTTCAGTTCAATCAGTAACATTGTCTTTAAAACTTGGGTCTATTGATTCGCAAAAATATAGGTAAAAAACAAAAAAAGATAATGAAAATGTTTAGCCAATAGTTATAATTACATTGAAGATTAAGGTCATAGAATATATCAGCATTGGGTCAGCTTTACACAAACAGCTGTTGTTGAGTGAGTTTTTGTGATCTTGTGATTGATAGCGGAGTCGATGGCAGATAAGCAGGAAGTGGTTGTGTCGGGTCTCAAATCAATGGTACTGGAACAGAATAACAAGGTAAAATATCAACTTTATACCTAGAAACACATGATGGGTGATAACACATCCATATTCATCTTTTTTTGTCAAAATCTATTTTGTTGTCCTGAGCAATCAATTTTTTCATTTTGAATCAGCAGTTGTATGTTGGTCCCCAGTGCTTTTGCAATATACAATGTTAGTGGATCTAAAATTAAGGAATGTCTAAGTGGCCTCCATCTCGAAAAATGTTATTTTACCTTAATTTTTGTTAAAATTGTAAATTTTAGCTGTGTACTGTATAATTGGGAATATTCCTGAAGAATTTATTTTACTGTGTTTACAGTTGTTATAGATAGCATGAAATACCTTATGAATATTTATATTGTGAAATGTAACCAGGTGAATATTATTGACCAAAACATTTAATGTACAACTCTATGACTATATGTTTACCTTTAAATACAGATGATAGGAACAGCTTATATGTACAGAATCTCATCAATTTAGGTTGAGAAATAAAACTGACTTATCAACAAAAATTCATTTTGAGGCTTTAGTCCTCAGCTAAGTGAAATGCTTATTCAAAACTGACCAAGTCACTTAATGTTGCACATTTAGAGGCGTGGCGCCTATGTGACTAGGAAATTTTGAATTAGTATTGTATGTCTTTACTGCTGAATTTCAGCCTCGCAAATTCAAACATTTATACTGTGTGTAGTCATTGTTATGGTAACCATATTTACAAGGAATTTAATGAGTGTTTGGTTTTCATTTCAGATAAAGAAGATTTTTGCTCAGGTGGTGATTGCCATGGCTCACCATAACTACCTGGAGCTGGAAGGTGGACAACAGATGATGGAGTTTATTGTTAAACAGTGTTCCCTCCCTAATGACCCTCCGGTGAGTAACAGATGATGGGGTCGGAAAGAAGGTCAGGAACTGAGAAGGATAAAGAATGAGGATATGAGAGAAATTGAGTGAAGAGATAATGAGTTGGTTTGAAAGGGAGGGCAAAATGAGGACAAAGCTGTTAATGAGAGTGGATGGAGGAACAGGAAGAACAAGGCTGGAAAAATCCAAAGGTTGTGGATATTCAAGGAGGTTGAAAATGATGGTAAAGGAGCAAAGGATGGTGAAAGAAGGAGCATGAAGGAGAATTTGTAGGTGGTTGAATTTAATGAGGTTTGGTAATGTACTAGGGTAAGATACTTAAGGAAAAGTGTGCTGGTCACTGAGGATGAGAGGATTAATGGGAAAAGAAAGTAGTGATTGTTAATATGAGAGATGTAGAGAGAGGATGAAACAGGTGATGTGAGAGATGTAGAGAGGACGAAACAGGTGATGTGAGAGATGTAGAGAGGATGTTTCAGGTGATGTGAGAGATGTAGAGAGAGGATGAAACAGGTGATGTGATAGATGTAGATAGGATTTAACAACTGATATTTGAGATCTAGATGTTCAGTTGGTAGGACAGCTGATGTCAGAGTTTCCAAAAGGTTGAGAAAATTGTGTGTTGGAGAGGATGGATATGATATGAAATACTCAATGGATAGCTAGAGCAATAGAAAACTCAATTGTACAATCATACATCTGTCTGTACAGGGTAAGAGATCTCCTGACCCTGAACATGTGACTAATAAACAGCTGAAGATGATGTGTGACAATGTACTACAACTGCTTACAACCACGGTGGATGATATGGAACAGGTGAGTGGGTGTTATCTGGTTTGATTGACCTCCCCCTCTATATCCTCACCATGATGTACTGAAATATTTCATTGCTGAATTAACATCTACAAAGTAACCGTAGAAATTGTCAAAATTATCATTCCTCTGGCAGTGTGAGAAACTTGAAAAACTGTTGCTAAAGGCTGCAAAGTCCAAAGATTTATTTCCCAGGTCTTCCATGCGATGGAGGCTAGATTGATTTGAATGTCTCCAAAATGGCCATAAATACCTTGAAAACTGAATAATGTGTCTCTTCCTCAAAAAAAATCATGTCTTTCTGTCAAAATACTGTAATCATACATGTTTTAGAGATAATCTTATTTTAGTAGAAAGTATTAGTGGGGTGGGGGTGGGGGTGGGGAGGGGAGTGGGATTTCATGCCGCCATGTTTAATTTCTGACCAAAAATTCAACAATCATATTTTTCCCTTTTCTTTCACAAAACAGTCTGGATTTGCTATCAAGTAGATCGTTGATAAAAGATATTCAGTTTCAAGTCACGACGACCATATTGTTTGGACATTTACAATCGTCTGTATATGAAAGTAGTTATGTGTAGTTAGGGAAATGTACACACATACAACAGAATTTTACTGCATACTCAAAGGAAATAGGTTATGAGAAATGCTAAATTATTTTTAACTTGTTAACATCAGACAGACTATTTCTGTCTTAAAAATGTTTTCTAGCGTTGTTGTTGTAACTTTATCTTTGTTGCAGACTTGAGATATTTTGTTAGCTTTTACAATCTCTTGCACTTTTAAAGTTCATTCTTCAAATTTTTGTTCTCTTCTTGAACAAATTTCTGTTCAGTTATTTTCATAGAAGGCAGATGTATTTTTGATGAATGGATTTGATATACTCTTCTCAGTTAAGTGACATTTTGGATCAAAAATATTTTTGTTGGGACAAATTCTCAGAAAAGTGATATTTCGGATTAGAAATACTTTTCTTGGGACAAATTCTCAGAAAAGTGATATTTTGGATTAGAAATACTTTTCTCGGGACAAATTCTCAGAAAAGTGATATTTTGGATTAGAAATACTTTTCTCGGGACAAATTCTCAATAAAGTGATATTTTGGATTAGAAATTCTGTGCCATATTTCATTTCTTTCTTGAGAGCTGGAGTCTATTAGACAAAACAAATCAACAATATAGCAGTGATTTAACATGAATGTGATTCAGTGCTCTTAGAAGTCTCCATTTGATTATTCTGGTTTCTGCTCCAGGTATTGTGGCCATACCTGCTGGAACTGATTGTACCAGAGCAGTATACCGAAGCTGCTGGGGTCCTTTGTAAATGTTTAGCTCACTTGTCCAACAAAAAACGCGAGGAGAATGCAGATGACTATGAGATTGATTACGAAACTCAAGGTAAATTTCAGATCTTTTTGAGAATAGAAATTAATGTTGCCAGTTACAAATGTTTAATACTTGTCCAATGTTCAGTATACTCGTTTAGTTACATTTTTCTATCACAGAAATTTAAACTGTCATCAGTTTCAGGATTACATTTGTATTACATCTTACAATTTACTGTAGGTCGCTGGGAAATTTATTTTCTTTTTCACTGATGTTAGTTTTTAAGGTTCAGTTCTTTTTTTCATGGATTGGTTAGCATCAAATCCTTCTGAGTGGGGATTGAGGTGCACATTTTAATTCTAGATATTGTCTTGTTTTTCTGAATAACCACATTTTATTTATGTTTCAGCCAATGTTCCTAAGACTCCAGTGCTGATAGCAAGACTTATGGTGAGTGTTAATGAATACAGTAACATCAGAAATGTCTAATAGTGTTTAACAGTGTTTCATCCCAGTAACTCCTACTAACTCTGCTGAAGGGGGACTGTTTCTTCACATCATTTTGTACAGTAGGTGAAGGTCCTGGGTTTGACTCCTTTTCACTGGTGCCAACCTGAGGACACGAGAAATATTGAAAAACAATTACTTCAGCTGTCATTAGCACCACTGTCTCTTACAAAATGAGGATGAAACTTGTGTTTTTCTTAAGAGGGAGTATTTGAAACTGGTAAAAATTTACTTGGGGAAATTTCTTGTGAAATGATCAGATGTATACCATGAAAGTTTCGGGTTGGAATCCTAGCGGAGACATTGAATATCTATTGCCTTTATTACATATTTGTTCACATAAAAACTCTTGAAATATTTAACAGACATACTTACTTGTGTCTTAAATTTGAAGGAAATCATGAAACAAGTTATTACCTGTAGAGCTATTATGACAGTCTCGTAGGGAGAATTCCCTATTGCTCAGTCATTAAAGTTGGGCAGGTTCAGATTCTAATAACAGTGTTGAAACATGTTGTTATTAGTTTTCAAGTATAACAGTGTAGTGAGAATCTTGGAACGAGATCATGAATCAGTCTGAGACTAAAGTTAAAATTTACAGGTAAATTGTGTTAAACATTCATATTTTTCAGGATTATGCTTCAAAAACTTCAAGTGTGGTTCAAAGTAAAACAGAGTAATACTGCTAACGTTTGACATGAGGTTGAATCACTTTATGGTCCCATGGCCTTTATTTTACGCTTTCGTCACAGAATTATTATATCGATATACATCGGAAATAATTCTGTGACGAAAGTCGTGATTATAATCTGTCATTAAATATAAGTGGCATATTTTCTGCTTTCAGTTAAGTGTTCATGGGATCAGATTATAAAGTACAGCCAATAGAATGTATTTGACATTTACAGGTGTTAGCAGGCCGACCAACGAATGGAAGAGACCGAGGTGTGCATGTGTTAATGACAATGAAGGGACTTGTCCCCAATCTGGACGAGAGCCTAGTGGACCTCTGGGACACTGTCATTCCCAAACTTATACAGTTTCTGGAAGGTATATGACCTATTAAATTAAGATTTGTTGTTGAAAATGTGCCACCATGACAATTTCATAATATAGTCTTTGGACATTTCAAAAAATGTTTTCAAAGATATGTCAAATTATTTTTGAGTAGATCGTGTATATTGTATGTAGGTGTAGAAGAAACAACATCACATCAAGAAAAAAGATTTTAAGTGGTCAGAGTAATTTTAATGTTAATTTCAAAGCTGCCATATTTGTTTTACTTGTGTTCATCTTGCTAAAAAGCAGAAAAAAGCCAAAATAAACGCTTATATTTCTGTACCACATAATATGCAAAAATCTTGAAAAAAAGTGATAACAATTGAACATTAACTGAAAAGTTGATAACTTTTTGTGAAGTGTATTAGTATATATGTATTGATATGGTTGGAATGGCTTGTTGTTAACTTTCCTCACTTCAAACTTGAACATTCTTGCTAAAATTCCAGATGCAACAAGAGAGGACACCTTTTCCCAGCAGAATTGGGAAGATTTATTTTTGAAGGTAGGAATGAATATGTACAAGGTCTTTAAGTATTTGCATTGATTAAACTTGACATGTACACATTAGTGTAGTACCCAAACTCACAGCTGTGTTCTGATCATTTTCATGAAGCAAATTACTTGCCAAATCATACTGATTTTTTTTATGCCTTTGAGGGGCATAATGCCTGTCCAAGCTTGCTACTGGCACGTTATCCTTGGACCTGCACACCTGATTTATTCCTATCTGGATACTCATGAAATTTGTGCGTGCCAAATAAATGTTAAATGCATCTCATGACAAAGGAATACATTTTATGATATTTTACAAAAGTTTATATTTCTGTTTGGTGTTTAAACTTTGTATATCTTCACTGTCAGTCTGATGACCATACCTCAGACTGATACATGGCTCTAGTTGTTGGAATTTGTAGAAATTTTTTTATCATTTGGAAGTTTAAAAGTAATTCCAAAGATTGACAATTCAATATCAAGTTAATGTTTAAAATTTATAAACATCCTGAAGTAAAATTATGGGCAAATACCCTTTTAAACAAATTAAAACATCCTGTTACAGTTCCCTTCTATGTTACAATAATGTGATACACTCAAGGGGTGTTAAATGTGTTGCCCTTAACATATATATATTTTGGGTTTGTTTTGCTGATTCAGTTGTTGTCAAAGACGTTGGATGTGATGGAGAATGAAGACTGGACAGCAGAGCTGGGAGAAACATTTGGCAGCCATGTCAACATGTACAATAACTACCCAGAGGAGAAGGTCTGTAAATCTATCCATTATCTCAGATAGGAAATATTTATAGAAAAAGTAGTCAATGAAATAATCTGTAAATGGTGATACTCTATGCATACATAATTATGATACCACCTATTTTTATGGGGAAGTCTCAGTATATTTTGCCTTCAAAAGCTTTAAACTGTCAGTTGCTAGAGCAATGGAACAGATTCTTTAAAATCCTTCATTTTCTGTATATTTTGCCTTTTGGTCAAAAGCTTTAAACTGTCAGTTGCTAGGAAAATAGATATGTTGTATGTTGTGTGCTTGGATATTTAGAATTTCTTTTCCTTTAGTTTTGATAAAGCAATTTCAGCCAAGCAAGGCCAGATGAGCGATACAAGCCCTATGGGCCTTTGTTTGATGATGTCACAACATCTCTTTTTGCTGTTAAAGTTGAGGATGCACATGTGTATTTAAACAATTTAAGTAGAAGTCATCAGAAACAAACATCTTGCCTTGTTGTTTTCATTCCCTAGATTTAAGTTCACAGAATAATTTTGGAATCCATTTTGAGTTGTCCCAGAGTTTACAACTAACAAGCATACAGAGGAGTGTTATGTAAACTCTGGAGTATGTGTATGTTTGTGTCCACTCTAAAATTTATGAAAACATATGTTTTTTTTCAGAATTTCCTGTACAAGTGTTTGGGCGTGGTGATGAGGAAGTCAAATAAGAAAGACTTTGTTAATAAACATCTAGACCTGATCTTTAGCACCATCAAACACTCTGATCAGACAGAGAGAGAGGTAGGTCAACATTCAAATTATAAAAGTACCATCAAACACTGACCAGACAGAGAGAGGTAGGTCAACATTCAAATTATAAAAGTACCATCAAACACTGACCAGACAGAGAGAGAGGTAGGTCAACATTCAAATTATAAAAGTACCATCAAAAACTCTGACCAGACAGAGAGAGAGGTAGGTCAACATTCAAATTATAAAAGTACCATCAAACACTCTGACCAAACAGAGAGAGAGAGTAGGTCAACATTCAAATTATAAAAGTACAAATTCAAATTATAAATAGGTCAACATTCAAATTATAAAAGTACCATCAAACACTCTGACCAAACAGAGAGAGAGGTAGGTCAACATTCAAATTATAAAAGTACCATCAAACACTCTGACCAGACAGAGAGAGAGGTAGGTCAACATTCAAATTATAAAAGTACCATCAAACACTGACCAAACAGAGAGAGAGGTAGGTCAACATTCAAATTATAAAAGTACCATCAAACACTCTGACCAGACAGAGAGAGAGGTAGGTCAACATTCAAATTATAAAAGTACCATCAAACACTCTGACCAGACAGAGAGAGAGGTAGGTCAACATTCAAATTATAAAAGTACCATCAAACACTCTGACCAGACAGAGAGAGAGAGTAGGTCAACATTCAAATTATAAAAGTACCAAACACTCTGAGAGAGAGGTAGGTCAACATTCAAATTATAATACAAACTTCTTGGTGTAATGTGAACTTCTGTGTAATGTGAACCTCTGTGTAATGTGAACCTTGGTAATGTGAACCTCTGTGTAATGTGAACCTTGGTAATGTGAACCTCTGTGTAATGTGAACCTCTGTGTAATGTGAACCTCTGTGTAATGTGAACCTCTGTGTAATGTGAACCTCTGTGTAATGTTAACCTCTGTGTAATATTAACCTCTGTGTAATGTGAACCTCTGTGTAATGTGAACCTCTGTGTAATGTAAACCTCTGTGTAATGTGAACCTCTGTGTAATGTGAACCTCTGTGTAATGTGAACCTTGGTAATGTGAACCTCTGTGTAATGTGTTCCTTGGTTATGTGACCCTCTGTGTAATGTGAACCTCTGTGTAATGTGAACCTCTGTGTAATGTGAACCTCTGTGTAATGTGAACCTCTGTGTAATGTGAACCTCTGTGTAATGTGAGCCTCTGTGTAATGTGAACCTCTGTGTAATGTGAACCTCTGTGTAATATGAACCTGAATGTGAACCTCTGTGTAATGTGAACCTCTGTGTAATGTGAACCTCTGTGTAATGTGAACCTCTGTGTAATGTGAACCTCCTCTGTGTAATGTGAACCTGTAACCTCTGTGTAATGTGAACCTTTGTAATGTGAACCTCTGTGTAATGTGAACCTTGTGTAATGTGAACCTCTGTGTAATGTGAACCTCTGTGTAATGTGAACCTCTGTGTAATGTGAACCTCTGTGTAATGTTACCCTCTGTGTAATGTGAACCTCTGTGTAATGTGAACCTCTGTGTAATGTGAACATCTGTGTAATGTTAACCTCTGTGTAATATTAACCTCTGTGTAATGTGAGCCTCTGTGTAATGTGAACCTCTGTGTAATGTGAACCTCTGTGTAATGTGAACCTCTGTGTAATGTGAACCTCTGTGTAATGTGAACCTCTGTGTAATGTAAACCTCTGTGTAATGTGAACCTCTGTGTAATGTGAACCTCTGTGTAATGTGAACCTTGGTAATGTGAACCTCTGTGTAATGTGAACCTCTGTGTAATGTGAACCTTGGTAATGTGAACCTCTGTGTAATGTGTGTAATGTTAACCTCTGTGTAATATTAACCTCTGTGTAATGTGAGCCTCTGTGTAATGTGAACCTCTGTGTAATGTGAACCTTGGTAATGTGAACCTCTGTGTAATGTTAACCTCTGTGTAATATTAACCTCTGTGTAATGTGAACCTCTGTGTAATGTGAACCTCTGTGTAATGTGAACCTCTGTGTAATGTGAACCTTGGTAATGTGAACCTCTGTGTAATGTGAACCTCTGTGTAATGTGAACCTCTGTGTAATGTGAACCTCTGTGTAATGTGAACCTTGGTAATGTGAACCTCTGTGTAATGTGAACCTTGGTAATGTGAACCTCTGTGTAATGTTAACCTCTGTGTAATGTGTGTAATGTTAACCTCTGTAATGTAACCTCTGTGTAATGTGTAATGTGAACCTCTGTGTAATGTGAACCTCTGTGTAATGTGAACCTGTGTAATGTGAACCTCTGTGTAACCTCTGTGTAATGTGAACCTCTGTGTAATGTGAACCTCTGTGTAATGTGAGCCTCTGTGTAATGTGAACCTCTGTGTAATGTGAGCCTCTGTGTAATGTGAACCTCTGTGTAATGTGAGCCTCTGTGTAATGTGAACCTCTGTGTAATGTGAACCTTGGTAATGTGAACCTCTGTGTAATGTGAACCTCTGTGTAATGTGAACCTCTGTGTAATGTGAACCTCTGTGTAATGTGAGCCTCTGTGTAATGTGAACCTCTGTGTAATGTGAACCTCTGTGTAATGTGAGCCTCTGTGTAATGTGAACCTCTGTGTAATGTGAGCCTCTGTGTAATGTGAACCTCTGTGTAATGTGAACCTCTGTGTAATGTGAACCTCTGTGTAGTGTGAGCCTCTGTGTAATGTGAACCTCTGTGTAATGTGAGCCTCTGTGTAATGTGAACCTCTGTGTAATGTGAACCTTGGTAATGTGAACCTCTGTGTAATGTGAACCTTGGTAATGTTAACCTCTGTGTAATGTTACCCTCTGTGTAATGTGAACCTCTGTGTAATGTGAACCTCTGTGTAATGTTAACCTCTGTGTAATGTTAACCTCTGTGTAATGTGAACCTCTGTGTAATGTGAACCTTGGTAATGTGAACCTCTGTGTAATGTTAACCTCTGTGTAATATTAACCTCTGTGTAATGTGAGCCTCTGTGTAATGTGAACCTCTGTGTAATGTGAACCTTGGTAATGTGAACCTCTGTGTAATGTGAACCTCTGTGTAATGTGAACCTTGGTAATGTGAACCTCTGTGTAATGTGAACCTTGGTAATGTGAACCTCTGTGTAATGTGAACCTTGGTAATGTGAACCTCTGTGTAATGTGAACCTTGGTAATGTTGACCTCTGTGTAATGTTAACCTCCGTGTAATGTTAACCTCTGTGTAATGTTAACCTCTGTGTAATGTTAAACTCTGTGTAATATTAACCTCTGTGTAATGTAAACTTCTGTGTAATGTTAACCTCTGTGTAATGTTAACCTCTGTGTAATGTTAACCTCTGTGTAATGTTAACCTCTGTGTAATGTTAAACTCTGTGTAATATTAACCTCTGTGTAATGTAAACTTTGTAATGTGAACATCTGTGTAATGTGAATTTTGGTATGATATCATCCTTCTGTGTTATATCAGCCTCTGTGTAATATGACCTTCAGTGTAATATCATCCTCTTTGTAATATCAACTTCTGCATAATGTAAACTTCTGTGTAATATTATCCTTCTGTGCAATATAAACTTCTGTGTTATATCAGCCTCTGTGTAATATGACCTTCTGTGTAATATCATCCTCTCTGTAATATCAACCTTTTTGTGAAATAAATCTTTGTAATGTTTTGGTTGTTTCCAGGGCTGTGCAATAGCAATGGGGTTCTGTGCAGCCTCCCATCTAGATGCAGTCTTAACAAAACTTGAAAGTGTTGCCAAAACTGAGATGTCGCAGAAATCAGGTGGACTCTTCAGTTTTATCAAGGTAATTCACTTATTTCCTCAAAATTAAGCATGAATTCCCACTACTGATTTTTTTAATTTGGTTTTATCATTTATTTTAAGATTTTAGGAGATTCTTATCTGATTTATTTACACAAACAAAAGTTTTCGTAGCAAGTTTATTTTGTTGATATTTCTGTTGGAGCTATGGATCAGAGATATTTTTCTATTAGCAGGGCATTTGTAATGTTAACTTATCTTTCTGTCAGTCCGTCTTTAAGTCCTTAATTGTGTGGAGTTACGCTGCATGCCCTCTCAAATAATTTTTATGGAACTTGGTTTTTATGATCAGGTTATACCAGACAGGGTCCATGCTTACATGTCATAATTTCTAAGGATCTATTATAAATATTTTCCACTAACACACATAGATAAAAATGAAATGCAGCTTTAAACTGTCAATTCTTCAAGTTTTTCGAAGAAAATGATTGTCTTTGAACATTTGAGTTTCAGGTAATTTCTTCTTGATCAGTTGATGCTTAATATATAGGATTATCTTTATGAAATAAAGCAAATCATATGGTGTAGAGCAATTTAAATTTCTGTTGCCATGGTAGCAGAATATTAACTTCATTTTGGTCTATCATGTTTAGAGGAGTACTGATAGGAAATAACATGATGATTTTTAGGTTATGTCAGTCATATCCCCTTTTGTTCCTAATATACAATATGTTTGAGAAGTACCAGGATGTTTAAACAAATGACTGACACCCTATGGGATACAAGGTATTGGTCAGATTACACACGGAAGGATGCTATTAGAAAAATGTCAGTGCAATTCTTTAACAATTGGTAATGGCATACATATCATTTTATTCATATGAAGAAGTTTCAAATTTCATTGTACCTGTTGATTTTTATATATTTCAGTCTCAAGGCGTATGTATTCTTGTAGATCAGTAAATATTTCACCACTCCAATGATTCTATAACAATACTAATCCAATTCCTTTACCTAGCTGCTCTTTCTTTGTCGGTTAGAAATATTGCCTTTTTTCATTTTAACACATGTTTATAACATGAACCTATTAAGTTGTTTATAAGGGAAGATTTAAAGTCTTCATCACAAATAACTTGACTATCCTGATAACTTTCGATGACTACTGTCCATTTTGGCCACTCTCATGGTTGACATAGGTGGTATGGTTACATTACTCGAAGGAGTAATGTGTTACCATCCAGGGTTCTTCCATTCGTAAGGACAGACGGTTTATTAGGGTGTGCCATCCATGTTAAGGTTATTGGGGTGTGCCATCCCTGTTAAGGTTGTTGGGGTGTGCCATCCCTGTTAAGGTTGTTGGGGTGTGCCATCCCTGTTAAGTTTATTGGGGTGTGCCATCCCTGTTAAGTTTATTGGGGTGCGCCATCCCTGTTATGGTTGTTGGGGTGTGCCATCCCTGTTAAGTTTATTGGGGTGTGCCAACCCTGTTAAGGTTATTAAGGCACGCCATCCCTGTTAATGTTATTGGGGTGTGCCATCCCTGTTAAGGTTGTTGGGGTGTACCATCCCTGTTCAGGTTGTTGGGGTGAACCATCCCTGATAAGGTTGTTGGGGTGCGTTGTCCCTGTTAAGGTTGTTGTGGTGAACCATCCCTGTTTAGGTTGTTGGGGTGTGCCATCCCTGTTTAGGTTGTTGGGGTGTGCCATCCCTGTTAAGGTTGTTGGGGTGTTCCATCCCTGTTAAGGTTGTTGGGGTGTGCCATCCTGTTAAGTTTATTGGGGTGCGCCATCCCTGTTATGGTTGTTGGGGTGTTCCATCCCTGTTAAGGTTGTTGGGGTGTGCCATCCTGTTATGTTTATTGGGGTGCGCCATCCCTGTTATGGTTGTTGGTTATGCCAACCCTGTTAAGGTTATTAAGGTGCGCCATCCCTGTTAAGGTTGTTGGGGTGTGCCATCCCAGTTAAGGTTGTTGAGGTGTGCCATCCCTGTTAAGGTTGTTGGGGTGTGCCATCCCTGTTAAGGGTGTTGGGGTGTTTCATCCCTGTTAAGGTTGTTGGGGTGTGCTATCCTTGTTAAGGAATTAAAACAAGATTTTTAGCCCACTATCTATTCAAATAGATGGTGGGTTATTCAAATCGCCATGCGTCCGTGGCCTGTTGTCCGTCCGTCCGTCCGTAAACAATTCTTGTTACCGCTATTTCTGGAAAAGTACTGGATGGATCTTTCTCAAATTTCATATGCAGTTTCCCCTTGGTCCCTAGTTGTGCCTTGTACCTTTTTTGGACCTCTTTTTTGGAAGTAAAAATTTGTTACTGCTATTTCTTGGAAAGTACTGGATGGATCTTTCTCAAATTTCATATGCAGTTTCCCCTTATTGTACCTTTTTTGCAGACAGACAGGTGGCCATCTTGGATTTTGAATGTAAAAGATTGTTACTGCTATTTCTTGGAAAGTACTGGATGGATCATTCTCAAATTTCATATGCAGGTTCCCTTTGGTTCCAAGTTGTGCATTATGCCTTTTTGGACTGATCCGAAATCAAGATGGCTGGCAGGCAGCCATCTTGGATTTTGAGAGTAAAATCTTGTTACTGCTATATCTGAGGAAGTCCAGGATGGATCCTTCTGATATTTCATAGATATTGGTTTCCCTTGGTCCCTAGTTGTGCATTGTACCTTTTTTGGACTGATTTGAAATCAAGGTGGCCCACAGGCAGCCATCTTGGATGTCGATAGTAATACAGCACAAGCATATTGTCCATTATCCACCTGTAACTGACTGCTATCTAATAATACTTTGGGATCTTTTTCAAATGATATTTGCTAATAGGTGCTTAATAAAAATATCTTGTGCCATCATTGAGTACATTCAATGAAGACCAGTTCATGAACATTTACAACACCTGTAACAAACAAAAAAAAATCTTCAAGAACTGAAAACAGATCCTCAAATGGTGGGCGCCAAGATCCGTCTGGGATCTCTTGTTGAAAGAATGAACTTCGTCATTTTTTCTTTAATCACACCAGAATAGTATAAAGGATTGAAAAAATGAAAGCTGATTTTAATACACTCTAGACTCCATAGATAATCAAAAGAAAAAAAACTTTAAAATTCCTTTAAGATTGTCCGTTTGTTGTTGTATGATGTTAGATGTTGAACTAGATAGAGAGTTAAATGATAAATTAAGCTTGATTATGGATGTTGTCTGAACTGTATATACCTGTACTGCTTAATGGAGCTTTACAAGAGCTGTTTTAATTTCTACCTCCTATTTCTTATCTGTTAAAGCTTTGTAGCAAAGGAGGCTACTACCATGATTGTACTTTTTCAGGAATAAACCCTCACTTGGTAATAAGCCAACCACATTTATTTCTATTTAGAAGCATAATCAACAAAGTCTTATCAAGTATTCTGTAATAAGCCCACCCCTGCCTTTGCATCAGAGAACCCCAAGAGTTTCTATAAGTCCTTCAGGCTATAATACTAACCCATTTGTACAATTAGAATTAGATTGAATTGTTAAAGACTGGATTGTATACTCTGTATAAGTAGAAGTATGAAAAACTAAACCCCTCAAAAAAAAAACCAAAAAACAAAAAAACTGAAAATGTTATGAATGGTGTTTTTATACAACTGTTGATGGGTAGATACTAACGAATATACTAACATGTATCTGACAATGAGCCTGTGCTTTGTAATAAGCCCACCAGTTATATATTGCTTTTATATAGAATTATATATACTACTTTCTATTGTCCTGTAATAAACTCACTGCCTGACTTTGAATGTAATGGCTTCGTGGCCTAAATGCAAGCTACCTTTCTCATTTCAACAGAAATCTTAACAAATGTGTTTTCTATATCTTTCGTCAGCCCAAATCCTTATTTCAGTGAGAGATGATGTGTTTGATGTCTGACTCAGTGAGAGATATGTTTGATGCCTGACTCAGTGAGAGATGTGTTTGATGCCTGCTTCAGTGAGAGATATGTTTGATGCCTGACTCAGTGAGAGATGTGTTTGATGCCTGCTTCAGTGAGAGATGATGTGTTTGATGCCTGCTTCAGTGAGAGATGTGTTTGATGCCTGACTCAGTGAGAGATGTGTTTGATGCCTGCTTCAGTGAGAGATGATGTGCTTGATGGCTGATTCAGTGAGAGATGTGTTTGATGCCTGACTGAGTGAGAGATGTGTTTGATGCCTGACTGAGTGAGAGATGTTCTTGATGTCTGACTCAGTGAGAGATGTGTTTGATGCCTGACTCAGTGAGAGATGTGTTTGATGCCTGACTGAGTGAGAGATGTGTTTGATGCCTGACTGAGTGAGAGATGTTCTTGATGTCTGACTCAGTGAGAGATGATGTGTTTGATGCCTGACTGAGTGAGAGATGTGTTTGATGCCTGACTGAGTGAGAGATGTTCTTGATGTCTGACTCAGTGAGAGATGATGTGTTTGATGCCTGACTCAGTGAGAGATGATGTGTTTGATGCCTGACTGAGTGAGAGATGTGCTTGATGCCTGACTGAGTGAGAGATGTGTTTGATGCCTGAGTGAGAGATGTGTTTGATGCCTGACTGAGTGAGAGATGTGTTTGATGCCTGAGTGAGAGATGTGTTTGATGCCTGACTCAGTGAGAGATGATGTGTTTGATGCCTGACTGAGTGAGAGATGTGCTTGATGCCTGACTGAGTGAGAGATGTGCTTGATGCCTGACTGAGTGAGAGATGTGTTTGATGCCTGAGTGAGAGATGTGTTTGATGCCTGACTGAGTGTGAGATGATGTGTTTGGTCCCTGGTTCAGTCAATGAAATTGGGGTACATTTAGGTGGGACTGATTCAGTGAGAATGGGCTACTGCTGGTGGAGGCTGACTCTTGGAACTTGGGTTATATCAAGGGGAGATTCAGTGAGATTGATGTACCTCTAGGGAAGACTGACTTAATGAGACTCTTGAGGAGACTCTGGTGAAGTTGTGGTACATCTGTGACTCAAACTAAGATCAGGTTACATTTTCGATTACAAAGTTTCTACCAAAGTGCAATTCATTAATTTTTTCACACCTTTTTAATTTGATAATCATTTCGTTTTATGATAGCAAAGTTACATTGCCTGAATTGTATTTGGGTCGTAGAAGATGAATATATGCTGTGTTGATGAATGTTGTTAAAATACAGGTCTGGGTCTATTTTATATCTGTTTAATCCCTCCGTTGAGGTGCAACAGACCATAATATCAACATATATCCGTAGGCTTGTGTTAACAATTATGTAACAGCTAGCTTGGAATCTCTATATGCAATATAACCTTTGAAGGCTTTTGCATATTACTTTTCTTCATTAATATTCTTACCATTTCTCCTCTGCCATAATTAGACAAACATTATTAGAATAAATCAGTGTGTAATAAAACAGTATTGTGTTAATCTGATGAGGTTAACTAGTTCTGTATCTAGAACTGTTTAAGTGGTATAATTTAGAATGATTCCCTGATGATGTTTTCTCCTGACAGCAGTGATTGTTGTTTGGATTGTAGCTTGCAAGAACATATTAAACTTGTTTAAGAGAATGATGCTTAGCTTCCTTCAACTTCAAAGACAGGAAATGATTTAAAAGTCCAAATAACCTATCAAAACTACAGTAACATGAGCATTAGCTTCAAGCCTGGTGTTATGTTTGACCTAAGGTCCTTGACCTACTTTCAAGGTCAATAACTTCATAGGAAGTACTATTGATGCTACAGTTAATGGTAATTAGTCTCCTGTTGTCAGCTGGGTCTGAGAAATTGTACATAAGTGGGATTCCATTTTAATTGTTTACATTGAGATCTACATCTTATTTACTTACTTCATATACTGTTTATACATACATAGTTAATTCAGATGAGATGTATGAAATATGGACTAATAGGCTTTTTGTTCATAATCAGATAAACTTGAATTCATTCATCAACATTTTATTAAATTTTATTTAATCATTTTAAAATTGAATTCATTCTTCATCATATTATTAAATTTTTCCATACATATTCTTATATCCATGAATAAGCAAATTTTGATCCTTGTGACCTATACATGTACGTTAGTAAATTACCATAATAATGTTGTATTATTGTCTATAGGACAGGTCAGAGGCTGACATAGAGAGGACAAAGGCTACACTGATGTTGTGTTACGGTTTTGTGGCCCTGTTTTCACCTCCAACCCTGATTGTGTCTCGTATGGAAGCCACCATTCTCCGTGGAATACAGCCCTACTTTGCCAATGTCAAGGTAACGTTACCATATGTAACACACTTCCTGTCAGTCTGACACTGCAAACACTCCTACTGTCACTGACAGAACATCAAACTTGTACTGGTTAATGTAAGGTACCTGTTGCCAAGGTAACCACTCATAACCCACAAAACCCATGTATCAATACTGTCTCTTCTGTTATCACAGTCTATGCTGCTATTTGTTCTAGATGTATTTTTACTCAGAACATGAAGATTGTTGGTAGACAAGTAGTCAAAAAAGGCAACTTTTGTTTGCTTATACCATTAACAATAGTATTTCCAACAGTGGAAATATCAGTTAATAAAATTTGAACAAGATAATATTATCTTTAAAATTTTGGAAAAAAAATGTTTTTGTTTTTGATGCATTTTACCTTATAACAGATGGAGACGGTGGACTTGAAACGATGTTGCATTCGTACTATTGAATTGATCGGGAAAACTTTGGACTACAACTCAAGTCATCGGAAGCTTGATTTCAGTTTCACGCAGCGGTCAGAATACCTGGAGTATTTACAGGTAGCTTTCTGCATGCTCTGGTGCATGATTAATGTTGTGCAGTTTTTGTTGACAGGACATGGGCGTCAAACAAAACTTGATTCGAACTGTGGACCTGATTGGCAAAGCTCTCCACCCTGATCATCTCAACTCTCAGTATAACTTCAGCAATAGAGGGGAGTTTCTTAATCACTTACAGGTACATAGTACAGGTGTAAATATATAATATACAGGTGCTAAATACACTTTATCATTTACAGATATATAGTACATATGTAAAGATATATACAGGTAAATTGTACACTTAATTACTGACAGGTACATAGTACAGGTATAAATATATATATATAAGGATAAACTTTCTATTTTGTTTTGTTTATTTGGTAAAAATCTTTCTTCTTCTGTTGGGATGAACAACATTTAATCTAGAGCATCATTTAATTGAGGGGATTTAATTCTGTATAAGGCAAGAGTCTGATCCCCCATGGGGCAGAGGTGCATGACCTAATAGAGGATATAGATATATCTGTCTTTAAATTCTACTTCTTCTGTGAAGTACTGGATTCAGTTTTGTATATGTCACTTCTTTTTCATATTAGAATGATGAGCATGGCTTTCAATTGTTCATAAGATATTGTTTGTTTTACAGATTCTATTGAATTTTTCTCTAAGTTTCTGTCATGGTAACAAGGTAGTTTTGTCAATACCATTGTGTCCTTTCTTTTCAAGTCAACAAGTAGTTTAGTGACATTTAATTACTCAAGCATCTAAATTCTGAAGGGAATATGACAAAAGTATGAGAATAATCTTGTGTAGTTTTTTATTTCATGATTCTGGAGAGCGGACTTCATGTTGTCATTATTATTTATTAAAGAGATATTGTATAACAAGTTTATTTCCTGTAGATATCTAGACTGATAATTATCATGGATTACAAGCTGGTTTGAATTGTATGAATTAATTACAGATGTATGATTTATCTCCCCTTTTCTGCCTCCGGGAAACTGCCATTAAAAATTATAGATAATTTTAAGCCTTTGAAGTTACAAAGTCCAGATTATGACACTGTAGCGTCTACATGTCATTTCCTCCATTGCGATAGTGGAATTGCTTAAAGTGCTTTTTTTATTGTGGTTTTTTTCTGTGTTGCTGTATATTTTACTGTTATCGATGGTTGTAATAGTTCAGTTCAGCAGTATGTAAAAAAAAAAAAAAAAAAAAATGTTGCTCCAGCCAATATTTTCTGCTTAATCCACATTTGCAAAACTTGAGATGAAGCTCCATTTCATTAAAATGATATGACATCTTACAATGAAGTTGCAGATAAATATTATTTCAGGATTCGGTAACTGATTATTTTCTGTAAGAAAGCAATTGTAACTTCACTTTACTATCAAATACTTATTTAACCCAGCATTTTTTAGTCCACCATGATTTGTTGGTGAGTTATTACAATTGCCCTGCATCTGTCCATCTGCCCACCCATCTGTCTGCCCGTCTGTAAACAATTTTTGTTATTGCTATTTCTTGATATTTGCTGGATCTCTCTCAAATTTTATTTGTAGGTTTTCCTTGATTTCTAGTTGTTCCTGTTTGATTTTGGGTTTTATCAGAAATGCAAAATGGCTGACAGGTGGCCATCTTGGTTTTTTACAATGATGTTTGTTATTGCTTTTTTAGGATGGATCTCTCAGATTTACTGTGTAGGTTCCATTTGATCTCTTCCAATTTTGGGACTGATCAGAAAAATAAAATGGCTGATAGGCAACAATCTTGGATTTTTTGTTTTGAAAGTTGGTTATTGCTATAGCTTGAGAACTTTATCAAATTTCATGTATAGGTTCCCCTTGATCCCTAGTTATGTCTTTTTGATTTTGGGACTGATCAGAGAAACAAAATTGTCAACATGTGGCCATCTTGGATTTTGTCTAGTAAAGTTTGTTGTCGCTTCTTTATAAGAAGTACTGAATGGATCTCTTTCAGATTTCATATAAAGGTTCCCTATAGTCCCTTGTTGTGCTCTTTTGATTTTGGGACTGATCAGAAAAAAACAAAATGGCTGACAGGAAATCATCTTGGATTTGGCAGTCAGATTATCATTGCTACTTCTGCAAAGGAATGTTGAAATTTCACATCATTAATATCACAAGCAGAGGAAATAAGAGAAAAGAAGGGAAAAGATCGAACTTTTAAAGAACAAATAAAGATTAAACAATGGTGGGTGCCAATATCCCTTTGGATCTCTTGTTATTCCTATATCAGGGATAATTTATTGTTCAAGATCATGTGACTATGTTACTTGTTTTCAGACTATCTGAAATTCAACATCAAGTGAAGTGTGAGGTCATGACAGATTTTTTAATAAATTTATTCTGAAATGCCTTTTTTCTGTTTTTGAATAGAGTTACATGAAAGCTGAATCTACAACTTCCATCACAAACGAGACGAGAGCGCTGGCCATAAAGTCTTGTGCCACCTTGGTGTATCCTTAGTCTAATTCTTTCCTGGTTAAATATTTTTTTTAGTAATTTTGCATTAGTTTTCACAGAAGTTTTTAAGATTAGCTACCTGGAAAGTCTTGTGGGTGATTATTTGCATTGTGAGGTATTTATTGACTGATTTTTGAATTGCCTATAAAAATTCTTTTTTCATGTTAAACACTGATGCTAAAGGTATGAAAGATATACAATTGAGATTGTATTGGACCTTTGCTTGTACAACAGCTTATGGAAAAGGTTGTTTTTTATGAGGGCTTCTGTTTTTTTTCTATTTTTTAAAGACTGAATAAAACAAATTATGGTTACCATGACAATGAATTATCTAGTCATAGCTTCCCTGAAATGTACATCTTATTTGCTATAAATATTTTCTAAACTTAAATATTTGAATTAACATTTATTTCAAGTAATTTCAATTAAAATATCTGAAATATATATAATTCCTTATCTTTGGTTTATAGTAAATTGGATCCCAAGTTGTCTGAAGCAGAGATTTTTGATTTGATTAAGACATCAACAGACTGTATATTTGTATTACCAAAAGAGGGGATGTCGCCAAAGAAGGGAAAGGATGACTCGTATGATCAGATGCTGGAGGCGGAGGTGTTGCTGCAATCTACGACAGAGGCCATGCATGATCTACTCTGTGTGATTCTTAGCAAGGATCTCACACCCAATGGCCTTGACTCTGTGTTCAAGGTGAGGTCAAGGTCACATATCAAGGTCACAACCAGTATAAAGTGATCCTTGATTTAAAAATGACATCTTTGAAGCTGAAATGAATCTGCTAACTTTATAATAAGAAGAATGCCAATTTGAAATAATTACTCAGTAGTACGGGAAACAGGTAAAATTTCTGAGTTATGTGTTATGTGCTTCAGTTCAGTAGGACACCAGTGAGTGGGAACTCAAAGACTGCTGATAATTTAATCACAGTCTAACAAAGAGAATGCTATAAGCACACTCACATATATATATATATGTATCTGATTTACCATTTGTGCAATAATTTACTGACACAATTCTCATCAAAATAAAAATTAATCATGAAAATAGGTTGATAGAAAAACAGATGAAAAAACCCACCAAATGAAAATGTTTTAAAGAGTTGTTTCATGGACACAGCATACTTTTAAACGTGGAGTTTTCAATAGCATCTTTAGAGGGGATAGTATTACTTTAAAGTAGGTGTGGTACATTAAGCATTAGTCTCTTCAGAGAAGATAATATTTCTTAAAAATAGGTGTGGAGCAGATTCAGCTGTAATGGTGTTCACTGATACCAACTTTCCTTAGAGGGAAGGACAGATAAATTTCTACCAGAGGAGATTCATGCCTCTCTAAGCGTAGGACAGAGAAATTTCTACCTGAGGAGGGTAGAGAATTTGCTGTTCTATCCTCAAACTAGAGAATAATCTTTTTTCTACCACTTATATCCAACATACTGGAAAAAGAATAACAAGACAAATATATGCTGAACAATATGAATCATTGATTTGTATGAACAAAGATGATCAGATACTGTCATACAATAATATCAGACTGATCTGAAACTGTCCACACCAATCAGTCACATCTCTCATGTCTCTAATTAACAACTTCCCATTTAGCATGTGTTTTTGTCCATTGCGTGCAGGTTGTCTTACCCCAGCAAGATACATGTAGCGATATCTCACCTCACTAAAAGGGCGGATATTTCAGTCTGATGGGGTAGAATGTAATTTCCATGCTAATTTGTTTCTAAGAGTTTCTATCTCTCCCAGAGCAGTGCCACAACACTTCAAAGTTACAGGCATCAACACTTATACACAATCCAGACAAGGTTATACCCCAGCATCTGCAGTTAGGTATATTTATACATAAATCTTCAATCCTCATTTTTTCCTCTAGCACATAAAGAGATGGTTTGATGAGTTAGAAGACCACAGACGGGTACGAGCATTGGAAACTCTCCTCATGGCAGAAGAGTATATACTGGAAAATATGGACCCCACATCTGAGGTAAGGAAGTAAAAAAGAAATGCATCTCCATAGATTATCAAAACAAAAACATTGATATCTCGTCAGAGTTAATAACGCAATAGATGTCTCTTCATAGATTATTTAAAGAAAAACATGGATATCTCGTCAAAGCTAAAAACATGATTGATGTCTTTACACAGATGATTAAAACATAATGCAGCTGTCTCTTTTGATGTTATTATGTCAAAACCGTTAAATCAATCCCTGTAAACATTGTTCAGTAAAAACAATTGATTATCTGTATCACACTACTTATATAAAATTGCTTGTTAGAGAAGTATTTTTTCACAGTGGTTTCATTCTGATTTCTGGTATTTTCAGGAGATAAAAGGTTTTGAGAGTGAGTGTACAATATTAGCACGTCTGGTACCTCGGTGTACGGATCCTTGCACCCAGGTGCGGCAGTTAGCTGTAGATTGTATACAGGTTGTACTGAAGATGGCATCCAGAATAGATGGTATGTCTCCTTGTTTATATGGTTATAATTTCTGGTAATCAATCTTTCATTGTATTTATTACACAATAAAATTAGGTAGTAAACATATATACTCTCACTTAAAGTCTCAAAGGAATCAGTTTCATTTTAAGTATTTAATCATATGAATGAAATAAGGTTTAACCCAATTAAAAGTCAAGAGGATGGGCTTATCACAGGATATTGACACAACAATTGGTTGTAATTCTACTGGTCAGTAATATATATAGATGGATGTATTACAAGACATGGGCTTATTGCCAGATAAACATTGTAGTGCCATTATGCCTGCGCAAGTACTACCTCAGAAGTCACAATCTGTCCATCATTTTACCTGTAGTTTGTATGGGAATTGTTTGTAAATCTGTGTGGGGTTGTCAATCTGCAGCAACCAGACATTGCTTGCACTTTGTTATCATTTTGTATGGCCTTGTAGTGATAGGGTATATATATTGGTGCTATACTGTAACTGTATTAGATAACTTAGCATGGTTCTAGAAAACTTATGATGGTCAAAGCTGATGTACATGTCAGACTTATATCTTCTGTACTGTTTTACCTGCTTTTACCTTATTTTGCATGTTTGTTCCTTTAAGGATTAGCCCTTAATTGATTTTTATTATATTGAAGTTAAATCAAACGTCAAGGCCATTTAATTTCATTTTCTTCTTTGCCTTGTAGTCTTATCACATCTAATGTCTTTTTCTTAAAATCTGCAGGAAACCCAGCTGATGCTAAAGATCAGATGATTGATGCCTTGTCAACACTTAAAGAACGCCTTGAGAAGGGCGATCCTACTATACTCTTTAGTGTTATCAACGACCTTGCCAAGGTCAGTACTGATACTGTTACTTCAATATACTCTTCTCTATTTTAATATCTAAGTTGAACTGCTGTTTATAATTTTGAGATACATAAAACTTAAATCTAAGAATACTTTCATTCTCATTAAAATGCTTAGTTTTTCTACAATCACTTTTTCATTCTCATTAAAATGCTTAGTTTTTCTACAATCACTTTTTCATTCTCATTAAAATGCTTAGTTTTTCTACAATCACTTTTTCATTCTCATTAAAATGCTTAGTTTTTCTACAATCACTTTTTCATTCTCATTAAAATGCTTAGTTTTTCTACAATCACTTTTTCATTCTCATTAAAATGCTTAGTTTTTCTACAATCACTTTTTCATTCTCATTAAAATGCTTAGTTTTTCTACAATCACTTTTTCATTCTCATTAAAATGCTTAGTTTTTCTACAATCACTTTTTCATTCTCATTAAAATGCTTAGTTTTTCTACAATCACTTTTTCATTCTCATTAAAATGCTTAGTTTTTCTACAATCACTTTTTCATTCTCATTAAAATGCTTAGTTTTTCTACAATCACTTTTTCATTCTCATTAAAATGCTTAGTTTTTCTACAATCACTTTTTCATTCTCATTAAAATGCTTAGTTTTTCTACAATCACTTTTTCATTCTCATTAAAATGATTAGTTTTTCTAAAATCACTTTTTCATTCTCATTAAAATGCTTAGTTTTTCTACAATCACTTTTTCATTCTCATTAAAATGCTTAGTTTTTCTACAATCACTTTTTCATTCTCATTAAAATGCTTAGTTTTTCTACAATCACTTTTTCATTCTCATTAAAATGCTTAGTTTTTCTACAATCACTTTTTCATTCTCATTAAAATGCTTAGTTTTTCTACAATCACTTTTTCATTCTCATTAAAATGCTTAGTTTTTCTACAATCACTTTTTCATTCTCATTAAAATGCTTAGTTTTTCTACAATCACTTTTTCATTCTCATTAAAATGCTTAGTTTTTCTACAATCACTTTTTCATCAATCAGTATTTTACATTATTAGCCATAATTTGTTGATGTAGTTCTGAAATATTTCATCATTTCATCAGATGTCACATCGAATATAATCCTTTGTCCAGATCTGATAAACTAGTTTGTAAAATTTCAAATATACTTTACAACATCCATATTATGTTTGACCTTCCCTGGTGAAAACCTTATTTTGTCCAGTGTTTATTACACTATTTTTTTGTAATTTCTTAATTAAGTTGACATATGTTTACCTACATGATTCACTTATCACTTATCCTAATTACAAAAAATTATAAAGGTGAATTCAGAAACTTTGATAATGATGAACGTTTCCTGTCTGAGGAATATGAATTTGAGTCCTTAGTGAAAAAATGAATATAATCAAGTTGATTGTTTCCTGTGATAATGATTACAGTTTCTCTGTATCATTCTTCATCAGGGCTCTATAGGTTTTCATTTGTTACATGATTTCATTGGTGTTTGTTATGTTTGTGTCGTTTTGAAGGTGATAGCTAGGAAGTTACCAGCAGAACAATTACAGACTTTCATTGAGGTTCTACAGGAAGGACTTCTGGACCCTCAGTCACACAGCTCCTCAGGAGCCTGTGTAGTCCTTAATGGCATAATGAAGGCCCGTGGTGGGGAGGTGCTGAAACAGGTAAAACCGTACACAATGTAAATCTATATACATAATGAAGGTCGTAGGTGGGGAGGTACATAGACATGTAATATCAAAGTGTTAATGAAGCAAGTTCTGTGTACACAATGTTAATCTATATAGATAATGAAGGCCTGTACATAGACATGTAAGATCAAAGTGGTACTAATGCAAGTTCAATGTCCCTTTACTGATGATGCAGTGCTATCTCCATTGACCATTGTAATGCTGTGTTGTCTCCCTTGACTGTAGTAATGCAGTGTTATCTCCCTTGACCACTGTAATGCTGTGTTGTCTCCCTTGGCTGAAGTAATGCAGTGTTTTCTTCCTTGACTGTAGTAATGCTTTGTTGTCTCCCTTGACAGTAGTAATACTTTGTTGTCTCCCTTGACTGTAGTAATGCTTTGTTGTCTCCCTTGATAGTAGTAATGCTTTGTTATCTCCCTTGACCATTGTAATGCTGTGTTGTCACCCTTGACAGTAGTAATTCTTTGTTGTCTCCCTTGACTGTAGTAATGCTTGGTTGTTGCCCTTGACTGTAGTTACGCTTTTTTGTCTCCCTTGACTGTAGTAACGCTGTGCTATCTTCCTTGACCTATGAATGCTGTGTTGTCTCCCTTGACCATTGAAATGCTGTGTTGTCTCCCTTGACCATTGTAATGCTTTGTTTCCTCCCATGACTAATGATGCGGTGCTATCTCCATTGACCTTTGTAATGCTGTGTTGTCTCCCTTCACTGATGATGCAGTGTTATCTCTCTTGACCTTTGTAATGCTGTGTTGTCTCCCTTGACTGATGATGCAGTGTTATCTCTCTTGACCTTTGTAATGCTGTGTTGTCTCCCATGACTGATGATGCAGTGTTATCTCTCTTGACCTTTGTAATGCTGTGTTGTCTCCCTTGACTGTAGTAATGCAGTGTTATCTCCCTTGACATTTGTAATGCTGTGTTATCTCCCTTGATTGTAGTAATGTTGTGTTGTCTCCCTTAGCTGATGACTTATGATGTTATGTTGTCTTCCTTACCAGGTGGGTTCCATAGTATCATCTCTACATGAGAAACTTGGTCAGATAGAATTTGCCCAGACAAAGACAGGTACACTGAGAACTCTACGTACCCTCACCAGTTATCACCTAAGCACCGTAATGCAGTCTCTGCTCAACTTCCCACTCCCTTATGACTCGTAAGTATTTGTAAATATTAGTAGTAATGAGTAGTTATTCATCCCTGTTAATCTACTTGAAGTACACAAAATCTGTTTCAGACTGTAATCCATATTTAACATACTAATTGAAAATAATTTTCTTTGAAATTGATCTGAATTTTATATTATGAATTTAAAGTTAGGTGGGACTATAAAAAGGGCAGGGGAAAGGGCAGAAATTGAAATAGATGTCTTTGAAATCAAGATTATGTATAACATTGTGTGATTTTTTAGATGATTGTTTATAATTGTAGAAGAATGTGGTGGGGACTTGTCAGATAATAGGTTTAGATATTGTGTTTTTATGTTTGTAATCATACAGGAATGTGGTGGAGATTTGGCAAATATTGGCTCAGGATTCCCAAATAACATCAAGCATGATAGACTATCTACTCGAGACCTTACAGCGAACACTTCCATATGAGGAGCACAATGATGGTGACCGGATTGTTAGAAATGCTACAGTAGCCCCCTTAGCTGTGAGTATCACTGTGTTGTGTCTGACTGATGAGTTCTCATTAGAACAACTACAGTATCATTGTAAGAACAACTACAGTATCCCCCTTAGCTGTGAGTATCACTGTGTTTTGTCTGACTGATGAGTTCTCATTAGAACAACTACAGTATCATTGTTAGAACAACTACAGTAGCCCCCTTAGCTGTGAGTATCACTGTGTTTTGTCTGACTGATGAGTTCTCATTAGAACAACTACAGTATCATTGTTAGAACAACTACAGTAGTCCCCTTAGCTGTGAGTATCACTGTGTTTTGTCTGACTGATGAGAAAGGCTAAAGTAGTTTCTCTCCCCCTTAGCTGTATCACATTGCTATAACTGACTGATAAGCTGACAGTCAATTTGCTTTAATGGTCCAGGAGTGTTTTCAAATTTGCATAATGCAATAAAGAGAGAAATGTGTTGAAAATCATAGATGTCATATATGTTTGAACCCAGTGGACTCACCTGAAAGCCTAATACAATAATGATTGCCAGAATTAGCTCAGAATCAAAGTCATAAAAAGTTTACAAAATTGAAACAATAATTACAGGAATTCAAGGTCACCTTGGTGAAAGTTTGTACTGCTTCTACTTAAGAACTAAAATTCTTAGAGTCATCATATAAAATTGTTGTATTCTAGGTGACTTGTGCCATGAAGGTGATATTTGATGCGGAAGAAACAGAGGAACAGGTGATAAAGAACTACCACAGGCTGTTTGCAGCCCTCATGCTACGGGTCGGTTCATCTGTCGGAGTCAAACCGCTCAAACAGAAATCTGTAAGTAAAGCGATAATGGAAGTAAAGTTTTCATTCTGACTATACAGGTTCTTTGTGGTCTTCTGTCTGACCATACAGGTTAGTTTTAGTCTTCTGTCTGACCATACAGGTTAGTTTTAGTCTTCTGTCTGACCATACAGGTTAGTTTTAGTCTTCTGTCTGACCATACTGGTTAGTTTTAGTCTTCTGTCTGACCATACAGGTTAGTTTTAGTCTTCTGTCTGACCATACAGGTTAGTTTTAGTCTTCTGTCTGACCATACAGGTTAGTTTTAGTCTTCTGTCTGACCATACTGGTTAGTTTTAGTCTTCTGTCTGACCATACAGGTTCTTTTTGGTCTTTTAACTGACCATGCAAGTTAGTTTAGTCTTCTTTCTGACGATACAAGTTAGTTTTGGTCTTCTTTTTGACCTAACAGGTAAGCTTGAGTCTTATTGATCATAAAGCTTAATTTAAGTCTTCCCGACCTTACAATTAAGTTTTAGTCTTCTTTCTGACAATACAGGTTAGTGTTCCTCTTCTTTCTGACCTTACAATTTAGTTTTAGTCTTCTTTCTGATCATTCAGGTTAGGTTTTAAGTCTTCTTTCTGACCATTCAGGTTAGTTTAGTCTTCTTTATGGCCACTCAGGTTAGTCCTCTTTCTGACCATTCTAGCTAGTTTTAAGTCTTCTTTTTGACCATTCAGGTTAGTTTTAAGTCTTGTTTCCGACTTTACAATTTAGTTTTAGTCTTCTTTCTGATCATTGAGGTTAGTTTAGTCTTCTTTATGGCCACTCAGGTTAGTCCATTTTCTGACCATTCTAGCTAGTTTTAAGTCTTCTTTCTGACCATTCAGGTTAGTTTTAAGTCTTGTTTCCGACTTTACAATTTAGTTTTAGTCTTCTTTCTGATCATTGAGGTTAGTTTAGTCTTCTTTATGGCCACTAAGGTTAGTCCTCTTTCTGACCATTCTAGCTAGTTTTAAGTCTTCTTTCTGACCATTCAGGTTAGTTTTAGTCTTTTTTACCATACAGTAATTATTCACCTTATTATTGGTGAGATAGAGTGATCTCAACCCTTGGGAAAAGATTTTAAGTTGCAAACCCTTGGCAAGACTAATGTTTGCTTACTTAATAATCTTTCCCCTTTGCATCGAGATCCACCTGTCTCACTGTTCAGGCGATGAAAGATTAAAAAAATCTTTGTTTGCAGGTAAAGACAGGATCAGAACATGATTTTTCAGTCAGTCTGTGTTTTGAATTCCATTGAAGATGATAATTGTATCACAATACAGAGTAAAACTTCATTAGGAATATGCTGTTGATTTCTATAATTATCATCTCAATAACATGATTTGCTTTATCACAGAAAACATTGAGACAAAAGTTGTTTCAGCAGGTATGTTTTGACTGTATGTGGGCATTGATGCATTTTCTGAGAGATATTCTATATTTAGATTTTGCCTGCTTTTGATATTGTATTATGCTTTCATGTGTGGCGAACGTTCCGACTCATCGGATTCTACTAAAATTAAACAAAATCAAGTAAAACAATAGATTAAATACAGTCGAAATAACTTTGTTTTGAGAACTTTTTAAGTATCTTGTACTCCAGGAATACTTATTGATGAATTCACCTGTAATTATCAAGGTCTCCATACTTCAGTAAAAAATATTCTATTTTAAGAAACTGTTTGAAAATAAACAAATGAAATGATGTTATATGTTTAACAAACGATATTTTTTCATCTTTTTTGAGGACTTTCCTCATACTTTAAAAGTATTTAGTGATATTTTATAGTAAGACTAGAGCTACCTATTGTAAACTGAAGTATTATAGTACAAGTATATTGCAGTGTGTAACAGTATCTTAAAAACTGTACCTTCTAATTAACATGTACAGTAAAGCATGGTAACAAATCAATTCTTAACATCACTTCTTCATGTAAAATATCGCACATTTAATCATAATTATTACAATTAATTTGATATTGTAGATCATGGTTACCAAGGTAATAGTTGTCATGGTAATTAGTCAAAGTATTGTACTTCTACTGTGTGCTGTCCATACCAATTCTGATTCAGTAAAGGAGTGAGAGAGCTGGCTTATTGCAGGACAGTAGAAATATATTACCATTTAGAATAACAACATGATATATTAATGGATGAAACTCTCGTCCAAAACTTTTTCAAATCTATTATTTAAAATATTAAATATTGAAATATCAAAATTTCTGACCTATTTATTTCAATTCTTGAGTTTTAGATGCCAGATATAGTAGTTATGTCCCTTAGATTTATAACATCTTCATAAAGAGTTTTATTTTTTCTTCATATTGCACCAGTTTTTACTTAAGACTGTTTCTAAGATTTTGCAATTATTTTTGTAAATTAGCATATCGTTTTTATTATATATGTATGTGTAGTGTTCCTGCCTTTAGTTTATTAGTGGTTTTTCTTGTAGTGTAAAGTTGCTTTAAGGGACAGTGTTGTAATTGTTATCATTTGGTGTTTATTGATATATAATGTCATTGTGGATTTTTTTGTAAATTGCTTGGTATAATGTATACATGATCATGTGGCTAGTCTGTATTATACAGATTACGAGATGTTTGCCAATGATTTTCGTCATCCTGCTTATCCCCAACAGTCCCTCTGACTTCTGACATATATCTTTTGTTTCTAACCTCAACTTCCTATGCATGCTTTGTTGTAGATCAGCCATGTCTGGGATTTTATAAAAGATAAATATATGACATCCTGATCCCATGTAAACTGTCTGAATCTATTACCTTGTGATGTAAATAGAATAAGCCGTAAAAATCTCGAGATTTAGTAGAAAGCTTTATTAAGTACAGATATTATTTAATTTCCTATGTTGATTTTCCCCTCCTCAAATAACTTTCACTCTCCTGCTGTGTAATGCTGTGAAGTCTTTTTACCCTGCCCTCTTGATAATGTTTGGTTGAATGTCTCATGGAAATGTGATGAGACTTTGATATTGTGCATGAAGAACTTTATAATGAAAGCTTATTTAGGACGTCTTTCCCTCAGACAGATTTGTCTTTGGTATGGAGAATAAAACACTAATGCATGTGTAAAATGTGGAAGAAAAAATTGTCTTTCCTTTTAACCATAAATCCTTCATCACCCCCTCCCTCCAGGCAAACCATGATGTTTTTCCATTAATAATAACGTAAGTGATGTTTTTGCCAAACCACTAAAAGGGAACAGTCACTTTGTGTCAGCACTGTTTCATACAGGGTGTAGGAGAGAATAAATTTACACCTGACCTGTGAAGGAAAATCGTTCATCACTGATGGAGGTTTCCTATAGTCAGAATATTTTGATATGAACTGATATATGTTTGAAAGTCAGTGTTATATGTATCAAAGTACAAATTGTCCCTAACTTCAGGAAATTCCTCAAATTTAAATTTTCGATAGGAAACTTGTGCAGAATTTAAGGATAATGTCCTTTATTGAGACATTTTCCTTCACTTTAAGTTTTCAGACAAAGGAATTCTTTGTAAGGAAATATTCACAAGTCTGGGTAAAGAGGTCTTATAAATAGATTGACAATAATCTACATGTTCTTTGATATATCTGTTGTAAAATTCCCATCAATAAACAGAAAAAGTTATATGGTGACAAACTGCCTGTATTGCTATAATCAGATATCAGTCACCTGCTGACAGCCAACCCTTTTGCTTATTAACTTACCTCGTCATATCAGTAGTAATTCTTAATCTAATTCTGCTGTGCGTTTTTTATGTTTTCTATTATAGTTGAAATTGTTTATATTTCTATGAAAAGAACTTGGAAAGTCACTAAAAAAAAACCAACAGGACAAAACAAAAAACATGCACAAAAAAAAAAAAAAAATGGTTTGTGTATGAACAGCATATGTCTATATAGTGTAATAGTGTATTAAGGTCCCTATAAGTCTTTGTGATGGTTTGTTAGATAGCAAACTATTAAGAACAGTTCATCTGTCCATTTTTTATATTAGATATCCCTAGTCCAGGTGACAAACAAAAACAGATCTGTTTAATATATGATTACTGGGAAAACTTTACACCAAACTTTTGAATATCAGTTAAGTTGAATTAATTTTATAATTATGAAAAAAAATATTGTCAGTAAATGCAAAGAGTTCAGTCATCTTAATCTATGAAATTTTTAATGATATCACATGTCCATTTTAAAAATTTTATCAACCCAGGTATGTATTGTATCACAACCACTCTGATAGCTGACAGTGAGTTATCATTTGTTTTAGGACAGAGAGGAAAAACCGATAAAGGACAAGAAAAAGGCTGCAGCCTTGGCAGCATCAACCCCTAAAGTACCCACGTGTAGTCAGTAAGTACATCTCTACTCTATATACCTCAGAAATTAAATTAAAGATGATGAATTTTACAATTATTGTCTTTAATGTTTTTTATCAGGTCTGCCGTATCAGCATTCAAATCCTTTCTAGAGAGGTCAAAGACTAAGGATATCCTAGAAGGTCTTGAGGAAGAGGATTGTTGGACAAAGTTTGAGGAAGAGGATAATTATACTGAGGCATTCACCATACTTACCAGGTAACATGTTGGGCATTTAGATTGTATCCATTTAAGGAGTGGTTGGAGTCAATCACATATCAGGCATAATTTTGTGAAATGTTGAACCTGTCCCAAACAAATCAATTGTATGTTTTAGAAACACCTGTACATTTTGTACCTATATGTTGAAAATCTTTAAGAATTTTAGCATGAATGTTTTTTTACCTTTAGACTAATTGTCACAAGTACAGTGGCTGCACCCCACACCTCACAGATTGTAGCCTGTCTGACCTCCTCACTGTCCAGCCTGTATGAAACACAGAGGGTCACCACTGCAGCCTTCTTCGCTGAGGTATGTATTATACTGTTTGACAATAATCTTCTCAATCTTCTGGTTATAAAAAAACAGGATGTGAACTTTTCTTTGACCTACCGTATTTTCTGGGCTATTAACCTACACCAGAGTATAAGCTGCAGGGCTGGTTTTAGCAAATATTTCAGTTGGATCGACATATATGACACATTGAATTTTAAGTTGAACCCTTTTTTATGATGTGGTAACTGATATGTTGACCCAAAGTTCATAGCTATAACAGACAACAGAAGACAATTTATCAAGATCCTCAGTGAAGTCTGAAATACATAATGATTTGTCCAGACGAAACTCTTCACTTTTTTTTCATCTACATAGAAGATGCACCTGTATATAAGTCACGCCCTTTCCTACAATGTAGTTCGTTGCTATAACAGACAATGTAAGGCAGTTTATCAAGATTGTCTTGATAGTAAATCCATCACAGTCTGTACTGTGAACTATTAGCAAAGGCGCTTGTATGCTGAAAAAATTCTTATGGTCTCATATTATCTCTTGTACACAAAGTCACTCTCATCATTAACAAGCATGGTGGTCATTCTAGAATTTGACCTAATGACCTATCAATCCCAGGATGCAACAGGCTATTGTAAACTTATGCTATGGCTTCCAATGCAACTTGGAAAATTCAGAAGATATTATTGTGATTCATGTTAAAAGGTATGATTAATTAAATCCATGAGATTGATGGTTCTAGATGATCTGTTTCATTCTTTTTTTCATTGTATTGGTATTTTTTAGTCCACATATAAAATGCAGCAGTATATAATCCGCAGAGGAAAAAAGCTGCGACTTATAACCTCGGTAGATATATTTACTGACATATTTGTTTTGGCGGGGTAGAAAATCTCTCTGCTAATATTGTGTTTGTAATTGATAAAACTCGATATGTAAATTGTATGTTACAGTTAATCAACCAGAAGTGTGCTGATGACAGTACTCTTGTAGAGCTAGTTATGAACAGTCTGTTAGGACGACTTGTCGACTCTTCTCACGTTGTGCGAATGCTCTGTATCCGTGGATTGGGCAATGTATCATCTATGGGTCAGGATCAGGTAAGCTTTGTAAAATATTTTGACTTTGTCACAAAAAATGTGTTGGATCAAGGCACAAAAGTTGGTAGAACTGTTTATCTTTGCCAGCTTGAATTTCGTGCTAGAAGATAATGAGACAATTTTTTTTTAAGAAGACAGAAATTTTTTTTTCTTTTCTAAATACAAACCTGATAGTGGTAACATCATATTTATAGTGGCTAAATATAGATGTAAGTGTATCTTTTTTTATTGCTTATAAACATTGATACATAGAACTTGTTTCGTAGCATAAGGAGATGGATTTCATGTTATTGTTTGTATATAAGATCTATACCAATAAACATTCTAAAACTAAAGGAGACATCATATAATAACATACATGTTCAAATGTTGGATTTACCATTAGTCGTGCAGACCAAAAATAGTTGGTAAATCATCGCTCTGAATTGTTTATCAGGTTCAGCGGTACTCTACCACAGTGCTGTCAGCCATGATGGCAGGAATGGATGATAAAGAGGACCCTGATGATGATATCACTATTCAGGCGATGAGCGGGTTATCTCGTATTCTGCCGGAGATAGATGAGAGCCACATCCGTGCCATCCTAATCAATGTTGCTCTCAGAATCCGCCCTTGCTTCGAAAAGGTATCTGATTTTTGTTTTCATTCATTAAGCTTCTAGTGTTGAGCCCACATCTGTTCATAAGCGTGTCACTTTATCTGTTGCAGCTCTGATATACATTATACAATGTTTTGCTATTTTGTAACAAGCCCACCCCTCCATATTCGGTTTATTACAAGATAAATTTGACAACATCCTTATAGTTGGTTTTGAAATAAGATGAAGTTAAACCTATCCTTGATATTATGTAACATTTTATCAGTAAGGTAGCAATTTATGAAACGCCATAACTTCCTTTATTTAAATTTGACATTATGATGTCATTATAGTCGTTGTTTGTAAGCATTGTTGACTGTATTGTGTCCAGGAAAAAGAAGGAGTGCGGGCTCAATCTTACATCCTGTTTGGAAACTTGTCTCGGTTCGGAGATGGTCCCTCTAAAGCTCCATTCTTAGAACAGATCCACAGCAATCTGGTCAGCCTATTACTGCACCTGAATGACCCTAAAAAGGAGGTTATCAAGGTATGTTGTAACAGTACTCTGTTTCAGATACTGTATAGTTGAAGATAGTTATTGAGGGGTTTGATTTGGCTATATCCAGGTATACATTCAAAGTTGCAAAATTCAATCCTTGTGAAAGTTTTTGATTGCTGTCATACAATTAAGTTTCACACATCATGTGCCATGTGAAGTGATAATTACCTTAGGCCTAAATGAGGTATTTAAATGTTCTGATATGATTAACATTACCAGATATAAAATCAATTGAAGGAAACATACTGTAACAGTTCCATACATCTGATCCTGCTATAACTTTACTGTATAATGTTTGCATATGCTAATTATAGTGGTTAGGCTCTACATGTATTGTGCAACAGTAAGTTAATCTTTAGAATGACAGAAAAAAACATTTGTGCAGTACCTGTTAATAAGTGGAGATATGAAAAGTGGAGTACCTTTGGTAATTGACTTTACCTCTGTCTGTGTGTAAATAATTATAACATCTGCATAATACTTTCTGTGTTTAGCATATATGTGACTGCAATCTTCTGCTGAACTACCCTAATTTTGGCCCCACATCAAAGATGCAAGTGCCTTATAGTAATCAAGTTGTCTGCCTTGGCACAATATCTTAATTTTGTTGGGAAATCTGCTCTTGTACTTAATTTACCCAATGCTCCTTCCAAGGAAGTGCCAGAGTGGGAGTGATTTTTATACATGAAGTCAAAGGTCAAGGTCACTGTTACTATAAGTAGTAAGTTGGATTCTGCAGAATATCTAGTTTTATTTGGAGGATTACACTAAGGTTTTCTCCATTGTTTCTTCACAAAAAGTGCTTTTCATGTTCTGAGATCAATGGTCAAGGTCACTGTTACTATAAATAGAAATGGGAATATACAGCTAATCGTATCTGAATGTTATAACACAATGAAGCATAATTAACTGAAATCAAATGAGGTGTCACTCAACCACTAGACAAGGTCATTAAGTCAAAGGTTTAGGTCAAATTTGAAATATTGTCTTGGTATTTCTTATGTATTAATGTTATTATTAATGACATTCTTAATGGCCTGTCAACACATCAGAGGTCATTAGGGCCATCAACCAGTTGTTATGTATTACACAATGAAGTATAATTAGTTAAAATCCAATGAGACATTTACCAAGTACATGTCAAGGTCACCAGGTCAAAGGCTAAGGTAAAATTTGAAATATTGATTTTCGATTCAATGGCAAATTATTGTGTCTGTAATGCAATAAACGAAAATTCAATAACAATATGATTGCGCATATTTTTAGTCTTACATGATGTGGGGGCCATCCCTGACATGTGTTAGTATTCTAGTTATCAAAGAGATGTGTATGGTATGAAGGTTTCCTGCTAAAAAAAAATAGAGAAAACAAATTGAGTGAGGGTTAGAGGCAATGTTCATCAGTTAGTATGGCAGAAGTTATTTAGTGTTAACAAACTTTACTGTGTAGGCCTGTAAAGGAGCCCTAAGACAGCTTGGTCCATTAATGGAGTCCGAGGACATCAACAACAAATTCCAGAAACACCTACTAGAGGATGCTAACCTACATTATGGAGAGTTCATGAATGATTTATCCAAAGTAATAGTAAGTAAATTCACCATTTAGGCAAGTTGCTTTTGAGTATCTTAATTAGAATTTCAGGTAATTAATGTTTGTCAGTGATTTTTCTTTTTTAACTTTTAAAAGTCAAATCAGGAATCAAAACCTTTAAAACTGGTTTTTATAAGGCTTCTGTTGTTCATGATAAAATCATTAAAATGAAAACACAATTTATGTGAGATTATGTATGTACACAGTGATTGTTTGCATCAATTTTCAGTTGTGACAGGTTGGTATGCAGAGAAAACTTAAACACATCCTTAATAAATAAATCACATGTTGGAGAATTGAACAATTTGAGATTCTCTAAATGAAAAAAATGATACAAGTTTAAGAATCTTTATGCTGCTTATTTAGATCAACTGTGACTTCATAGAAATAGCAAAATACATAGATAAACAGCACATAATTAAATAATATTTTAAATATCATAGTATACATTGTTTTTATTTTTTCAGATCCAAGATTTCCCAGATAAAGTTAACTTTTATGCAATGGGATGTGTGGCTTTCTTTAGAAGTTCATGGTCAGAGATAAAAAGTAACGCAGCATTATTTATAGGTGAGTAATTAAACTCCATGAAAGCCATGATTATAACCAGAAAATATTGGAGATTTTACTTGATGTAATGAACATCCTTTTTTATCATTTCAGGATTTTTACTTGGAAATTTACCGTCAGAAAACCATACCCTTATTTCCAAAGAACACATCTGCTCAGGTAAATATGGTATATGTTATATATTTTTTTAAGTGAATAATTCCTAACAGGATAATTTACAGTAATAGAGTTTATACAGTATACAGTAAAACCTGGTTATACTGTCACCATTATACAGTAAAACCTGGTTATACTGTAACCATTTATACAGTAAAACCTTGTTATACCATCACCATTTATACAGTAAAACCTTGTTATACTGTCATCATTATACAGTAAAACCTTGTTATTCTGCCACCATTTTAAAGTAAAACCTGGTTATACTGTCACCATTATACAGTAAAACCTGGTTATACTGTCACCATTTATACAGTAAAACCTTGTTATACCATCACCATTTATACAGTAAAACCTTGTTATACTGTCATCATTATACAGTAAAACCTTGTTATTCTGCCACCATTTTAAAGTAAAACCTGGTTATACTGTCATCATTATACAGTAAAACCTGGCTATACTGTCATCATTATACAGTAAAACCTGGTTATACTGTCACCATTATACAGTAAAACCTTGTTATACCATCACCATTTATACAGTAAAACCTTGTTATACTGTCATCATTATATAGTAAAACTTTGTTATACTATCACCATTATACAGTAAAACCTTGTTATACTACCATCAATTGTACGGTAAAACCTGGTTATACTGTCATCATTATACAGTAAATCCTGGTTATACTGTTACCATTATACAGTAAATCCTTGTTATACCATTGCCATTTATACAGTAAAACCTTGTTATACCATCACCATTTATACAGTAAAACCTTGTTATACTGTCATCATTATACAGTAAAACCTTGTTATTCTGCCACCATTTTAAAGTAAAACCTGGTTATACTGTCATCATTATACAGTAAAACCTGGCTATACTGTCATCATTATACAGTAAAACCTGGTTATACTGTCACCATTATACAGTAAAACCTTGTTATACCATCACCATTTATATAGTAAAACCTTGTTATACCATCACCATTATACAGTAAAACCTTGTTATTCTGCCACCATTTTAAAGTAAAACCTGGTTATACTGTCACCATTATACAGTAAAACCTGGTTATACTGTCACCATTTATACAGTAAAACCTGGCTATACTGTCATCATTATACAGTAAAACCTGGTTATACTGTCACCATTATACAGTAAAACCTTGTTATACCATCACCATTTATACAGTAAAACCTTGTTATACTGTCATCATTATATAGTAAAACTTTGTTATACTATCACCATTATACAGTAAAACCTTGTTATACTACCATCAATTGTATGGTAAAACCTGGTTATACTGTTACAATTATACAGTAAATCCTGGTTATACTGTTACCATTATACAGTAAAACCTTGTTATACCATTGCCATTTATACAGTAAAACCTTGTTATACCATCACCATTTATACAGTAAAACCTGGTTATACTGTTACCATTATACAGTAAAACCTTGTTATACCATCACCATTTATACAGTAAAACCTGGTTATACTGTCATCATTATACAGTAAAACTTGGTTATACTATCACCATTTTACAGTAAAACCTGGTTATACTGTCACCATTTTAAAGTAAAACCTGGTTTTACTGTTACAATTATACAGTAAATCCTGGTTATACTGTTACCATTATACAGTAAAACCTTGTTATACTGCTGTCATTTATACAGTAAAACCTGGTTATACTACCATCATTTATACAGTGAAACCTGGTTTTGCTACCATCATTTATACAGTAAAACCTAGTTATACTATCACCATTTTACAGTAAAACCTTGTTATACTACCATCATTTGTACAGTAAAACCTGGTTATACTACAATCATTTATACAGTGAAACCTGGTTATACGGTTTCCATTTTACAGTAAAACCTTGTGATACTGCAATCATTTGTACAGTGAAACCTTGTTATAATGCCATCATTTATACAGTAAAATGTTGGTCTATGATTAACTCAGTTGGTAGAACAACAGACATTTCAACATGGAAAAAGATAAGCTTTTGAAGGATATAGATACTGATCTTAGCTGCCAGCACAGCCTAAAGCCTTGTCAATGGAAACATTTATAAGTATTTGAAGATAGTGGACATTATGTAGTAGTTTTAGTGTTTATACAAAATAATTCTACAAAATAACATACTTTATATGAAAGATTTTCATTTTCAGTGTTCTTTGGATTAAACACCATTTTGTTTACTTTTGCAGCATTGATAATGTTACTGAAGGATTCCACGCCTGAAGTCCGAGCCAAAGCTTCAGAAGCTATTAGTCTGCTCTACGAATATTGAATCAACTACAAACTAAAGTGTAAGAACACTGAATGAACCACAATCTAAATGCAGTTATCAGAACTATGGAAAAGTGCTTCACAAATGTTTAGCAAAGTGTTCTGTTTGATCAGGAGACGATAAAGCTCATGGAACATGGAAAGATCATCTTTTTGCTTCAAGCACAAAAATGTGGAAAAGTTATTGTTATAGTGTTTATGGTTTGTGAGAGAAAATTTTGTTTATTTTTTCTTCCTGTAACAGGTAACATGTGAAAGAAAATGCCAAGCAGCAGAGTGTAATCAATTTATGTACAGCTGTTTTAAAATTATTTATGTAATTTTACATGCCACAAGGATAGTATGTAACTGCCTATCAGAAGAAAGAATGAAGTGAAAAAGTGAAGTGGTGGGTATTTTTGCCTACAAAGTTTCTTATGATATTTATTTGATTGTGTATGGTATGAACTCTAGAATGGAAGCAAATATGTCAGATAGTTAAGCTAAGGAGCCTAATTTATTGTAGCATGCAAACCTGACAAACATTAAGTATGTGTCGTGTCCACTGTCTACAAGTTCAGCAGGAGTCAGCTTTATCACTTTACTATAGATATATATGCTAATTTTGTCTCCCTATGTTGATGTTCTAAACCTCTCCCCTCCCCCACCTCTGCTCATTTGAAATTTGTTAACTTCAAACGATTTTTCTTCTGCTCAAATTAATTGATTGCTTGTAACAACTGAAGCACTGGTATTGGTATTTAAAAAAGCTGTCTTCATCTATAAAATGTTTGTTTCTGCTTCTCAAATTTTCATCTCTGAAATTTTGACAAGTATTACCAATAGTTGAAATGTTTTTATATAAGATTGTATTGTTGAGAAATCATGAATACGTATCATACATAATTTCTCTTTAAATGTGTTGTTAAACCCACTGTTAATCACTAAACAATGGCATTACGTTAATATGAAACGCATGTGAAAAGAAACAAATCAAAATTCCTATGTTACATCTGCAAATTTTACACCAGCAAATTTTAAGAGTATTGATAGGTGTTGTTCATTTTTCTCTCCTCTCTCTGTGTTACTGACTGAATTATTCTGACAGTTTTTGACATAAATTCCATGACAAGATAAAGACAACAGTTCATTCACCATCTGTCAACATTCAGATTATCTTTTGATTCATCCAGAGAAATTTCATTTCACCCAAAGTTCCTTTGCCAATCTCTCCTATGTTTAATATCTTAAGACCAGCTGATGGGTGATGACAAGATCATAATACATTGATACCTTCAATCTCAAGATTTGTTACAAATTTTACATGATGGTTGATAAATTTGGCTGCTTTCAGAACTTGTTTTCAACCAAATTTCATGAAACTTTAAAGGGTTATTTTCCAAATCTCTCAACTGACTGGTAAGGTTACAGAATGAACATAAGCCCATGCAAGAGATGTCCCCTCACTAGTTTCAAACAACATGTAAATCATTTTCTGACTTTATATGAGAACTCCTTCCACAATTTTATCTTGACAATTCCAGTGTCAAAGTTCAGATCACAGGTAAAAGATTGGTGTTATGATGATAACTATTGGCTTAAAACAAAATGTAAATCCTAAACAGTATTTTTAGACTGACACTCAACAAAAGACGACAGACTTCATACAGCCCTTCTGTCAGCGGACATTAGGTAATTTCCTGACTACATAGGAGAATTTCATTTACCATTCTATCTTGACCATTCCAATGTCAAGATTCATGGTCACAGGTAGAGGATCATTATTGTGATGGCTAATATTTGTTTGTCCATATAATTCTGAAATTGATTTTCAATCAACTTTCACAAAACAGACCCTATATCTCTTTACATCTATAAAAGCTGTACCTGTCCGTTGTGTAAGATTTACGACAAAGCCCCCTTTATCAATCTGACTCAGGAAATCAATGCTATAGACATTAAGTTCCATTTGTATTCTCTCGTTTCATCCAAACCTATTTCTTTAAAGCAAATTTTATGTCTTATGAGATTTTCTTTATAGATATATAGAAGGGTTTCTTTGATGAAAAGTTGTAAACTTGACTTTAATTTTGAAAATTTGGCTGATTAAATTAAAAATTTCTCTAATTTAGGATACACTATGAAAAAGGTTGTTGACTTTTATGTTACACTTACAAGTCATAGCATGGTGAGGATGACTATTTTCTAAAATGCTTCCTATTATTGTGTTCATCAATGTTCTTTTCATCATCTACTGCATTATGAAAATAAAATAAGTGTCTAAAACAGTTCATTTATAAAACAATAAGGTGTATTAAAATGTTGTTTTACATATTCCTGGCAACTGTACACACATACAAGCTTGATTACACCTTGTGGTAACAATCACTTTATATTGTGCTACTGTGACCTGTAACAATTCAAAAAAGCTTTTTTAGGTTGCTCAGACATTGTAAGACAAGAGGTATTATTTTTACATGTATTATTGGAAAATATCCACAATCTTATTTCCTTGGTAAAATAAAATGGTACTTTTGATATTTTTTCAATATTCGAAAGCTCTATGAGATTTAAGAAAATTTTACCCTTGTTTCCAAAATAGTGACTTTCCAGACTTTGTTTTAATAGATATAAATGTTTGATTTCTTGTATTTTGCTTTAAATTTTTTTCTTTCATTGCAAATCATATTACACAAGTAATAATAATTATTTTAGGACTATGTCAAATCTGTGATATTAATCTATAATTTGTTATGTGGGAATCTGTATTGTTTCATTCAAATATGAATAAATCATGAAATGGTAATCATTTCTTTATTTTATCTCGCAAAACTGAAATTATCTTCAGTGAAACCTGAAAAACAATATCATATGTTTAATTGAAATTTGTATGTGTGATACAGCTGAGTACATCCTCAGTTCAATAATATCATGGTGAAGTGTAACTTCAAAATTACTGTTGATAAGGAAGCAATCACCAAGAGTTTTTTAAAGCTGTACGAAAGAAAATGTTTCATTTTAACTAGATCTTTATTCCAAAATTTAACTGGAGCCAAAGTTTCTTGTACACTGTAATAACACATTGAAGAATCAGAACAAACAAGGTCAGCTTTGCATGAATTAGTCTGTTCATCAAAGTCAATTATCAAAGGCTTTTTGAGACATATACCACTGGCACACATTAAGCTCGTGGAACGTCTTCACCAGTAACTCATAACTTAGCTGGAATTATCCGTGGTATAACCAATACCTTAGACATTCTAAAACCACTAAATTCAAATGCATAGAGCTAATTAAACCAGAATTGGGAAACACTGATATTAATCATCTTTTTGATCCGGATGGGAGTTTTACTTTGGTAGGAAACCGTACTAATAATCGGAGAAAAACCCACAGATAGGTGACTCCATACCTTTTCACATCCATCCCACAACTGACCCCGGAAAACTTGGGTGAAAGGGAGTGTGTTACCACTGCATCACCCATCCACATTTAGAGGTAATTAATGAAGTGATATTTCTTCTAGATATAAGTAAATTTTTAAAAAGTAGAGGAACAACAGACCTACTTATTACATGTATATAATTAACAAGACTCACAAAGATGTTTATATTGGTTCATGTATCACCATGACATGTATCAGAAATTAGGAATATGTAATTATTTCTTGTACAACAAAGATACCTAAAGGTCATGGAACCATCTGATCATGAACAAGAAATCTCATCAAGAAAACTCGTGGATGAAGAAAAAAGATGTAGATATTTTAGATATTAGTACAGAATGCATGTTACAGTTAATATCAAGATTATAATGAGTGCATATTGAACAAAGAACACTCACCTTATTATTGTAACCATGGATTAATAAAACCTCAGCAGAATCTCCATACACAATAAACTATTTTTACAACTATGTCATAATATTTATGAGGAACACAATCAAACTGGTCTGCTTTCATTTACTTGGTAAAGAGATATGCAGCATGTGAAAGTCAACAGAATAACAGAGTTAGATTACTGGGATAAAAATCAAATTAGCTGTAGCGAAGTTCCTATCCCTGATGAACACAGTAGGTAAATAAAGTGTTTACACATATGGTAGTTTGTGTGGGATGAAAGCCTCAAAGGGCAAAACAGCAGACTGATCTAACCAATGTTGTTAATATTGTGAGATTAAATAAATTTCAACACCATTATCAAGTAATGAAATTTTATACGACAAGCAAGTGTTATTTATCACATTCTCCTTGAATATTCAAATTTTCTAGAATATGTTTGTTGCTCTGCTTGAAAATTGATCAAAGGTGTATACTGAAATGATATGATTATGTCACAGGATATTTTATTGGACAAGGTTGATAACAGAATATTAAACATCTACAGTCCTATAAACTCCATTGCTTCGTATGACACTGTGTACCTCAATATTCATTACAGGGAAAGACATTTCACCAGGTTTTGTGATCAGTTTGTTAACCTTGTAAACAGAAAGTTAAATTCGACGGCAAGTCCTTAAATGCTGTATTTATCCTGCCAATCAGATCAAGGTTCCACAGCCAGTCCTAATACGGTATTGACCCTGCCAATCAGGTCATGGTTCAACAGTCAGTCCTAAAACAGTATTGACTGTCAATCAGGTAATGGTTCAACAGTCAGTCCTAATACGGTATTGACCCTGCCAATCAGGTCATGGTTCAACAGTCAGTCCTAATACGGTATTGACTCTGCCAATCAGGTCATGGTTCAACAGTCAGTCCTAATACAGTATTGACTCTGCCAATCAGGTCATGGTTCCACAGTCAGTCCTAATACAGTTTTGACTCTGCCAATCAGGTCATGGTTCAACAGCCAGTCCTAATACGGTTTTGACTCTGCCAATCAGATCAAGGTTCCACAGCCAGTCCTAATACAGTTTTGACCCTGTCAATTAGATCAGACTTCTTGTCTTTAGACTTGTACTGTATCCCTTTGTCTTTCAACCAGGCAATCAAGGTTGCAGCATTGGCTTTCTGTAGCTTAAACAAAGAAAAATATCTGTGTTTGATATATGTCTTAGTAGATATTCAAATAATTATCAAATCTTGAGACATTTGTTACAACAATTTAATGTAAAAACATGGTCATATAAACCTGAGAAATTGGATCTAATTGAGTTACGCATGTCATACACATGTAAGCTATTCCACAAGTATATTGTCTGAGTATTGTTACATTGAATATGCAGTTATGCTACAATAATGATTTAATTGCATAGGATGTAAGAATGATAACATTTGCTGTAGTATTAACGCAGGTAAAGAGCAATGTAATGATGTCAAAGGATAGATTAGTGTGACATACATATGTGACCTATTAAATAGCCTGTAAAGACTCAATTTGCCTTCGATGAATATAATCCATTTAGCAATTATGAAGAGAAAATGTCATCTCATAACTCATATTACTTTCATCACCTTTCATTAGTACTAAAAACATTAATGTTGGAGTATTTGAGGATCATTATTATGTGGATGTCAAAAATATTTCTAGCAAACATTTTTGAAATTTCCATGTAGGAGAATGCATATGTTGATTCAAATTTAAAATACAGAACCTCTTTAACAAAACTACAATTAGTACCTCAGAAGAAGATTTTTAAGTTGCTGTTTAAAGTTGCCAAAAAAAAAACAACATAAAGAGATATATGGGGAGTCACCTACTGTAAATAAAGAGATATATGGGAAGTCAATTACTGTAAATAAAGAGATATATGGGGTCACCTACTGTAAATAACGAGATATATGAGGAATCACCTACTGTAAATAACGAGATATATGAGGAATCACCTACTGTAAATAAAGAGATATATGGGGAGTCACCTACTGTAAATAAAGAGATATATGGGGAGTCACCTACTGTAAATAAAGAGATATATGGGGAGTCACCTACTGTAAATAAAGAGATATATGGGAAGTCACCTACTGTAAATATAGAGATATACAGGGAGTCACCTACTGTAAATAAAGAGATATACGGGGAGTCACCTACTGTAAATAAAGAGATATATGGGGAGTCACCTACTGTAAATAAAGAGATATATGGGAAGTCACCTACTGTAAATAAAGAGATATATGTCCATATGGCTTGTAATTTTCAAAGGTCAAAATTTTATTGCTATTTATTTTTAAAATAATCGAGTTATATTTTAACCATTAAAATTTCTCTGTGTGGATGTAAAAGGATATCTTATATACACACGTCTCATTATTATCAGGAAAACATACCTGATTTGTTCTAGCAAATATTTCAATGTCCAAATTTCCTTGAATCTGAGGTTTACCTCTTGGTTTCTTTGCCTTTGGTGATCCATCTTCATCCTGAAATTGAAGATCATGCACAGCGATATTCACATCTTTCAGGTTCAAATATCATCTTCATGGGATTTTTAAAAGATCTAAAGGTGCATGTTTTATTAATTTTTCTCTAGTAACAGATGAAAATCTTCAAAGCTCCAATTAATTATAAATGTATGCTAATTTCAGTAAGAGTTGAAACATTTATTTCCACTAAGGCTGTCCCCAAAAGTTTAGTTTTAAAATGTGTGTGTTAATAGTGTTGTCTATGTATGTTAATGTGTTAATGATTATATTGATTTTCATAAAGTATGGCCTACTGAAATGTTACACTAAAAGAACTTAATTGTATGATAATGAATGGGCAGAGACTTTTGGACTGTTACTGCAGAAAGAAATGTAGATCTTGAAAGTTGTACTAAGCACAGATGAAGTTAGTAGACAGAAGTGTCCCCTACCTGCTTCAGTCGTTTCTTTGATACAGTACTAGGAGTTCCTTTCGGGGTCAACTGATGTGTCACTGGTGTTGAGTCGAAAGAGAGAGCTGGAGCCTGAAGTGTGGATGGTGTTGTTAATTGCATTCCTGTGCTTGTGTTATTGGAGGGTATCCTTGCCGATGAAGACGACAGACTCTGAACATTTGGTGTTTGTCTGGTGAAGTTTCCCTTTCTACAGGCCACAGATACAGGATTTGATGTAAAGGATGATGCGGCGGATGGTGCCTTGTCTGTTTGAGATAATAGAGACCCTTTCTCTTCTCTATATGATTCTTTCTCCTTGAACAAAGAAGAGATTTGTGGTAGCACTTGTAAATTCTGTTCAAACATTCTTGGGCCAGTGCTGACGGAGGCAGATGGTGTAACAGTTGAGTCAATAGTTCCAATTTTCTTTGGTTTGAAAACAGGCACATTTTTTAGAGCACTAGTTGAAGATCCAGACAAAGTAATGAGGTTGGACTTTTGACTGTTGGAACTCTTCTTTGGAGCAAAAGAAGGAACTATACGAGAGGTAGCTATAGGAGGTTGGTGAATTGAGCTAATACATAGTGTAGGATTTGACTCTAAAGATTCTGTAGTTGATGTAGGAATATCATCACCAAGTTGGCGACTGTATCCAGACTGAGATTCATCAGACAAGGAGTGGTCACCTTGCTCACTAATCTCATTTCTGCACTGGAATATTCTATCATTTTCATCTTGTTGGATATGGACCTTGTTCTGTGAATGCCAGGAATGACTATGATCAGTTTTGACTTGTGAAGCACTGCATGTTTTGTTCAACATTATCTCCATTTCCTCTTTGCTACGGTAAATGATTTTCCCATTTGATAATTTGTTTGACAGGTTTGCCTGCTTGGGAACCTGAGGAAAGAATCATAATAGGGTATAATTATATATTAAATGACAATGAAAGAACAGTTATTCTATTTTTAGATCACCTGAGACAAAGTCTCATGGTGACATGTTCAAATACCCTTCATCTGGTGCTGTGTGTCTGTAAACAGTTTAAAACTTTCGACTTCCTCTTAAAAACCCCTGATCCGATTTCAATGAAATTTTGCAGAACCCTTCCCTGGCCTAAGATGAACCAAAATTGTTAATTGTACAGTTCCAATCCCCCAAGGGCCTGAGGGGCAGGGTCAAAAGGGATCAAATTGACTTAAATTTCAAAAATCTTCATGAATGGAAGCATCATAAGGTGCTTTACCAATATTGTGAATTTCATGGCCTCAGGGTCTCACTTTTCCCCGTGGGGAGGGGGTAAAGTTTACTATAGTTTATATAGGAAAACTAGATTTTTGAGCATAATTTGTTTTAGTTTTCATTGGAAATAGTTCAAACTTGATTAGAATTGTGAAGGATGATGGTTTGATGGTATGCCCATTTTGATCCTGACTTACCCCCAGGGGCTTATGGGTGGTGCTAAAAGGGGTTTAATTGACTCAAATTTCAAAAATCTTCTTCTCAAGACCAAGATAAGGTAGAATCAAATACTCTTCATGAATGGAAGCATCATAAAGTGCTTTACCAAAATTGTGAATTTCAATGCCCCAGGGTCTCACATTTCCCTGAGGGAAGGTTGTAAAGTTTACTATAGTTTAAAAGGAAAACTACAGCATAATTTGTTTTAGTTTCCATTGAAAATATTTCAAACTTGGTAAGAATTTTTAAATGAAGGGTGACAGCCTGATGGCATGCCCATTTTGATCCTGACTGACCCCAAGGGGCTGATGGGCAGGGCCAAAAGGGGTTAAATTGACTTAAACTTCAAAAATCTTCTGCTCAACACCCAGATATGGTATAATCAAATGCTCTTCATGAATGGAAGCATCTTAATGTGCTTTAATTACCAAAATGAGTCTCACATTTCTTCCTTGGGAGAAATATACCTTTAAACTGTTCTGAAATTTTCATAGAAAGATTGCATTCCGAGCATAACGTTGGTTATTTCCCACTGGAAATAACTTAATAAGAATTATTAGCATAGGATGACAGTTTTTATGGTATGCATGTATTGACACTGGCTTACTGTATTCAGTGGAACATGTTCTGTTTCATGATACTTGATAACTATACTTTAAGCTTTATATTCAACATTACTTATCTCAGGTGACTGTCAAGGCTGCTATGCCTCTTGTTTCTCTAGGTATCCAAATTAAAAGATATTCCTGATGATTCTACATTTGTTTATACATCATGTATATTTACCTGTTGGGTAACTGGCAGAAGCTCTAAGATTGGGTATTTGGCCTTGGTTTGTAGACGGAGAGGGCTCCCACAAATACTTGACATCTTGCTCTGTACAACTTGGAGGAAAGCTGTCAATATAGGTCTTGGGTCCACACGTGGAACCCTTTGGATGTCACTTGCTCTCAGGCAAACTTCTGGGTATATGAGGATAAGGGTCAAGGTCAAAACTACCAGTAATTACCAACATTGATAAATCTCAGGTTTCTTATAAAACAAGTATTAAGTATTTTCAGACATTTAAAAGAATTCACATGAATAGGCACTACAACTATATCTGATGAAAGAATAAACATAAACAAAATACACACAATGGTTATTTAACTCTGGTGCTGTGTTACACTGGGAATTTGGATTGAAAATACAAAAAAGGAAAATTATATCATAATTTCTTTTTTAGCATATGATAAATTTAATTAATGCACTTCTAATTTGTTTTGCTGCTCAATCATAACTTGGAATGTTTAAAAATTTGATTTTTTTTTTTCAGTCAGCCATCAAAATTAAAGTGCAATTCACAAGCAATTTAGAGATTCAAAAACTTTTAAAACCTCTTGGAATTCTGTTATCAAAACAAGCATCATTGACATTTGAATATTACAAAACAAGTCATAGTCCATATCAAATACGCATTTGATTAATAGAGTTTTCCTTCAAGAAACAGATTTGTACATTAGATTGAAACATCAAAACATGTATAAATGAAGGATATGTAAAGATTCTTCCTCCAAGTGGGCGAAAATGAACTTGATAATAAATCACTCCATTCTCTGACTCAGGAAGACGATAACCATACTGGACAAAAAAAGAAAGGAATGCATATGACCTATACTTTAAAATTGTAATAATATAATATCATTCATTACACATAAAATCATTCATTATATATAAAACACACAAACCTTTAAAAAGAGCTAAACCAACTGCAGTTAAGGTGGGTTGGATTTTATAACCTTCAAATTTCTCTTGCCAAATTTTTCAAATTATTGATACCAATATGTTACAAGGAAACCTAGAAAGCTAATATCACAATCCAGTCAAGCTTGTAACAACAAGCATTCAGTAAATCTTAATTCTTTTCAATCTTGAAGTCTAGTGTTCTAAAACAGCAACAGTAAAATTGTAATTTTTGATGATATTTTTCCTGTAATTGTGGAATCAAAACCCAAAATATCGCCAATTTCACTGTTTCTGGAGCAACTATGATAAATCTCTCAGGACAATTTCACAAAATTATAGATGTACATAAATCATGAGGTAGATAAATATCTTGATTTTCAACTAAATCTTTAGATACCATTGAAATAAACAGCCAAAATAGCTAATTTTGCTGTTTTCTGGAGAAAAATCTCAAATACTGTTCAAATAATTGGATTGGACATGAATCTGGTGTACATCAATCACTGTACTCTAGTCAAATACCTTTTGCTCATAAACTGAAGAGCAATTAGCACAATATAAACTATCAAATTTGTTAAGAAAAATCTTTCAATGTGCAAATGACAATTATATTGGAACAAAAGCAGTTAAAATGAAAAGGAAATGTTGATGCTTGAAAAGATGGTGTTTTAAAATTTCATCAATGTGAAATTGCAATGACATTTTCCTTTTTAGATACAGGTGTCCCCATTTATATCCTGTTTTTGCCCAATGATGACTTACAGTGTTTTTCCAGTGTCTTTTGAGGTCTTTGTATGACTTGAATGGCCCATTTGGAGGCAAAGTGTGGGATACACCTACAACTTTTCCTTTCTTCATGCTATAATAATGGCAAAAATGTATAACTCAAATAATGTTAATGACCTACAGATCCTATAATTTCTGACATCTATAAAAATAGCTTTTATACTTTTACTGGTAACGGTTGAAGAATTTTAAAAATGCAAAAAATCTGACTTGAACAAAAGCATTTGTTCTGCCATTTGAGAATTATAGCAAATACGTCTGAATGTCTGATATCAATAACTTTTTCTATCCATTTTCTTTTAGGATGGCTCACCTTATATCATTTCTGATATTGACTAATAATTGCTCAAAATAACTCACTGCTCTCAGATTCCAGGATTTTCTCTGATGATAGTGATACCTGAATGCATATATGCCCTTACCTTGGAAGTACATGGGACCATGGGGAACCAATTGCACACTCATCTATTTCTGCATTGGGATTCTCCATAAATTCTTTATAACATTTTCCATATATATCCAGATCTTCCACCTGAATACAAACATAATGCATCAGACATTTTTGCAATCCATCTCATTTTCAATTTCAGCTCATATGGTTTAAAGGACTGTTTAGCTTTTCCCATGACACATTATCCATTGTCCATCCACCTTCTTATATTGTAGGAATTTTAGGATTCTGTCCCAACTTTGTCTGAAGCATCCTTAGATGGAGAGAAATCAGCTTTGTATAAATAGTGGGTATCACCCCTTGAGGCAAGAGGGTGGGGCCCCAGAGCGGAAATAAAGAGAATTCTTTTAAATCTTCCTTCTTTATGAATGACAGGATTTTGTCCAAATTTGACCTGAAGTATTTTTGGGTAATGGGTTGTATAAATGAATGGTCAGACCCCAAATAGATAAAATAGGTGAAATAATGGAACAACTGAAAGACCCAGGGTTCTGATGTTGGGCCTGTAGCATACTGGGATGAAGGGATACCCAGTTTGTTTAAATAATAGGTCTTGCCCCATTTTCAAGGTCAAATGGAGCAATTCTCAATAATCAATTGGCCCACATTTTCTAAATGGTTAACCGTGACCAACTATCAAGGTCAAAAGTGTCAAATATGTTAAAATTCTTAAATGTTCTCTGAAAAAACCAAAAAAGCTTAGAATGCTGATATCGGGCCATAGCACGCTGGGATGAAGTGCTACCAAATTTGTTCAAATGAATGGGATGACCCTGACATAGCAAAAAGTTTACAAGGATGATTTTTCTTTAATAACTAATGAGTCACATTATATCTGTAGTTGCTGCAGGAATGGGCTTTAAAGTTTGAAGAAACTAACTTAATGGACCGACAATGTCTTCTTTAAGTTGCAGGCCCATTACTGGGCATCTAGTTTGTACATATTAAAAAAAATACCATTCTATAAATTCAATAAATTTGTTGTCAACGTACAACAAGACATGAAAATTTATCTGTTTTTTAATTATTTTGAAAATTCTGAAATATTCAATTCTGGCAATAATTTCAGAATATGTACATAAAATACAACAGATGATTTCAAGGCTAAAATCTTCTATACAACAATTTACATTTTCAATTTGTAAGTTAGTGTCAAGAAAATGTTGAACATATTCTTACCTGCAGAGGCAGGAATTTTACAGTTGTGGCATCTAATGAAAAGAACATTTCTCCTCGATTTACTGTTATGTCTAACTCTGTGGATCAGGAAATTGAAATAAGTTACTTAGCTGGTAGCATTGTTGTTCTGAACATGTTGGGGACTCCTTCAGAAAGAAGAAACAGTCTGAGACTAGTGACATGGAATCAGTTTACAATGTGAAAAACCGAAAGCAAATTTTCCATTTTTTAATTGAACACTGACTACGGAAAACAAGTGAAATCCAAAAAAGGTGTGAAAATCAAAGAAAGATACTGTTATTCAAAACTTGTAAATTTTACATGAATAAGCATCCAATCACAAGAAATTTGACAAATTCAGATATTGATTTGAGTGATTTTAGGTCCACATAATCCTTAAATGACTCAATTATCTAGCAAATGCAAAAAAACCTATAAAGATACCTTTCATTGAACACATGTAATTGACTTGATACTGCATTTTGTTATCCTTAATTAACCAGGTTTGCTCTTGTACTATTGAAAAATAATCTCTGGACTTTTCAAGTGGTTAATGATATTACTATAAGACTGTATATCTTAACTTCTTTACTTACTCACAGCATTTACATAACCATTAGATGTCAAAAAATCTCGACCTGGAAAAGAAGGGTTAAAGAATATAGAAACACATGATGAATTTTGTGGTTGTCTGAAAAATCACCTGAATTAAATAGGTGGAATGTATTATTATAACATGAAGAATAAATACTAGGTACTGTCATTATTCCAACCAAGGTCATTATTACAATTCCAACATTTTAAAACAAAGAAAAAGAGGATGTATGAGTTTTAATACAATTGTGATGAAAAGTTGTTACCTTATAAGTTGTCACAAACTTTCACAATTGCCAATGAGTTTGCATGATGTTTGACATTTTTGTTAACTCTGCAACTTCCCATTTACTTAACATTGACCGAGAGTTTTCTCAACTCTAATGTCTGCCATAAAGTATCATTAAAACTGCTTGAGATTATACGCCTTCTGAGATTTTCTTCCCTGTTGTCATTATGAACCTATTTTAAACATGTGAGTGGGTAAGTTGTCCTTCATCTTATGAAAAAAACTCAGTTTCACCTTGGGTTACCATATACTGATAATGTAAAGCTCAAAGATGCCATGAAAATATTAATTTCTGTGCATTATTTAGGTAATAAATGACAAAATCCACTTGTACAATCAATATGTATAGTTTCACCAAATCTCCTGATTTAGTCAAGGCAACCTGATAATGGCCATATTATGATAGAAAGTTTCACTTCAATTTTTTGATAGAATAATGCTCAAACAGGACATGGAACATGGTCTAAACACACTGACACAATAGAATTGATTATAACATCTTTTACCCTATAAAAGACCCTGTCATCCTTGATTTTGAAGGCAATGACCAGAAAATTTTTGACAAGAAGCTGGCGACACTGAATGTATAAAAAAATGTTTCTGTCAAGGTATCAGTTATGAAAGTTTTTGAAAAAATAAGTGTCATAGTATTTGATTACCTTGTATTAACCATTCACCAGTCTTGTTCCAGTTTGGAGCTACCCTGGCTACCAGTGTGTATCTCAGACAGGCTTGGTACATAGCAGGGCTTACCATTGAAGGTTTGCTTGCCTTGAATATCATTTTAATGATATCATTAATAAATAAACTTCTAGCTTATGACTGAGAAAATTCACAGTTTTAAAATGAAGTAGACAAGCTTCAATATCCTTTCTAGTTTCTTTTAACATCTTCTGCTTAATTTGTATTTCCAAATCAATCACAATTAATAATTTTTTTTCATTGTAAATGTCAATGTTCCCGAACTGTTTTTTTTTTTTAATTCTGTTGAACAAATACCTAGTAATCATCTGTGCTTTCTGTTTAGTGGCTGTCATTGAAGCTCCAGTCTAGCTTCATGTTTAATACAATTCAAGCATTAACATGTTGTGCTTTTAAACTTACCTCAAGACCAATTTTCTGAAACCTTGCCTGTAATCTGCCAGTTTTAAAAAGTGATTGCTGTAAAGAGAATGTTTCCCATTCACAATCTGCAACGCTCAAGATATTAATTTTCCAGGTTAAGATCAGAGTTAAAGTTTAACACTTTTCTAGAAGGAGTGGAATTTTTTCTGGGCAAATCTATTTATACACTTTGTAATACCACTGTGCCAATCTTACCATAGTGGATAATTGAAACGGCAGCCATTGTTAGTAGGACTTGCAAACACAATATTCTGAAACTTTTCACTTTACTCAAGACTAAAAATAGCCGTACCTATTTACAAATGTTTGCATGGCCATGATTGCATCATAACAGGTTTGCATTGTTATTAGACAAACAGAATGAAATATTTATGTAAATCATAAAATCAAATGAGTGGAGAAATAAAATTTTTATCCCAGCAGAACATTTAGCGAACAACATACAAACGTGTATTTATCCAATACTCTGCATGAAATCTATTCCAAAATTTCCAACAATTTTGCCTGTTGACCCTGACCACAGGAGTGATACTTTAATGCTAACATTAGTTTTAAAAATCATTAGAATGAGTTCTTAAAAGGTGCAGAAAAACCAGAAATTTTGCAGCTGAGGTGGAATATCCCTTTAAATAGAGTTAGTCCTGCTATGTGTTACCTCCATGACAATGTAAAATGCATTGCTGACATCATGTGCAGGAGTGGCAATGATTGAAGGCTCAGTGAAAATTATTTCTCTGAAAATATAATTACATGTATTTAATGCAAACAAACTGGTGAAGGTCACTATCCAATGATTTTGCCCTAAATATCAAATACGGGTTATCTTTTTGCATACATATGAGTAATATTTGAATTTATCAAATATACATGTATCACGACGTATCAAAAACAGTTAATTATAGCCTATGCAATATTTTTTTTCTTTAATTTCTGCACTTAAGCTTTTCAAAAAACTTCTTTTTTAATCTTCCATTACCGATCATATTTTCTGTCTTCCACAAAAAACTTACATTTCTAAATATATTTTCACTACATGATTGACGTTATTTAGACTTACCTGCATTTGAGTATCTGAGGCTGTACGGCAGATGCCTGTTGTACGATCTGCTTGCTCAATTTTGCCGTGATAGTACAGAGTTCGTTCAGATTTGGAGGATCAGCAAAAAGAAGAAGTTGGGACGGGGCATTCTGTTTATCATACATGTCGGAAAAGTAAGCAGCAGAATTATATCGTGTCTCTATTCTTCATCAATTGTTAATGTTTATATGCGTGTTTGCATATGTTGGGAATATATATCAAGATAAGCCTCTATTCGACATTCCCGGGTAGGAAAACTTTTTCGTCTGCTCGTCGGGATCACTTACAAGTTTGACGGTCTCATTGAGAAGCTTCGAATCAGGAAGTGAGAGGCGCACGTGCAAGAAGGAGAGAATGTGGAATGTGAGAGGACAGCAAAAGTAATTTGTTATCGCCGAAACGTATAGCGCACAACCAAGTAAGTAAGCGTAACTCGAAATATTTTTCCACTTTATAGAAATGGCGCCAGACTATATATGTACAGAAATAAGTGTTACTGAAAATTTAGATGGCACGAGCGAAACTGTACTGTACAGTTCCCACACTTTCCGTGTGCCGATGCGGATTTATTTTTTTTGCCCGGTATGTTAATAGTTCAAAACCACAACACTTTTTCGTATAATTATCTACTTGACAGAACATTTTTTTTTATAAATTTTCTGACATCAAAATTTCGCTCAAGAAATGCTAAAAAGGTAACAAAAAGTTTCAACTTTCGAAGAGTCTTTATTGGTAGCGGATGTCTGCTACTAAAACACGAAGCATCATAAAGATGGAACGACAGAACAAAGAGAACAAACTTTGCCGTTGCCAATATATTTGGTAGAGTGACAAGTGTTCCCTGTCTAGACAATAGAACAAATGTGAGCAAAGTTTCTTCCAGTTATATTGCTGCACAAAAGGATCTTTGGCATGAGACAGAAATACCATATTGACTATGGCATAAAATTCACAATCATATCCTGCTGTTTCTGAGATTTTTCCAAGTGTTGCTCCTGCATGTAAAAGTCACTAACTCTAGTTTTTTCTTCTCTTTGCAGCAATGTTATAGGCAGTCCAGCTGTGCATTTTACTTGACTCGCAAGCACTTCAAAAAAGTATTTCATTTACAAACTGAATTTTCTGTTCATGTAAAATGGACAAAGTCTGAACATATAAAATTGAATTGGGGAAATTTCAAGTATACCAAATGCAATTAACATCTCATCAGTGACATATTGAATTACAGCAATATATGAGTATTATCAACAAATAAATATACTTCTCTCCAAAATTCTGTAATAGTCTTAAGGTCCTCTCCTTTTGCATGACAATATTCTATCCAAAATAATGGATCCTTTCGAAGTAAAAGTTTTGAACTTGCATTATTCGGAATATTCTATGTCCATCAGCTTTCCAGCCATTCTTTTCTAATGGACTTCCTAGTTTAAATGCATATGCATTGTCACCATTCCGGGGAAAAAGGTTTGATGTCATACTAAGGCAGCATGTAATGTACCAAATTCCATCCTCAATTACAGAGTTACTGCCCTTTGTTAAAAATATCTTGTCCAGAGCATAACTTTGCTTGCATTTAAGGTAGGATAATGAAACTTGCTGTGTACATCGATCATATGAAGGTAATATGCAGTATATCAATGTTGGGGCCCGCAACACCATCATTGATAAAGCGTGTTATATAAAGCATAAACAATATAAGTACAAACAACTAATTTTCATTATGACATCACAAAGAAAAATTAACAACTCCATCAAATGTTTCGTAAACTTGACTAGTGTTTCATTGGTATTTTACTATTCCTGGTTGGTTCCACATTTTAGTATGTTCCTCCATTACGATATTCTGTCGTAACACGTTCTAGCAGTAACCTAGCTGCACTTTGTTAATATCTACAGCTTTTGTTTAAACAGTTTGTCTTTTAATAAGTCTTCGTACTTATATATTTTCTTTCTTTTGTTTGAGATTTCCACCATGACTGCAGCTGATAACAAGAGTTTGATTGCTGGTATAGCATGCAGACTCCCAAAATCCAGAAATTTGGAGGTAAATTCTAAATACAAAATATATATAATTTGGAGCCTTCAAATATCACTTTCAAGCTTCCCTCAATATTCCAGATCCTATCTATATCTTGGAAATTATTATAAGTGTTGACATTTCTGAATACCTGAACATTTTATTGATGATTTCACTCTTTAAATACCAAGTAAATTGTCAAACAATCTGGTTACATTTTCTTAACATGTGAATATCATCAGTAAATGTGCAGGAATATAAAGTTTAATGAATTAATTATACCTCCATTAAGGTAGTGAAGGTGGGATGTAGAAAACATCTGTGTCTGTAGGTCTGGGTTAACCTAGTGTATGTGATATATCTCATGAACCCATGAAGAGATTTACATTATATTGACACCATATCATGACCCCACCAAGATCAAATAATTGGTAAAATTTTAGTTGTCATTGGTCAAGGTTAAAGATGAAAGGTCCACCTGACCACATTTGAAAGAAAAAAATAAGTGATAACTCATGAACCAGTCGTCAGATTTAGTTCGTATTCATAACATAACCTCCATTCACCAAGTTCTACACCTGATTAGTTTTGGATGATCATTTGGTCATTGGTCAAGATTGAAGTCAAAGGTCACCCCATGACCATTTCTCAAATAAGAAACCTTATGCAATGGACAGTTTTACTTCATTCACACCATAACTTCACCCCACCAATGTCTCAATACCTAATCATGTTTTAGAGGTCATCGGTCAAGGATAAAGGTCAATGGTCACCTTTGATCACTTCTGAAAAATAAAGTATTTGCAGAGATATGTCAATAGATTTAGATCAGAAACAAATGAGGGGGTGGTGGGTATATGTATGATATGGTGCTGAATGACATTTAATTGTTCTTGTTTAAGATTTTACTTTTATTCCATTATAGGTTGTCATTAGAAACTTGTGATAATGTTAAGTCATAAGAATTCTAGGGAATCTTGATGAATAAGATGATGATATATTGTAGGATTTCTGGGAGAAGCATGATTAATAAGATGGTGTTATATTTTAGGAATTCTGGGAGAATCATGATGAATAAGATGGTGTTATATTGTAGGATTTCTTGGAGTATCATGGTAAATAAGATTACGTTATATTTTAGGAATTCTGGGAGAATCTGATTGAAAGTCATGACATGATTGACACGACACGATTCCCGGAGGGCTTGGATGGAGTACCGCCCAGGGCTGGACTTATTCCTGATATAGACAGATTTGATGCTGGATACTTTGGGTTCTCAGATGTAGAAGTACTTTCAATAAACATTTAACATTTTACATTGTCAATATTTTATCATTTTCTTAAGTTCACCTAGAACAAACTTTAACTGAAAATATTAACATTGCTGATAATGATATTTTATTCATTCAGAGATCTGTCAAGATCTTGCATGTACTTTTGTACTTTTTGATGTTTTTTATCTAGGCTGACAGCATGAATGTGATGCTTCGACACTTATTGGAGGTAACATATGAGTGTGTAGTAGACTCGGGTCTACAGGAAAAGACATTGCAAGACAATGTCACAGGGCTGTACCTGGCATGTTTCCTCCCTGACACGGATTCCATAGAAACCACAAAGTACAGCAAGTCAAAATTATGTAAGTTACTGGGAAGTATGATAAGTGTATAAAGTTTTGGTAGAAATGCCCTTACTACCGATGAAGGGAAGGTGTGAACGTTTCAAGTACTGTAGTACTGAACAAAGTATTGATAGTATTGTACTGAAGTACTTCACCAATCGAATTCCTTAAATTTATGCAACAAGCTCTCTGATTGGCAGAGCCAAGTCTAGATCGATTGTGGGTGAAGCCAGGTGAAAAAATACTGTGCAGACATTTTTACAAACACTGGAAGGTTAATTATTGTCACAGGTGGCTTCAATAACCTATTGGGTTGTCCCACACCCAATGATACCTTGCTTTTCCATCGATGGTACAACGAGAAAACGAAAGTTACTCAGTACTACACTAATTTACGTACAAAATATATATCAACAGGTTAGATCACTGGGACCATATAACATCTTAACAGTGAATATAGTCATATAGTCATTCTGTACTAGTTTTATTTATTTATTTATTTTTTGAAAGGGGGGGGGGGTGTTGGCTCAAAATATTTCGGTTTAAGCCCAAGCTCTATTATATGTAACAAAGAATTACGAATTACCTGGGACCTCCTGATATATGCCGATAATTCATACTGCATTAAAAAATAAAGGAATTCTGTTCTGAAAATTATACATATCCGCAATATGTGAAAAAAACTTGGTTGGGCAGAGACATTTACTACTGCAAGTTCCAGAAATTCTGACACAAGTGGGTATTTGCCCGAAGCCTCTGTCTCATGACATTGAATACATATTCAGTTACGTTGTATTCCGGGGAATAAGGCGGCTGAAAAACCAGGGACACGCCATATTCTTTCAGCATATTTCTTAAAATGCGCTCTCCCTGTCTATGGTGATGGAATCCACAATTATCCATCACAACCACATCGCCTTGTACAAAAACAGGATTCCCCATATCGTTCGTATCGGACATAATTTCGTCGACGAAAATTTTGCGTACTGTTGCCGTCGTCGGACATTTTTCCAGCGATTACTTAGTAATTGTTATGTAACTGATAGTGTACAATAACTCCGCCTACCGGAACAAATTGGGTGTCAGATCAACTATTCAGGTTGTCTAAACTCCGCCCCCGACCAATCACAGAGGTCGTTGTATACTTGACTCGATTATTTGAATACTTCAATACAATAGTATCAATACTTTGTTCAATACTATAGTAAGTGTGTCGTTCACACCTTCCCTTCATCGGTAGTAATACTATATTGTTATTTCTGTAGTAAACCCAACTCCCAGACATCGAGTCAAAGATAATACATTTCCCCTGGAATTATTGTAGTTAATAAATACAATGTATTTGTTTTTATAGGTACTACAACACCTCTCCTGACAGGCCATATCACCAGCTATTTTGGCTGGAATGGACCAGCTGTATCAGTGGATACTGCGTGTAGTTCCAGTCTTTCTGCTCTGGAAATGGCAGAGACAGATCTCAGGACTGGCCGATGTCAATTTGCTGTCATTGCAAGTATGATTATTACCCACCAATATAGAGGAGTAATATTCCAATATAAAAAAAAAACAAAAAACAATTATAATGCAAAGTAGTCTTGGAATGGTTTGTTGATGTGTAGTAATCATAGCCTAATACATTGTCTCTGATTTTTTTTATCTGCTGTGAAAATAGTTTTGGAGTAAGTGTGGATCACCAACCATGAAAATAGGTTAGGAGTGTGGGTCACCTACCATGAAAATAGGTTAGGAGTGTGGGTCACCTACCATGAAAATAGGTTAGGAGTGAGTGTGGGTCACCTATCATGAAAATAGGTTAGGAGTGAGTGTGGGTCACCTATCATGAAAATAGGTTAGGAGTGAGTGTGGGTCACCTACCATGAAAATAGGTTAGGAGTGAGTGTGGGTCACCTACCATGAAAATAGGTTAGGAGTAAGTGTGAATCATATGCTTGAAAACTTTTTGAGACAAAATTTTGTACAATCTTCAAAACCCACCTTATTGTAAGCTCAATCTGTAAATTCTTGGTGCCTTAAGTCCAAGGTCATGGTCGCTGTTTTTCACATCTGAGTTATCTTGGTTAAAATTGTGCAAATTTCCTCAAAATCAAAACTGATTTAAAATGAAAATGATTACCATCTCTCATGTCTTCCGCTGTCATCAACTTAGATCTTGGCTTTACTGAATGTAGACTGCTGTTCAATATTATAGGATTTTTGAAGAGTTGATATTTCTCACAGATTTAGCAGTTCACTTCTGAGTTCTTGCCCCGTGGACATGTAAAAGTTCTTAGTCCTGCTGTCCATTATAACATTTGGAATTTCATCCCTTTTCCTGTCCCTTTTGTTCACACTTTTTGACATGATCCAATGAAGCACCTGTAAAGTTGTAAGTTGAGGTTTGGTGCTACCATGTCATTGTCAAATTTTGAGGATGAAAACTTTCATAAGAAAAGTTATAAACCTTTAATCCTGTTACGTTCTGTTCAGGTGTGAATTTGATCATCAACCCAGTGTACCTGCAGCAAATGGCCATCTTAGGCATGTTAAACCCTACGGGTGAAAGCAAGGTGTTTGACCGTGATGCTGGAGGCTACGTCAGGGCTGAAGGAGTGGCCGCTATCATTCTTACACGGTAAAACTGAACTTCTTTGTTGTGTTCTTTCACATTGAAGATCTTGTGTCATATGTTCATATCACAAAGAAGGTTTTAACTCTTGTAAAATATTTTTGTCTATTTGGAGATCACTGTTCTCAGGTTTGGGTTCTTGCTGTCCATTCATTTATTTGTTTATTTGATTACTTCTGTCCTTTTCCATACCATTTAATGAAGTTTATTGTTAAGTGATGTGAATGATCACATTTGCATCGTTAGATAACTGGTAGTGAACAATGTGAGAGATACTGAAACTTGACCTTTCCATGTCTTTTGTTTAACTTAAATTGTGTAGATTATTGATACTACAATATATTTCTGGTGTGGTTTTAGGGTTTGGGTTTTACTCATTTTCATGTATATTTCTTCAGGTGATATTTCATTGGTTGATGCTCTATATGAGAAAAAAAAGTATTTACCCAGTGCAATAAACCTGACAGAATAACCTCTAAGTTTGTGATAAATTTGGGTGGTCTTAAATATGTGAAAAAAAATGTTGTCTGAAAAAATGTGTGATAATCATTACGTAGTGATATGAGTTAGATTGTAAGATAAAACCTCTGGGATATGATTGACTATAATAAGTCCTAGTAGATTATTTTGTTATAAAGGTACCTGATGAATCGTTAATTTATTACAGGAAGCAGAACTTGTGTAGACGGATCTATGCAACATTGGTGGATGTGATGACTAATTGTGATGGATACACTGCAGAGGGTATGTATGTCAGTTTTTTTTAGTAGAGTGCCAATATCTTTAGTTCATTTGACCTTTAGGAATGATTGAATTTTGCCCAAATTTGGTCTAAAGCATCCTTAGGTAAAAGGGACTCAATTTCTTATTAAAACTGGGTCTTGATTCCTTCGGGTGGAAGGGGCGGGGCCCAATAGGGGAAAAAGAGCAAATGTTTTGAAATCCTTCTTTTATAGGAAAGCGTGGATTATGTCACGGTTTGGTTTGAAACATCCATGGGTGGAGGGGTAATCAGTTTTGTCTACACAGGGGATCTCAGCCCCATGGGATCTGGGCCCTTTAACAGAAATGGAGCAAATTCATTAAAATCCTTCTGGAGGAATGGCAGGATTCTGTCCCGGTTTGGTCTGAAGCAGGCTTGGGTGAAGAACTATTGTTTATAAATGGTTTTGCTGACCCCCTGGAGAGAGTTGTGGAGACTGATGAGGGAATAGATGTAAACCTTTAGAACTCTTTTACACTTAGTTTCAACAAAGTAACTTCAGCCAAACAAAGCCAGATGAGCAATACAGGCCCTATAGGCAGTTTGTTTTATTTTTTGGTCAAAACTTCTAAAATTTTTAATTGTTTTAATGAACTCATAATTGTTCTTACTTCTGCCAGTGACAGTGCTAATTATAGGCCTTCATAGTCAGATGGTTGTCAAGACTCTTTCTTGGGGCACAGTTTATCAAATTGAATGATTGAATCAGGCAAAAATTATCAGATTCAAAGACATTGTGCTACAGACCTTTTGCAGCAATTTAAAACAACTGTTTTGGGGGAATTTAAAAAGATATACACAGCTTAAATTTGACAAAACACTGACAGTTAAATTGTTGGATCTATATAGGTATAGAATCTGATTCATTTATGTTTAAGTATATAAGACTGTAACTTAATTTAGGTTCACCATATAAATAAAATCTTAATTTGAATCATATATTTATATGTAAAACAATTTAAAATAGCTTGGATCTGTCTTACTTTGTGTATCAGGAATATCTTTTCCAAATGACCACACCCAGAAGATGTTGTTGGAAGCAATTTACAAGAGGGCAGGTGTGGACAGTGACCAAATTGCCTACATGGAACTTCATAGTACTGGAACAAAGGTCAGGCTAAGGTTTTGATAAAGTATCCAAATGCTGTGTTGTATGAATAAGATCTGTCACCTTTGTGACAGAAAAACTGTCATTTAAAGGTCAGTTGTTCAATGACAAATAGATAATCGTTAGGTAAATGTCTGCAAGTGACAATCAATAATCAACAGAAATGTTTCCTTAGATTACGCATAGGTTTGATTTAAGGTGAGGAAAGCATAATGTTGGATTGGGATCCAATAGAATAGATATGACAGTTAAATTAAACCAGAATAGTTTGGAGTTATAGAAGTAATGAATGTTGTCTAGGTTGGAGACAAGGTAGAAGTTGGAGCTGTAACAGATGTGTTGAGTCCAGGACGTAGTACTCCGCTTCCTATTGGATCAGTAAAAGGAAACATGGGTCACTCTGAGGCCACAGCAGGTATTGATATTGTTCTTTCTTAACCTCTTGTCTCTTGCCAGCTTCTTACAGATATATGGTGCTTACCTATGACAAAGGGTTAAAACAAAATAAGTTGAAAAAAGTAATTTACAGGAAACATAGAGCCTACTTTATAACATTTTTTTTATCTGAATTCAAGAAATTAAAGTGTATTTTTTTATTAAGCTGAATGAGTTGAATGTTGATTGTTTTGAACTTTGAAAAAAACTTTTGATATTAAAGAAGGTATGTTTTCTCAATATAGGCATGGCGAGTCTGATGAAATGTTTACTAGTCGCACAACACAGAAAGATACCTCCACAACTCAACTACGTCAACCCAAACCCCAGGATCCCAGCTGTACAAGCAGGCAAAGTGTCCATTATCAACCAAGTTACCCCTCTAAATGGTAATCAAATATCACTCCCTGAAAAACATTTAGTTAAAACCTATTGAGAAGAGACACCATTATTACAAATTTATCAAGTCCCTCAGACTGATGTTCTCATGTTGCCTGTGGTTTTCAGTTTTTTGTGCAACATATGTCATCCCTGTGTTACAACTTTCTTATTTAGTGTCTATTCATTGAACAAGAAGCCTAGATTCACGCAGAGTCAAGCATGCTGGGAAGGAGGACCATAGCCCACTTTCAAGGACACTGAGGGTCAAATGTGTTAAAATATTTAAATCACTTCCTCTGTATAAACAACGAGTCTGGAGTCATGATATTTGGCATATAGCATGCCGAAGTAAAGGATTATCAAGTTTGATCAAATACATTACTGTGACCTACCTTCCATATTACTGTGACCTACCTTCCATGTTACTGTGACCTAGATTCCATGTTACTGTGACCTAGATTCCATATTACTGTGACCTACCTTCCATATTACTGTGACCTACCTTCCATATTACTGTGACCTAGATTCCATGTTACTGTGACCAACCTTCCATATTACTGTGACCTACCTTCCATATTACTGTGACCTACCTTCCATATTACTGTGACCAACCTTCCATATTACTGTGACCAACCTTCCATACAGTTCAAATGATTTTGATGCATCATTTAGATAATGCCCTGGTTTGTGATTTGTAGCATGACGTAATGAAAGACTTATCAGTTTGTTCGTATGAATTACTTTGAAGGTCATAGTCATGGTGAGGGTAAACTTTGTTAAATGTATGTGCATAATCATGGGTGAAATGTACTTTTTTTCAAAATACAATACTTAAAACAACTTCCTCTGAATAAATAAGATACCTGTAATTTTATGTGTCACTTGCAACTTTGCATTGCTTAAATGAATTTCAAGTTTGGGAAAAACATGACATTTGACAGAATATGACTTATCTTGCAAAGCAGGTGAGTGATACAGGCCCATTGGACCAATAACATTGGCACAGTATGTTGTAAAGAATATATCATAAAAAGATAAAGTTTTGTTTCAGAGGGATACATAGGTTTGAACTCTTTTGGGTTTGGTGGTGCAAATGGACATCTTATCTTGAAGCCCTATCGCAAGAACAATAAAGAAAATGGTAAGTGGTTAAAATGTAAGGTGGAAAAACAAACATATTTGTTAAAATTTTGCTCTGTTTTTATTGAATTTGAGATTTTATTATGATTCTGCTGACACGTTGGTATTATTTTCTTTGTTGTTTTTGTTTAATAAGAACTTGCATCTAATTAATTTATCATTTGACAACAAAATCTATTGAAATAATTTAAAAGTTCATTACTGTTGCTTTAGTGTTTTTGAAATTACTTTGTACAGTTGACCTATTAATCAACACAATATATTCACAGCAACAATTTATGTATAAAAATAATCTAATTTTTCGTGCTTTCAAATTAACATTATTAACGGTAAAAATAACATTGAAAATATCACATTATCAGTATATTGAAATACTGATTTTGTTCAAAGACCAGAAAAACATATGTCATGGTGCTTCCTATCATCCTACATCTCTCAGTCCATTTGTAAACATTGTCTTATTACTTTTTATATAATTCCCAAAACACAGAAAAGACCCCCACTAACGAGTAAGATATGATTCCAATAGCTGGTCTTAAACAAAATTTGGACCCATACAGCATTCAAGATGGCTGCTATGAACTGGGAAAATGATGAATGTATGGAGACAAAACTCCCATTAAGGAGTTGTATTTGGTCCACATGCAAAACCTTAGACTCCTGATATTTTCAAGCAAGCAACAGCGTTTGTTATATTTGAGGTCATATCTTTTCATCTCCGGTATGAAATATTGATATAGCAGCAGGACTTTTAACATTAAATCTGTTTGAGATGTCTGAACCATTTTGAAAGGAATTCACATAAAAAAGTCACAGACATATTACAATACAAATAATTTGACACCAGTAATTAGTAGAGTACCAACAGAAGCTCTACTCCTATAATAGGGTTATTATGATCTTTGAACTCTCAATTCTTCAGACCAGATGTTGTGTCTGCTACCTTACAAAGCTCGGACACCAGAAGAAGTGGAGACTATCTGTAGATTATCAGAGTCGGACCTGTCATCAAGGATGGACCTTCATTGCCTGCTAGCTGGTTCAGTTTTGTCACATGATCAGAAGCGACCAATTAAAGGCTACCTGATTTCAAGCAGACAGACAGAAGGTAAAACTCTCTCTTTTAAAAATCGGGGTTACAGCTCATTAACGTTGATGTTAACATTACATTAATAGCTTGATAGAGAAGCTGTGCTCAAAGCAAGAAAGTTGCTAGAACTGGACTGCAATTGTTTGTGAAATAGAAGTGGAAAATGTGTTACCATTTAGGTATTGAAATAAAAAAGAACCTTTTATCTGATCATACGATCAGATCAGTGATTACCCAAATAAAATACCTTTACATGCACTTGGTCAGCAACTTTTCAACCATAAGAGATATCTTACTAATGAAATGTGGTGCAATTAAATATTGGTGAAATGTAAAAGGTCACTGTGACCTTCACCTCAACATAAAATGTCAAATACGAAAAAAAAAAACCTTGGTGCAATTTGGTCAGTAAGGTTTTCTCCACACCATAGATTTAGAGATTAAACTAGGAATATATTTGCATTACTCACAAGGGGTGTGCAGATATAATGAAATTAAATCACTTTGACCTTTTCAAGATAGAAGATTGAGTACAAAAATCAAATTGCAGTATGTTCTGTAACTTAATGTGTAAGCTTTAGAACCATTAGAGACACTTTGATGAAACTTCAAACATATGCACAGTGTGACGGTGCACTGAAATTAGGTCACTGTGACTTTCTCAAAAGCCAAATAAATTTAAACTTTCTAGTAATGTTTCATTTATTTAAGAGATATCTTGATGAAACTTGACATAAACCTGATTACCAACGCAGAGTGGTGTGCTCTGATATTTTCACTGTGACCTTCACCACTAGATTAAAGGGGCAATTTTCCAGCAATTATTTTGTCTGGGTTTTAGCATTTGAGATATATATTTCAATGAAACTCCAAAGGCACTTAATTGCATGTCCCTAGTTGTCAAATCAAAAACAACTGCCAAATCATTGGACTAAATTAGTCAAGGTCAGTTTGGAAAATGTAATTAATTGGATAAGAACAATTTATATGATGGCTGTAATAGATGAATCCAAGACATAGAAGATTCTGTCTCAAAAAGGAATAAGACACATAGAGCAAAGATCCACTCAATAGTATATCTATGTTCAATTCTGAAATTAGTATTTTATTAACTTGGAAAGAACATTAAAAATTTATATTTTATTATATTTGTGTTTTGAAAGAGAAAATAATGACAAAAGTCTATTATCCTGGCTTCCTTCACCATACTTATCCTGCAGTATAGGACAAACATCCAAATTCTGACCCAAATTTAGAGGTGTACAGAATGATAAAAAAAAAAAATATTTGTAATGTCACAGAATAGTCATAAATATAGGTGGGCTAATTGTACAGCATGTTTTATTGTGGGATAAATACAGTATTTAGTGAAACATTCTCGATATTAACCATTTAATGATAGCTGTTTAATGTACTATGTAGGTCTAGTTTGTGGGAGAACATGTGTGGAAGAAAACCAATGTGAATATAAAGCTGGGAAAATTGGACTGTTTCTACCAAACTTTGTGTGGAACCCAATTATGTTGGACAAGGATGTACTGGATATTCCAAGTTTTACAAAATCACTCCAGAAATCACAACAGGTCTGTAAGTCAAACAGCAATCACACAATCCTTGCTTAATCACTGAAACTCTTCAGATTTATTGAGGAATATATAGCATTTGATTGCTTTCTACTGATCTAAAATTCTGTTGGTGATGGCTAATAACCGCTTCAGTTTTATCTGTAACAAGCACAAGGAGGGAACCGTAACAAGTCAAACCAAAAGTCAGAGGGTTGTCTAACTACAGGTATTGAAATAGCATTTGTTGAAAGTTTGTATGATGTACAGTAGATAGGGGTGTGTATATATATGGTACTGTATCATAATACAGAGGTTTTTGAATGGCAGTTACTAGATATGGGATCATAATAATCTCTCTCTGATGTTATTAATGCAGGCTTGAAATAACAGTTGCATACTACATGTTGGTTTAAATATATTTAGCACAGAATGAAATATTATTTTCATAAACATAATCTGCTTATTTGTTTTTAAAAAAGTGTAAGAGTAAAAACTCTTTGTTGCTTGCAATACTCATGTATAATATACGTTACAGAATTTTCACAGTTTAAGAATTGTGATTGCTTTCCAGATTTTAATAGAAAAGCTTGGCAGGTCATTTTCCCTGGTAGACAAGATAGGATGTGATGAGCTACTCTCAGCTATTTCTGCTGAGAATTTGTGTGTAGTGGTTGCTGCACAGATTGGTAAGTCAGCTCCTTCCAGCTGTGGATATAACTTTGTAACATTTCAAAGCAATAATTTCTTAATTGGATTTGTCATTGCTGGAAGAGAGAACAATTCAAACACGATTTATACTAAATGTCCAGAAATCCAATGTTCTTATGACATCAGGAATCTTGGAAAAAAATTAAAATAATTCTTGAGATCCATTCGGCTTTGGATACTTGTTTATAGATGAGATGCCATTATTTATTTAGAAGCTAATGAATATATACTTCTTCCTAAATGTTGACAGGGTTGGTTGACTGTATTCAGGAGTGTGGGGCTCCTATTTCCTTTGTGGGTGGGAGTGGCCTGTCAGAAATCACCGTGGCATATGTGGATGGTTGCCTGACGCGAGAACAGTGTTTACATGTAGCTCTTGTCCTTGGGAAAGCGTTTCAGGAATTTTGTGATAAAAAAGGTGAGCTTGACTATGATGTAAGTAGAATTGTTTTCCTTTGTCAAGTAACAGAAGACCTCAGTCATTCCTGTCTCTTATCTTGGTAGGTGATATGTGTTAAATGCTGTTTTGTGATGTTATTTTGTATTAGGCTTGTTTCCAAGCATGCACATCGAGAAAAACATTTGATTATGAAAACATTTCTTGTATTCTCTGATTTGGAAAAAAAAGGGATGCCTATAATAAAGTTACTTGTCTATCACAGTTCTTCAGTTTATGGAAGTTGTCCCTCAGAGAATAACTTTGGGGACCATTCCTGAAAGTTTTGAGTAGCACGGCAATACCTGACCATGGAATTGTGTTTCTGTATAAGTTAAATGCTTTTTCACTTTCAAAGAACTGCCTGACAAGATCTACAAAGTGCATCTACCACTTGAAATGGTATATCTGCTTGGTCCCAAGATTAAAGTGCTGGCCAGTCTGTCCATGGAAACCTCCATTATCCTGGTCAGTGCTCAATATTCCAATCAGATTCTAAAGGATATTCATGAAAAAGGTAAAAATAAAACAACTTTCTCCTTCACCCACCTCTCCCCTCCCACACACAAACAAAAAACACATTGTGTTGCCATGCATGAGATGGAATCTGTAACATTCATTTCCTTGATGTTTGCACCATATTTTTATTGGAGTTGTATACCTGGTTTGATTTTGATGGGTGGGTCCATAATGGTATTTGAACATTTTACATTCAGTGTGCACAGATTCATTGGTGAAAATTGGATTCAATTTTGATATTTCAACATAGATCATACTTAACAGAGGGCAGTAATTCAATTGGTCAAAATTTACCCCATGATATCAGAAAGCTACACCTGATTAAATGTTGAAGGTCATTGGTCAAGGTTAAAGGACAAAAGGTCACAGTTGATCACTCTCAGAATAAAGAGATGCATATGAGATAAGATCAGGAACTCTTCAACAGCCAGTAAGCATAAAAAAGTCTTCTTAACAAAAATGTGATAACATTCAATGTTATTTGTCTAAATATGTAGTACATTTTCCATCTGTAACTATTTTATCACAGGAGGGTTTTACAAGGAGCTACAACAGAAGATACCCTTCCATAGTCACTACATGATGGACTGTATCAACTCCCTCACACAGACACTGGAAGACATCATTAAATATCCTAAACAGAGGTGTATATATTACTTAGTATTAGCTTTTACAGAAAAAAATATTTGACTTCAACAAAATAATCTGAGTTTGGGTTGAAATATCCTGAAAAATTCTTTATCATTTGTACAGAATAACACTGCATGTGCTCATGAGACTGCCAATGATGCTTATCTGAAACTGTGATTAATCAAAATCAGTACAGATTTTGTGAGGGTGATCTTTTAACCCTATGTGTATGCCTAGTGAGAATGGTATATTTATAATGCACTCTTCAAGACTAGCTTCTGAGATTGAGAGTGTGACAGAATAACCACAATAAAATCTTCCTTCTAAATTTTATAGAATAAATAAGTAAACTTAATCATGAAGCTGTCAGGGAGGTATCTGCACTAGAACCACGTGAAAATGATTTCTAGAAAAGAACTTGTGGATGATCTGGTCAGGAGCTAATTAGGTTAAGATTTTGTTTGTTTGTTGCCTAGTGACCATCCAGTAACATTTATAGGTGTCTTTGTAACTGATGCATAGTTACGTCATGGAACATCATGCACAATACCACTCAGTTAGCAGAACATATTTTCAAACAGAAGATGATAATTAGCCTTGAATAATCATGTGTTCACCTCTTATAATACAAAAAATGTTAAAAAAATTATAATCTTTTGTTGCTACTAACTGTACCAAATATACAATATATTTCATAAGTGAAAATGCTTTGTATTTAAGTTCGAGCCGGTTTCTACAGAGGAAGCATGATTTCCTGCCTGGCCTGGAATCACGGTCTGTGGCCTTCAGTGCCAATTACCTAACTGAGATGCTGTGTCGAACATGTCCTCCCTTCAAATCTGCTCTCCCGAAAGATTCGATCATGGTCAACATTGACCTCAACGGTTGGTGTGACGAGACAGAGACGGTCATCAATACTGATGCAGAACATGAACTGATAAACATTCCTGTGGAATCTGACCCAGTCACTATTCTCCGAGCTCTAGGAGAAATATTCCTTCATGGTCAGTATTACTTTACCAAGCTTTTGTATTATTCATGGGTTGCAATTTCTGTCTAATATTTCTTATCTTAGTCCCATCAGAGGAATCCCTGTCATGTGACTAAGTGGCATGTAAGTCAGTTATCATTTCTTGATCGGCTATTTCAAACTGCCTTTTGCCCTTTATAGTTCATCTACCCAGATCATATTCTGAAACTTTTTATCTCTACTTCTCAAAATGTAAGTGCAAGTTTTTCAAATGTCATTTATAATGTCCACTTCAGGTTGTTCATGTTTAATTATTTGACTGAATTGAAGAACAAGATGGTGGGTAGGCAGCTATCTTGCATCAAAGGTCAACTCTCAAAAAGTATTGAAAGAAACTTTCTCAAATTTCATGTAAGGTTTTGCTTGTGACATCTTGATTGTCGTATACAAACATTTTTGAGACTGATTGAATAAACAAAATGACTTTGAATCAAATGTGAGACTGACCAGATAATAGGAAAAAATACAATATACTTTATATTCTAGTCTATTGAATTAGTGTAACAAAAACCTGACCTCAAAATGATAAATTGAAATGCATGAAGAAGACTTAAGAAAGATCAATATGATGATGTCCATAAAGATCTCTTCGGATCTTTTGCTTAAATGTATGAGGAGATGTTATCCACCTTATCATTTACATACAGCCTTGGTTTTAAGAAATGGTGATAAATAAGCTGTACTTGACATATATATCTTTATGATCTTGAAGGCCATGACATCGAGGTTTCTCACCTGTACAAGACAAAGTTTCCACTTGATGTGTCGGTCCCATCAGTCAGTCCAGTAATCCGCTGGAACCATGACACTTCCTGGTATGTTCCAGAGTGGCATGAGTTTTTCAACAAAGGTATGACACTTAGTTTTTTAATTATAGGGGCTTTTGTGTATTTGTTCATAGGAATATCCAAATTCTTCCTCACAGAAAACATTTGTTTAATTTGTGAAATTTGTTTTCAAGGGCCAGGATGGTCGAAAGTACAAGATCAAACTTAAAAAAAATTATCTTGATGAATCTGAAAATTGTAATCAGTTTGCATAAAATGATGAGAATTGCTTTAATTCCGATTTATTTGAATAACCTTTTTATAAATAGATTTTAATTTTGTAACAGTTGGATAAATAAAAGTGGGCCAATTATTTTGGCTTTTTTTACCAATAATACATAGGAGGGAGAGAGTGAAAATATCATATTTATAAATCAACAAAGGTTGATGAGTATATATATCATTTTACACATCCTGCTGATATGAGAGGGAAATTTCCTGTGTGTTATAGTGAAGGATGTGGGCCCACCTACATACATCATTGATACCAAAAACCTGGAAGAGATGACCACGCCCATGGCCCTGCTGTTATACCATACCTGGAGGGCTATCACACAGCGACACAAGGTCAGTCAAGGGGAAGAGGTCATTCGGAAATAAAATGTCAATAAAGTTTTGAGGCCATTGACTCACTGAAACACAAGGTCAGTCAAGGGCAAGAGGTCATTCCGAAATAAAATGTCAATAAAGTTTTGAGGCCATTGAGTCACTAAAACACAAGGTCAGTCAAGGGTTAGAGGTGGGACTGAAACACAGGGTCAGTCAAGGTTTAGAGGTTTGACTGAAACACAAGGTCAGTTGAGGGTTAGAGGTCATGTGAAGCACAAGGTCTGTAAAGGGTTAAAGGCCAATACTGTTTGCAGTACTTTTGAATTCTAGAGAACAAACAGATGATATGTTATAGAAGGTTGCTCTGATATATAGAGAGATTTGTGATATTAAACACCATGACCCAATGTTGTTCAATTCTTATGAGTGAATTCCAAGAAGACAGACAGAAGGTCAACCAAATGTTATGATGTATAGTTGACAGCAACACAGGCTTAGATCATAAAATATATATTTGATGTAGGCCCTGTCAAAGGACAAAATGGTTGTAGCAGATATGAGACAAAGGACAAAATGGTTGTAGCAGATATGAGAGCATACTTGATGTAGGCCCTGTCAAAGGACAAAATGGTTGTAGCAGATATGAGAGCATACTTGTCGTGGGGCCTGTCAAAGGACAAAATGGTTGTAGCAGATATGAGAGCATACTTGTTGTGGGCCCTGTCAAAGGACAAAATGGTTGTAGCAGATGTGAGAGCATACTTGTCATGGGACCTGTCAAAGGACAAAATGGTTGTAGCAGACATGAGAGCATACTTGTCATGAGCCCTGTCAAAGGATAAAGTGGTTGAAGAAGATATGAGAGCATACAAAGAATAAAAGGGTTGTTACAGATATTGTGCATATTTTGTTTAGGCCCAAAGGCCAAACAAAGGAGAAAAAATGTTTTAGCAGATTATGTATAAACATTTTATAGGTCCTGATAAAGGACAAAATGTTTGAAGCAGATAATATATATATTTTTTGTTTACTCTGACAAAGGACAAAATGGTTATACCAAATAATGAATGTACATTTTGTTGGCCTATCGAAAGATGGTTGTATCAGATAATGTATACTTGTAGGCAGTGGCAAACAATTAACAAATTGGTTGTTTCAGATTTTGTATATACTATAAAATCATGAATTTTCTTAATGGATTTATTTATCATTGTGTTTCAGGCCTTGACCAATGAGAAAATGGTTGCTGTAGATATCCAAAGCTTGGCTGTACATAATGAGGCAGATTGGAGTGTAGATCTAATGTCCGGGGCTGCCATCAATATACAGGAATTACAGAAAAATTTCACAATCACAAACCAAGGTAATTAAATCATATCTTAAGCTCAATCACAAAGGTAACTAAATTACATCTCAAAGTCACAAACAAAAATGCTAAATTATATCTGAAGGTCACAAACCAATGTAACTAAATTATATCTCAGTCAGTAACTATGGTAACTAGTTTGTATCTTATGGTCACAAACCAAGGTAACTAGATTATGTCTTATCGTCACAAACCAAGGTAATTAAATTATATCTCAAGGTCACAAACCAATGTAACTAGATTATATCTTATCATCACAAACCAAGGTAATTAAATTATAGCTCAAGGTCACAAACCAAAATGCTAAATTATATCTGAAGGTCACAAACCAATGTAACTAAATTATATCTCAGTCAGTAACTAGATTATATCTCAGTTACTATCTATGGTAACTAACTTGTATCTCATGGTCACAAGCCAAGGTAAATAAATTTTGATTTCAAATATAAAAGATGGAATAGAGCCAACACTGGATATCTGTCTGTTGAATTGGTGGTTCCTAGGCCCCTTGTTTAGATACCCAAAGGTATACAGGGTGATTGATGGATAAAAAATATTGATAAATAGAAGTCAATCCCAACAGGCGAAGGGGCGGGGCCATCAATTTTTTTTTTTGGTGCAACAGTTTTGTGTTAATTAGGACTTCTTCAGGACAAAATTTATCTCGCAGTCATAAACCATGGTAATTTCATTATATACTCTCACATCACAAAGCATATATTTTAAATTAATTTTTGGTTTCTGATGATGCTTTCTTCAATATAGGATTAGTGCTGTTGACAGGAAGTTTCAAGGTTCACACAGAGAAGATAGACTTACCCAGAATACCTGGCTTTGACCTTGACATTAATCAGAATGTTGATCCTGTCCGTGATGATGAGTAAGTAGAGAGCTTGTTACAAAAACAGAATTTTATCAACATGCATTGTTACCCGTGTCGGCCAACCCTGTTTGGTCTATTCGAAATCGAAATTTGATAATGTCCAGTTCTTTATACACCAGACATGATTCTGGTATGCATTCATTTTCTAGTAACACAATTCCTTCAATAACAATGTTTTGTTTTAAGTATTTTCTTTCGTTGTTTATTTACAAGAATATGACGTTAATGGCACTCCACTCAGTCATCAGTTTAGGTTATCGATGAGATTTGGGAATATGCGTATAGATGAAAAAGGACAAAAAGTGAAAATTCTTGGAAACCATTAATCATTATCACTTGTCAGAAAAAATCTTTGGAATTCATTTTAATGTAGTAATATAAAAACTCACAGTTTTGTTCATTAGAGCACCAATTAATAATATTATATAAATTGTTGGACTCCAGAGAGGAGATCCAGAAAACTGAGATCCTGTGGGAGGATAGTTGGCTGGATTTTATCAACACCGCCCTCGAGTTCACCATACAGTCTCTTGTGGGGCCTCTCACCCGTGTTATCGTCAACCCAGATGGCCATAGTAAAGAGGTGGAAAGTTGTGCCAATATCCTCACAGTGGCTGAGAGGAACACAGGTCAGTGATGGGGTCAGATGGTCCCAAGTGATTGATTGGTTAGGGATTATGATGCTGTCTTAAGATATGAAGTGAGACAGGTGGAGATTGGTTAGGGATTATGATGCTGTCTTAAGATATGAAGTGAGACAGGTGGAGATTGGTTAGGGATTATGATGCTGTCTTAAGATATGAAGTGAGACAGGTGGAGATTGGTTAGGGATTATGATGCTGTCTTAAGATATGAAGTGAGACAGGTGGAGATTGGTTAGGGATTATGATGCTGTCTTAAGATATGAAGTGAGACAGGTGGAGATTGGTTAGGGATTATGATGCTGTCTTAAGATATGAAGTGAGACAGGTGGAGATTGGTTAGGGATTATGATGCTGTCTTAAGATATGAAGTGAGACAGGTGGAGATTGGTTAGGGATTATGATGCTGTCTTAAGATATGAAGTGAGACAGGTGGAGATTGGTTAGGGATTATGATGCTGTCTTAAGATATGAAGTGAGACAGGTGGAGATTGGTTAGGGATTATGATGCTGTCTTAAGATATGAAGTGAGACAGGAGGAGAGAGAGGGGCATTAGAAAGAGATTGATCTTGAAGACAGAAAAGTAGTGATGGGTAGTCACAAGTGAGGAGACCTAATTACAGACTGGTGAGAAGGATGCGTAGTCTAAAGGTGGTTTGTTGACTTGCCTTTCAAATAGAGGGTAAGCTTATGTTGTCAACCTGGCGTCAGCATTTCTTTCTAATGTTGATATTTTGATGTTGTGTTCATCCTTTTGCCCTTGTGCTAGGGTACTGATATTTGATTTTCAGAGTTTCTGTTAGGGTTAAGTAGTTATTTCTAAGAGGCAGAATACACCAACATGGGGGGAAAATGCCATGAGAAAAACACAATAGACTCTTGCAATATTTTCCTGCAGGAAAATTAGCAACACAACAGATTGGCTTGGCTTGATCACGCCGCATGATTTGGACTTAAGAAGCTCACATAGTCAGACAATGACATCGTCATGCTTGGCTGATTTTAGGGTAGATTGTTGAAGGGAGATCATTCTTGATGTAATACCTGACCAAATATTCCATTATTTCCTTACAGCTAAGTTGTACTGCGGGGGTTAACTTTGTTTCTTTTTTTGTTGAGTATATATATAGAATTGGAAGCAATTACTGTAATCTTATCTCTTGATTTACTCATTCTTACTTTAATGAAAACATAATCAAAACTATTCAGATTGAAAGTTTTTCGTACTTTTTAAAAAATTTTGACAATATTTTATCTGGTGATATACGACTGGTATCACATTAGTGTGATTTAGAGGTTGTATTTTGATGGATTTGATATCATTGCAACCTTAACTCCATTGACCTTTCATGTGATATATAATGCAAAGTGCCTGTTAACTGAATACCACTTATGTTGGGGTCAATATATATTTCAAACATTTCTTTGTGTGAGAGCCAATGCTAGTTCATAAATGAAATTAAAGTATGGAATGAAAAGTGGTACGTTTTCAACAAAGAAAAAGCAAAAAGTAACATGAATGTGATGGATGAGGTCAGAGGTCATAAGAGGTCAAGGATCAGTGGTAGAAAAATTGTTGTTGACTGTATAACTTCTAATTACTCACAGGTATATGTAAGGCAGGCAATGGTCTCGTCCTCCAGACATTAGTTACAAAGGCCCAACGTGACCTCCAAGCTGGTTGCCCTCGAAAGGTCAATATAAGTGAAGGGGAACACACTCTGGTCAACATGGCCATGGCTTATGGTGTCCAGGGCTGTGGTCAATTATACGACCAGGTGCTGCTCTACCAGGGCACAAATACAGTCAAGGACACAAATGTCATTGGGATTGTCCTTATCACAGGTAAATGTTTTTGTGATTTTCAAGTCATGGCATACTGATACATGTTCACTTGTTTTGATTATCTAATTTTAGGGGCAAAAACTTTTTTTAGTGAATAAAATCAACAAGGTTGCTGTTTTGTAAGTTTCATGTTAAATTCTCCAAAATTATTTTCATATTCTTTGACATTCAGTAGCAAAATAGATAAATAAAAGAATGGGTAGTTATTCTGTTTTACATGTAATGTGGTTCACTTTGGGTTAAATGTAATGCTCTTGTATACATGTAACCAGATGAGGAGACGGTATGCCGTGAGATTCCTATAGACAAGGAACTGAATCTGGAGGAAATGCAAAAACTGACACCATACATCCTGGCTCATTACATCACTACAACTGTGGCAGAGGTCAAAAGTGGGGACAAGGTGATGGTCTCGCACCCTATAGGTAGGTAACTGACCACTACAATGCTGCAACTGTGGCAGAGGTCAAAAATGGGAACAAGGTGCTGGTCTCGCACTGTATAAGTAGGTAACTGACCACTATACAACACTGCAACTGTGGCAGAGGTCAAAAATGGGAACAAGGTGCTGGTATTGCACCCTGTAGGTAGGTAACTGACCACTACAATGCTGCAACTGTGGCAGAGGTCAAAAATGGGAACAAGGTGCTGGTATTGCACCCTGTAGGTAGGTAGCTGACCTACAACGCTGCAACAGTGACAGCAGTCAAAAGTGGGGACAAGGGACCACTACGTTGATATAAATTTGGCAGAGGTCAAAAACGTGCTGGTCTCACACCCTATAGGTAGGTAACTGACCGCTGCATCACTGTTTCTGTGGTCAAAGTCAAAAGTGGGGACAAGATGTTTGTCCTCACACCCTGTAGGTAGGTAACTGGACACTACATTGCTGTGACTGTGGCGGTGGATGTGGAAATGGGGGAGGAGAGGGGGGCAACCTTGTACTTAGCTAATTGACCACTACATTACATCACTATAGCAGGGGTCAAAAGAAGAGTGGGGCAACCTAGTGCTTGTCTACTCAGTCTTGACAGGGATGACTTCAGGGGTAATTTGCACATCCACATTAAGACTTTTATATGATGTTTATTCTGTTTTGACACAGACACAGTGGCAGTCTACATCATGGCAATTGTTGAAGAGCTGGGCGGTGTTTTATTTGTGTCTAGCTATGATGCTGATAACAGACAGATGCTTGACCATGCATTCCCATATGCCCGCATCCTTCCTGGCGCCAACATTGTATCAAATATCAAATCTGTCACCCAGGGCGAGGGCTGCGACATCTGTGTCAAATTTACAAGTGGAGGTAAATTTAACTGTTAAAAAAAATGTTTTCTTTAGCTGGATGATATTTTGCTGTATGGTGTTGGTTTTTGATTTTAACAACTCTGGCCTTTTAATATTATGAAGTTGCAGGAAAATCCTTTCTTTTTTGGTGATGTGTGTGCTTCTGGTGTTACCATATCTGTTCATTCTGTTGTGTCACATCGTGTCCCATTCTGTTCCAAATCAATGTCATATCGTGAAAATCTCTCAACATGCATGGTACAAATTTACCTTATAACATCAAGTTCTACACCTGATCAGATTCTGGTTTGCACAGTAGCAGGGGTATTAATGGCTTATGGACATTTTCTAGTGTTTTGATTAAGTGATCTTTTGACCTTCAGAATTGGATGATATACTGCCTCTGGTCGCTCAAAATGGAAAGATGATCCAGTGATATACAGAGGCCTTTAAAGTTCTAATGGAAAAGAGTGTGGAGTGACAGAAGGCAGTTAAAGTCTAATGGAAAAGAGTGTTACTGAAGATGTTGATGAGAAGGCAGTCAATAGTGTACTGAAGGCAGTCTAATAGTGTTACTGAAGGCAGTCAATAGTGTTACTGAAGGTAGTCTAATAGTGTCACTGAAGGCAGTCAATAGTGTTACTGAAGGCAGTCAATAGTGTTACTGAAGGCAGTCAATAGTGTTACTGAAGGCAGTCAATACTGTTTCTGAAGGCAGTCAATACTGTTACTGAAGGCAGTCAATAGTGTTACTGAAGGCAGTCAATAGTGTTACTGAAGGCAGTCAGTAGTGTTACTGAAGGCAGTCAATAGTGTTACTGAAGGTAGTCAATAGTGTTACTGAAGGCAGTCTAATAGTGTTACTGAAGGCAGTCAATAGTGTTACTGAAGGCAGTCAATAGTGTTACTGAAGGCAGTCAATAGTGTTACTGAAGGCAGTCAATAATAGTGTTACTGAAGGCAGTCAATAGTGTTACTGAAGGCAGTCAGTAGTGTTACTGAAGGCAGTCTAATAGTGTTACTGAAGGCAGTCAATAGTGTTACTGAAGGCAGTCTAATTGTGTCACTGAAGGCAGTCTAATAGTGTTACTGAAGGCAGTCTAATAGTGTTACTGAAGGCAGTCAGTAGTGTTACTGAAGGCAGTCAATAGTGTTACTGAAGGTAGTCAATACTGAAGGCAGTCAGTAGTGTTACTGAAGGCAGTCTTATAGTGTTACTGAAGGCAGTCAGTAGTGTTACTGAAGGCAGTCAGTAGTGTTACTGAAGGCAGTCAATAGTGTTACTGAAGGCAGTCAATAGTGTTACTGAAGGCAGTCAATAGTGTTACTGAAGGCAGTCAATAGTGTTACTGAAGGCAGTCAAATAGTGTTACTGAAGGCAGTCAATAGTGTTACTGAAGGCAGTCAATAGTGTTACTGAAGGCAGTCATTAGTGTTACTGAAGGCAGTCAGTAGTGTTACTGAAGGCAGTCTTATAGTGTTACTGAAGGCAGTCAGTAGTGTTACTGAAGGCAGTCTTATAGTGTTACTGAAGGCAGTCAATAGTGTTACTGAAGGCAGTCTAATTGTGTCACTGAAGGCAGTCTAATAGTGTTACTGAAGGCAGTCTAATTGTGTCACTGAAGGCAGTCTAATAGTGTTACTGAAGGCAGTCAATAGTGTTACTGAAGGCAGTCTTATAGTGTTACTGAAGGCAGTCAATAGTGTTACTGAAGGCAGTCAATAGTGTTACTGAAGGCAGTCAGTAGTGTTACTGAAGGCAGTCTAATAGTGTTACTGAAGGCAGTCTAATAGTGTTACTGAAGGCAGTCTAATAGTGTTACTGAAGGCAGTCAGTAGTGTTACTGAAGGCAGTCTTATAGTGTTACTGAAGGCAGTCAATAGTGTTACTGAAGGCAGTCAATAGTGTTAGTGTTACTGAAGGCAGTCTAATAGTGTTACTGAAGGCAGTCAATAGTGTTACTGAAGGCAGTCAGTAGTGTTACTGAAGGCAGTCTAATAGTGTTACTGAAGGCAGTCAATAGTGTTACTGAAGGTAGTCAATAGTGTTACTGAAGGCAGTCTTATAGTGTTACTGAAGGCAGTCAATAGTGTTACTGAAGGCAGTCTTATAGTGTTACTGAAGGCAGTCAATAGTGTTACTGAAGGCAGTCTAATAGTGTTACTGAAGGTAGTCAATAGTGTTACTGAAGGTAGTTATTAGTGTTACTGTAGGCAGTCTAATAGTGTTACTGAAGGCAGTCAGTAGTGTTACTGAAGGCAGTCTAATAGTGTTACTGAAGGCAGTCAATAGTGTTACTGAAGGCAGTCAATACTGTTACTGAAGGCAGTCAATAGTGTTACTGAAGGCAGTCAATACTGTTACTGAAGGCAGTCAATAGTGTTACTGAAGGCAGTCAATAGTGTTACTGAAGGCAGTCAATAGTGTTACTGAAGTCAGTCTAATAGTGTCACTGAAGGCAGTCATTAGTGTTACTGAAGGCAGTCAGTAGTGTTACTGAAGGTAGTCAGTAGTGTTACTGAAGGCAGTCTGATAGTGTTACTGAAGGCAGTCAGTAGTGTTACTGATGACAGTCTAATAGTGTTACTGAAGGCAGTCTTATAGTGTTACTGAAGGCAGTCAATAGTGTCACTGAAGGCAGTCAATAGTGTCACTGAAGGTAGTCTCAATAGTGTCACTGAAGGCAGTCTAATAGTGTTACTGAAGGCAGTCAATAGTGTTACTGAAGGCAGTCAGTAGTGTTACTGAAGGCAGTCTAATAGTGTTACTGAAGGCAGTCAATAGTGTTACTGAAGGCAGTCTAATAGTGTTACTGAAGGCAGTCAGTGTTACTGAAGGCAGTCTAATTGTAGTGTTACTGAAGGCAGTCAGTAGTGTTACTGAAGGCAGTCAATAGTGTTACTGAAGGCAGTCAATAGTGTTACTGAAGGCAGTCAATAGTGTTACTGAAGGCAGTCTAATAGTGTTACTGAAGGCAGTCTAATAGTGTAGTGTTACTGAAGGCAGTCAGTAGTGTTACTGAAGGCAGTCTTATAGTGTTACTGAAGGCAGTCAGTAGTGTTACTGAAGGCAGTCAATAGTGTTACTGAAGGCAGTCAATAGTGTCACTGAAGGCAGTCTAATAGTGTTACTGAAGGCAGTCAATAGTGTTACTGAAGGCAGTCTAATTGTGTCACTGAAGGCAGTCTAATTGTGTCACTGAAGGCAGTCTAATAGTGTTACTGAAGGCAGTCAATAGTGTTACTGAAGGTAGTCAATAGTGTTACTGAAGGCAGTCATTAGTGTTACTGAAGGCAGTCAATAGTGTTACTGAAGGCAGTCAATAGTGTTACTGAAGGCAGTCAATAGTGTTACTGAAGGCAGTCAATAGTGTTACTGAAGGCAGTCAGTAGTGTTACTGAAGGCAGTCAATAGTGTTACTGAAGGCAGTCAATAGTGTTACTGAAGGCAGTCAATAGTGTTACTGAAGGTAGTCAATAGTGTTACTGAAGGCAGTCAATAGTGTTACTGAAGGCAGTCAATAGTGTTACTGAAGGTAGTCAATAGTGTTACTGAAGGCAGTCAATAGTGTTACTGAAGGCAGTCATTAGTGTTACTGAAGGCAGTCTAATAGTGTTACTGAAGGCAGTCAATAGTGTTACTGAAGGCAGTCAATAGTGTTACTGAAGGTAGTCCAATAGCGTCACTGAAGGTAGTTATTAGTGTTACTGAAGACAGTCTAATAGTGTTACTGAAGGTAGTCATTAGTGTTACTGAAGGCAGTCTAATTGTGTTACTGAAGGCAGTCAGTAGTGTTACTGAAGGTAGTCAGTAGTGTTACTGAAGGCAGTCTGATAGTGTTACTGAAGGCAGTCAATAGTGTTACTGAAGGCAGTCAATACTGTTACTGAAGGCAGTCAGTAGTGTTACTGAAGGCAGTCAGTAGTGTTACTGAAGGCAGTCAGTAGTGTTACTGAAGGTAGTTATTAGTGTTACTGATGGCAGTCAGTAGTGTTACTGAAGGTAGTCATTAGTGTTACTGAAGGCTGTCAATACTGTTACTGAAGGCAGTCAATAGTGTTACTGAAGGACAACTTATAAGTCACTGAAGGCAGTTTTTAGTGTCTCTGAAGGCAGTCCAATAGTGTACACCTGAAGAGTCATTTGTTTTTGTTACTGAAGGCAGTCACCATAGTTACCACTGAGGAGTTCAACTACAGATTTAGTGCAGATTTATGCCATAACATCACAACGCAAAAGTCTACGTCTGTTTTTGTGGGCCTTAATAATTTAGAAATAAATAATATGTTAAAAGTTAATGATAATAAAATGAAATAATTTCATTAAAGCTGCTACCTTTCTTATTCATGGATTTATTTATTTTATACAGGATAAGTAGGGAGTTCCTATCCAATATGTGTTTATTCTGTGTTAAACAGGCAAACTTACCCTGCTACAAAAGTTGGGTGAGAATTTGATGATGCCAGTTTATGGTATTCAAAGAACCAGCACTACACCTAGGGATTCCATCCACAGTGTTGCAAGGTAATCAATTCTCACTTCCGTTTTTGTTAAAAGTTTGTCTTTTGTAATTGATTCTCACATCGCACAGTTAATTATCCTATAGGTATTTACATTTTACATGGATATGTATTAGTGCTCATTAAAAGCCTCTTTTTTCCCCCCTTTTATAAAAAAACCAAAATAACAAAACAAAAAAAAAACAAAAACTCAGTTCTGCTTATGGTAAAATCATAATATTTGTGGGTGATTTATTTTCGTTTAATTTGTGGGTACTTCATATCCATGAATTCATTTGTCCAGAAAATAAAGAATGAATGAAAATTGACATTACTAGCAGATTTGGTTGGGCAAGATTTTACCACCAAGGCAAAGTGCCAAAGAAAAAAGCATTTTGGAAAACCACAAATTCAAGTCGCACAAAAATACATAATTTTACAATATCTTAAATAGAAAATAAAATTCAATCTAAAATAATCATTTAACAAGCTTTAAAAATTTGCTTTATGTTTAGTAGAGTTTTTGTTGGTAAAATACTAGCCGCAATATACCCCTCGGCTAGAGAGAACTTCTCTTTAGCTCTATTGGTTGAGTGTCAGACTAGTAAGCCAGGGGTCCCGAGTTCGACTCCTAGCGGAGGCATTGAGATGAAAAATGACCTCTGTCACATTTGCTTTTCCAGATTTTTAAAGATCACTTTTTTGGTTAATCTTTGGCTTACAGTTCATATAACAATACATATTCTTGTTTTAACCTCAATAGCCTCTGAAGAGCATGTGACTTTATGCTGTCACATAGTATTTATCATCTCTCTTGTTTGTTGTTATTATTGTTATTTTAACAATCTTAATGGCATATCAACACATAAACGATCATTAGGGCCATCAACCGGTGAGAGACCCAATGATTCAAAGGAAATGACATCAGACGAACTAAAAGGTATAAGACGAATGCTAAAAATCTTAAATGGTTATATTATCACAAAAGATTAAAGTGGTAGGTCATCTCTTGTCTGGCATAGCTTTAAAGTAATATTCCATAGAATATTTTACCACATTTTGAAATGCAACTTTCTTCTGTTTTTATATGTTCACTGTTAAAAGTTAGATTCAGTCATTTAGTTTAGATATTAAACTGTTTATATCTTCTATAAGAAGATATTTTCATAACAAAAATTATATATATAGGCACGCCCCAGTTGTCTGTTTGATGGAAAGGAAGCCAAATGTAAAGTGTAACCAAAGACACTGAACTGGTAGGATATCATGTCATATGCTTATTCTATATCATGCCGATCTGCCCACCTCTTGTGTTTTGTGCACATTTTCAATGTGTATGGTAATGATTCAGCTCTTCCCTCTTCTTACTGGATTTACTCAGCAAGTCCTGAGTGGAGATGTGTGTTAGTTCTGCAGGTGTGTTTTAGTTCTTGAACTTAAGCAAAGGACTAATGTTCATATATGGAGTGAATAAGGTAGAGGTATAAGTGCTAAGTCCCTCTGTGACCCTTACTTATCGGTGCTATCAGTACTACCTGAATCGTTTACCTTTACAGCTACTACCTGAACGCAATTCAGATGATGGATGTGAGGAATGATCATTACATCATTGGATACTCCTTTGGAGCTATTGTTGCCATAGAGATGGCCATACAGATTCAGACTTCTGGTAGAAAGGTATTTTACTTTTTTGGCTCTCGTAAATTATATACCATAATGTAATCTCATCATGAACCATACATCGGAATCAATCTGCCTGGGTTTTAATTGTGGCCAAAATCCATTGACTGAAGTTGACACATACCGAAATTCTTCCAGAAAGTAAATGTGTTTAACATATTTTTGCACAGGTAGCTGATCTGATACTGCTGGATGGAGCCCCAAATCTTCTTCAGAGTCAGATGCAGGACAATGAACAGATGAGGTCAAAGGGGAAAACAGATGATCAGGTGAGGTCAAAGTGGAAAACTGATGATCAGGTGTGGTCAAAGGGGAACACTGATGATCAGATGAGGTCAAAGGGGGAAACAGATGATCAGGTGAGGTCAAAGGAGTAAACAAATGATCAGGTGAGGTCAAAGGGGAAAACAGATGATCAGGTGAGGTCAAAGGGGAAAATGCAAGATCAGGTGAGGTCAAATGGGAAAACAAATGATCAGGTGAGGTCAAAGTGGAAAACATATGAGTAGGTAAGGGCAAGGGGAAAACGAATGATCAGGTGAAGAAAAAGGTGAAAATGCAAGATCAGGTGAGGTTAAGGGGAAATGATATGACCAGGTGAGAACAAAGCAAAAAGTTCAAGTATGAACATTTAACAAACAATTACAGGTGTGGTGAAGGGGCAACAAAAATGATCAGCTGAGGTCAAAATACAACACATGGTGAGGTAAAGTCAAAGGGAATGGGGAATGATCAGGTAAGGTTAGGTAGGAGCAATAAATATCAGATAAGGTCAAAGAGTCTGAGCAAACAAAGGCAGCAAAAAACATTACCTAGCATGTCCAATGCTACACAAATTATCAAGACAGGTCATAGTTCCTGCATTTAAGGTCCCAGGTCAAGGCAGATCATCATTTGCAGTGGCCAGGACACGGCAGATGATTAAATACCTTGTAAAGAGAGATTAGATTTGGTTTGTTAAATTGAGTTGATAATGCTAACAAAATCAGTTAGATAGCAGAGGTGACAAGTGTGTAGATCTTGATTGACAAAATTCTGAATACAACTAGAGATAACTGGGTTGTTTAGAGTTAAATTATACTCCAGCTTAGCTGAAGGAACTGGGGCTAAATAGTAATCACTTTGTTCAAGATATCTCAAGAATCCAACCCCATAACAAATGTAGTTAACTGTAACAAGATCAGGGGTTGGGGGTATATCTATCTCAACACCTGCACAGGTTTTGATTATCAAACTGGGTCCGTTTGTCTGTACATTTATTCAGAGGTGATTTTGGAGCATATCTCCTAAACCGTTCAAGCTAATTTCACAAAACTTTCTACCTACATAAATGAAGTGGTCTAGTAATACCTTTAGTTATGGAGCGGTTTTGTTTTCAGTCTTTTCATAGTTTATGTGAAATCAAATGTTCTGGGCTTTCTGTTGTAGAAATCAGCAATGTTTGAAGTGGGCAGCCTGGGGTGGGTTATCTTATGTTCTTGGCTTTCTGTTGTAGATATCAACATTGTTTGAAGTGGGCAGCCTGGGGTGGGTTATCTTATGTTTTAGGCTTTCTGTTGTAGATATCAACAATGTTTGAAGTGGGCAGCCTGGGGTGGGTTATCTTATGTTCTTGGCTTTCTGTTGTAGATATCAACATTGTTTGAAGTGGGCAGCCTGGGGTGGGTTATCTTATGTTTTAGGCTTTCTGTTGTAGAAATCAACAATGTTTGAAGTGGGCAGCCTGGGGTGGGTTATCTTATGTTTTAGGCTTTCTGTTGTAGATATCAACAATGTTTGAAGTGGGCAGCCTGGGGTGGGTTATCTTATGTTTTAGGCTTTCTGTTGTAGATATCAACAATGTTTGAAGTGGGCAGCCTGGGGTGGGTTATCTTATGTTTTAGGCTTTCTGTTGTAGATATCAACAATGTTTGAAGTGGGCAGCCTGGGGTGGGTTATCTTATGTTTTAGGCTTTCTGTTGTAGATATCAACAATGTTTGAAGTGGGCAGCCTGGGGTGGGTTATCTTATGTTCTTGGCTTTCTGTTGTAGATATCAACATTGTTTGAGGTGGGCAGTCTGATGAGTTACATGTACATGTTTAAACGAATAGAGAACCCAGGTCTCATTAAAAATATTCTGGCAAATCTACCAACCAAGCAAGCACGCATTGATATGGCTGTAGATGTTACGTTTGGAAATGTTGATATAGGGTAGGTAACTCTGTATAAGGCCCAGTTATGATATTTCTCTGAAACATCCACTTTTTGTAACATAATTTACATTGTACAAGTAATGTCACTCTAACAATATTGGAAGGGATTGAATTTTTTTTTCATTAGTCACTAGCCATACGTCCATACGTATGACATTTTTTGTGACCATATTATCCTCTTCCAATTTTGTTAGAGAATATTCCTTGTCTCTTAAAGAAGTTTGTTCCTTATTGGAGTTATTGCCTTTTGTTTAATTTTGATAATCAGCACTAACTCTTACATGATTTTTTTAGTGGAGTCACCTTGATACCTACTATGAGTAGATGGCACCTGATTCCTCATAAGAATTTCATACATATTCATGAGATATTTTAGGTGAAACTCTCTTATGTAGTACACCTTGCCAATCATTTTAAAGAGTTGTTGCCCTTCTATTTTCCTTGTCAACTGTCAATCAGAATTTTAAACAACATAATATAGATTTTTGTCCTAAGGTAATGATTTTTTTCCTGTTTATATTTTTAACCCATCATCAGGCTATATAAATGTTCAGATGTCTGTGGTGTATGGTCAGTCCATTCATTTACCTGTCCATCAACAATCCTTTTTTATTGCTCTTTCTTGAGTAGTGCTGGATGATACTTTTACATATTTCATAAGTAGTTTTTCCTTTGTCCCTTGTTACGTCCCATCAGTTTTGGAACTGATCAGAAAAACAAAATGGCTAACAGGTTGCCATCTTGGATTTTGGCAGTAAAAGTTTGTTATTGCTATTTATCAGGATTACTGAATGGATCTTAAATTTCGTATTTAGGTTCCCTCTTGATCCCTAGTTGTGCTTATTTGGACTGATGAGATTCAAAAAGTACAAACAGATGGCTCTCTTGGATTTGGCAGTTAAAGATTATTATCACTATTTCTCAATTTTCAAATTTCTTACAATCAAGATCAAAAACAGAGGAAAGAAGAGAAAAGTAGGGGAAAGAACCAACTTTTAGAGAAACTATATAGACTAGACAGTGGTTGGTGCCAAGATCCCTTTCTTCAAACAACTTCTTCTCAATAACCAATGGACCAAATGTTTTTATAGTTGGCTGGTATTTTCTTTGATGAAGCCTATCAAAGTTTGCCAAGATAAATTACCTTGACGTATATCTAAAGTCACTGGGGTCAGATTTCTTAAAAACTTTGAATGACCTCTTCTCAAGAACAAAAAGGCCTAGGTACAGGATATTTGGGTGGTATGTTCCTAGAATGCAGCCAAACAAAGTTTGTGAAAAGAAATGACCTTGACCTATATTCAAGATCACAGGTATCAAATTTGTTAACACATTTAAACAACTTCTCATTAACTTAAAGGTCTAGAGGCAAGATATTTGGATGGTATGTTCCCAGGATGCAGCTCAACAAATTTTGCAAAAAGAAATGACCTTGACTCGTATTCAAAGTCACAGGGGTCAGATTTGCTGGTGTATATATATACACCAGGTGAGGGCTGCAGGCCCATTGGGCCTCTTGCTTATTTTCAAAGTAACTCAAACAAGAATGGCAATAGAGATTACTTTCAAAGAATTCCTTTTTCATTGTACACTTGAGCATTTTTTTATCTACTACAGCCACTGTAGTCATCCCCTTGCAATGAATGTCATAGGGGATTTAGGGATGTTTTCATAGGTACATAATAGCATTCTCGTGGCTTCATCCCTTTAGAGATTTTGATCAAACATCTTGCACTTATAAAGATCATAAAATCTCTTGACAAGTTTGAGTTTCAGGTTTGTATAAAGTCAAGGTCACTGTAAATCTTTAAGAAAAATATTCTTGTTAGCACTCAAGTGCCTTCATTTCTGAACAGATTTTGATCAATCTTCATACACTTACAAGGGACCATAATATCTATAATAATTTTAAGGTAAAGGGTTGAAGGGTCAAGGTCAAAGTCACTATTTTGTGGGGTGTTTAGATCAATCAATTACACCCTTTATCAGCACTTAAGCTGCTTCATTCCTTGGGAGAATTAGCAAAAGTTCAGACAATTAACCATCTTCTTTATTGTGCTTAAGTCAAAGTGGAAAGGACTGTGAGCAGATTTGAATCGTTTGTGATGCCTTGTTGGTATAAACACTTTTTCCCAAACAGCACCAGTCCGAGGCACACAAAGTGGCTTACAGCTAAGCATAAGATTTTGAAGAAGTTGAAGGAGCCAGAAGACCAACCTAAGTATGGAATGGCAGATGCTGCTAAGGAGTTGGTGCGTCTGAAGAGGATTGAGGCAGCCGGAGATCACATCAAGTCCATACAGATGGTATACAACTTCAGGCCTCACCATAACCGGAGATTTGATGGTAAGTCTGTGTATACAACACCATTCCTGGAGATGTGACCAGTATATGTTTACAACATCAGGCCTCACCATAACCGGAGATTTGATGGTAAGTCTGTGTATACAACACCATTCCTGGAGATGTGACCAGTATATATTTACAACATCAGGCCTCACCATAACCGGAGATTTGATGGTAAGTCTGTGTATACAACACCATTCCTGGAGATAGGAACAGTCTATATTTACAACATCAGGCCTCACCATAACCGGAGATTTGATGGTAAGTCTGTGTATACAACACCATTCCTGGAGATAGGAACAGTCTATATTTACAACATCAGGCCTCACCATGAGGTGAGATTTGATGGTAAGTCTGTGTATACAACACCATTCCTGGAGATGTGACCAGTATATATTTACAACATCAGGCCTCACCATAACCGGAGATTTGATGGTAAGTCTGTGTATACAACACCATTCCTGGAGATGTGACTAGTATATATTTACAACTTCAGGCCTCACCATAACCGGAGATTTGATGGTAAGTCTGTATATACAACACCATTCCTGGAGATGTGACCAGTATATATTTACAACATCAGGCCTCACCATGAGGTGAGATTTGATGGTAAGTCTGTGTATACAACACCATTCCTGGAGATGTGACCAGTATATATTTACAACATCAGGCCTCACCATGAGGTGAGATTTGATGGTAAGTCTGTGTATACAACACCATTCCTGGAGATGTGACCAGTATATATTTACAACATCAGGCCTCACCATAACCGGAGATTTGATGGTAAGTCTGTGTATACAACACCATTCCTGGAGATGTGACCAGTATATATTTACAACATCAGGCCTCACCATGAGGTGAGATTTGATGGTAAGTCTGTGTATACAACACCATTCCTGGAGATGTGACCAGTATATATTTACAACATCAGGCCTCACCATGAGGTGAGATTTGATGGTAAGCCTGTACATGGAAATGTTGTGGTGTTACTTGTGCTCACCAGTATAGAAATTTGAATATTAGTTTTGGAATTATATTTGTGGAATGGAAAGAACAGTCCAGACATTTCATATTTTCTTTCATTTAAACTTTGTATGTATCACTGAAATGCAGAACTATGAAGTATTGAAGGACAATGGGCCCAGTGTTATTAATGTAAAAACCTATGTAATTTGTGCAGTTTTTGAGAAAATAAATGTCCAAAGTTGTGTATGTGCACTTACGTAGCTATAGGATTTTCATAGGTTTTTTTTCATGGAAAAATTGAATATTCTGTGGGGCTTCCATCATTGTTTGTCGGGATTATCTGGTACTCAAAATTGAAACAAAAAGTTTCATTTATGAAAAAATGATCGACAAAGACAGTGGTCTGTTTGGGACATTAAAAAATATGTCAATTATAATTTGCTTATCTTTTGAAACACTTACATGTTCAACTGTTAAGAAATTGTCAGGTTTCATTTTATTTTCCTTCATGTCTGATATCATGATGAAGAAGAGCATATATCTGTTTTCATGTGTGTTAGCGTTGACATATTGGTATATAAAGTAAGGATTGATCATCGGACTATGGATTTGATCCATTATTTATCAATATTGATCTTATTGATGCTGACAAACCTTATATTGTTCAATGATTCAGAGGGAATAGTCTTAACGCGATTATCTTATCAAAATGTGAAACAAAACGCTGCTCCTCTTTTTTGACAATACACATTCTGTGTGATTCCATTCCATACTCTGTATACTGATTGCTTACATATACATAGTTGGGGCCACAATTTATATCAGCTGGCGCACGCTCAATGTTACAGCAAGACATGAAAGAAAATTAGATCGCAGAGATCGTATTTACATGGTTTGGTCATTAATAGGAAAATAATGATTTGTATCAGTGATTTTAACACTGAACACTGTTAATAAGGGCTAATATTAAGACAAGTGCTTGGGTACATCAGATGAATAAAGGATAATTAAATAGGTAAGTGAATAACAGCGAGATGTGTCTGAAGTCAAAGAAAACAATCAAGAAGATGCACAAACATTAGGCTATAATTACACGGAAAGTTACATTAAAAGTCAGTAAATGAGATGAAAACAAATTTTGAAGACAATACTTTCAAATTTTAGAGTTTATATCGTTAGTCTTAAGTGTTAGCTGAACATTTGGAGATTGATTTCGGCTCCCGGAGATCAATTTCGGCTCCCGGAGATCGATTTTGACAGAATTTCGGGGTGCGCACATTATGCTAGTAGAAGTATTTTTTTCGGCCCCAAATATTACCTGCACACATTACGTAGGTGCGCACATCATGCTGGTTTATACAGTAATAAAATTTCACCAGAGGTCTTTCAGGTCACAGAATCAAAGCATAGGGACCCAACACTTATGACTTCCGTGAATAAGAACGACTTTCACTTTGGTAGATGGTGGGCTATTCAACTTGCCCTGCATCCATGGTCCCTGGTCCGTGGTCCATCCGTTAACAATTTTTGTTATCGCTATTTCTTCAGAAGTATGTGATGGATCTTTCTTCAATTGGCCCTTAGTTGTGCCCGATAGATTTTGGGACTGATCAGAAAAACAAAATGTCTGACAGACGGCCCTCTTAGATTTTAACTTTGAAAGTTTGTTATCATATTTCTTGAGAACGACAGCATAGATCTTTCTCCAATTTCATGTGTGTGTCTCCCTTGATCCCTAGTTGAGCCTGTTTGATTTTGGTACTTGATCAGAAAAAACAAATTGGCCAACAAGCAGCCATCTTGGATTTTGACTGCGAAAGTTTGTTATCACAATTTCTTAATAAGAACTGTATAGATTTTTCCCAAATTTCATGTATAGGTTCCCCTTGAACCCTTGTTGTGCCAGTTTGTATTTAGGACTGATCAGAAAAAGAAAACGGCTGACAGACAGCCATCTTGGGTTTTGCTTAGTTAAGATAGTTATCCCAATTTCTTAAGAAGTACTGAATGGATATCTCTCATATTTCATACATGTGTTCCCTTTGGTATCCACTTGTGCCCATTTGATTTTGGGACTGGTCAGAAGAAATGAAATTGGTTTCAGATGGCTATTTTGGATTTGGCAGGTAAAGATTATCATTACAATTTCTACAAAGGAATGTCTTATCATAAAGAGCGAAAACAGAGAAAAGAAGGGGAAAGATCCAACTTTCAAAGACCAAATAAAGATCAAACAATGGTGGGCGCCAAGATTCCTCTGGGCTCTCTTGTATTGCATATACAATTATTCATAAAAATATACACAATTAGGCAATAAAATACATTTATAAATACAGTAGAGACTACAAATACAATACATTCTGAAAACAACTAATTAAAGCATACGGACATTTTTAACAGGCAAAAATAAATAAATTCTAGTGAGGTTGGTGAGTTGATCAGTCCAGATAACTTGTAACCCAGATGATCTTGATCGGGAATATTACACACACGTACAAACTGTTGAGTCCCTGTGCTATGAAGGAGTCACTAATTGCAAAACTGTCAAATAACTTTGGTGTCCATTATTAAATTCTTTTTTTGCTGAATGGCTAGGACAGAGGGACACCTATCCAATGAGCCTGCTGACGAAAGGTCAGGAAATAAAGGTCTTTATTTGTGATTATTTTTGTACATCAAGGCCTCATCATAGCTCAATTTTCTTTGATCCTGATTCAGTAAAGACAAGTCTATTTGTAGAGAACATCCACGTATATAATTTGGTCTTCAGTGTCAGATTTCTCCGGAAATTACATGTAACTTTGTGTAGTACATTAGTGAGCGATCACATGACTTTCACTTGAAATCAATGCTGCAATAGCTATATTGTGAGATTTTCATTGCTCTTCAGCTATGTCTGTACCTCTCAAATCCTTACTTAGAGGTTGGTAAGCACTTCTGTGTCTAGTGTTACATTGTAATATTAACCTTGTACTATTGATCTGTTTTGTCTGTCTGCATCATCCTGGATGTGGGAAATTTTGATAGGTCTGTCAATGATTTTGATGGGAAGTATTATGGTATCGCTTGTCTGTCTGTTGTTGACTCTTACTTGTCCGCAGATCATCTTCCAACAGTTTCTGACTGAGGTCTTTTAAACTTGGTAGGCTTATTCACCACTCCGTGAAGAGGTGCTTTCTTGAATGCCAGTTTGATTTACCTGTATTTTGAAGAGTTACCTCCTCCTTGTTGTTTTCATAATGTTAATCTTGTCCAGAGATTCCCTCCATCAACTGATTTCTTTATTTTTTTTTTAGGCTTATGATCAAGTTCTATAAAATGGTAGTTGGATTCCATTGTGTTTGGAAGAGTGATACTGTTATGATGTTATCGTTATCTAAATAATCTATATCATGTCTAGAGATCTCCTATTGTAGGAATGACAGGTACTAGTCCAAATTTAATAACTAGCATCCTTGGGGGAAGGGGAATCTATATTTCATCAATGGAAAATAAAACATATTCCTTAAAATTCTTCTTCTGTAAGAATAATAGGATTTTATCCAAATTTAGTCAGAAGCATCTTTGGGGAAAGGGGAAGAAATTTTGTCTGAGATTGGTCGTGCTCCCCTGGAGCCTGAGGGGCAGGGGCTAATTGAGGATACATTTTATTTTAAATATTCTGTACTTTGAAGGGATGGCAAAATGTTGTTGAAATTTGTTTAAAAGCATCCTTAGATGGATGGAAGGGGGTGTTTATATGAACAGTTTGGCTGCACCATCCTGTCACATTTCGATTCAATGTTAAATCTTGAGATCCTCTGAAGACTTTTTTTTTTACATATTTACCGAGTAATATGTTAACATCAAATTCTACATCTGATCAGCTAGTTTGCAAGGAACTCAGGCATTTGTCATATAGATATCATCTTGTTGTATTTGTACAGTACCTTTTATTAATAGAGCTATTTTTGTAATAATATATATAAAATTTTACCCGGCACAAGATTGCTAATGCACTAAAAATGGCCAAAAGTGCGGGGTTGGGCTTATCCCTGGAATAATTATTGAAAATTATTTGCAAGAAGGAAAAGTTTGGCTGCCATTTTGGATTATAATATGGATGATAATCACCAAATCCTTGTCAGTACGTATTAAATGCATTAAATGCAATAAATGCAATACAGAAACCTATGGTTTTGTTCATTCAGATCTTGGCATCAGATAACAGAAAAGTACAGGTTTAAATCTTGTGTTTCAAGGTGTAGCAGTGTTGAAAATTGCAGAGTAAAAATACCAACAATACATCATGTAGAGTTCTTCCTAGTTATGATGTGGACATAAGTGGATTTTTCCCTGTAATTATACATCAGTAGTATTAACAATTAGAATGGCCTACATTCAAATATCAATATATATACAGCACAATGTTTAGATTTAAAATGTATAACCAGTTGTGTTAACTCAGTCTTATGTGCCCTAATATGCATCTGCATCTAAATCAGATTATATTTAGGGAAGTTAGAGCACAGAAATGAACCGACAAATGAAATCAAAGGATGCCTCATTAGTATGTATAATTATGAACAGATGACACTGATAGTCAAACTCAGTCTTAATGACCCCAAGATGCATCTGATGACCAAGTTTCACCGAAATTGGATGATATTTGGGGAAGTTAGAACACGGAAGCGAAAGTGTGACAGACAGACAGACGGACGGACGGACAAACCCAAATTAATATCCCCTGTTTCGGTGAAAGAACATCTATTTATAGATTTTTTTGTATTGATAGGCAACATTTACCTACTGCGTATCAAGTCAGATCCTCAGTTCCTGACTCGTCATCTGTCGCCGGATTATGACCTCCATGACTGGTGTACTGGCAAGGTCAAGATCAAGTTCTACGATGGCACGCATGAAAGTTTCCTCAGTGGCATCAATGCTCCGACTGTAGCTAAGGACATCACAGAGATTCTCTCCAAATTGTGAAATAATGTAGCACTACCAAAAACTGTTGTACCATAGTAACCTTTTAAACTTTTCTGGTTGTGGTACCAGAAAGTGAGCCCTTAAATCACAGATAAAGATAGTATCGCATTTGTTTTGTCAGACATCTTTCCAGTCATCGAATAAACATAACGGTTCTTTGAAGGATATGACAAAGACAGGAACAAGTGCTGATAAATGTGTGAGTCGGGCAATGTGAGGCTTTTCAGAAATTAGAAACTGAAGCAGAAATGTTCCTGAGATGTGTTCTGAACTTTTCTCTGTGACATTGGTTTATATCATTATTGAATTTGAAAGTTTAATGAACTACGGAGGATATATTGATATTATGTCTGATAAACATTCTTCAAGACAGTATTGCAGTGATCACTAATTTTTATTGAGAAGATACTCAATGAGATGTCATTCATTTTAAAATCTCGATAAACTCCTTGAAAATTTCAGGCATGTATATATGAACAGCATAAAATTGTCCGATACATATATATATGTGATGCTCGTAGATAATATCGGATAATATCAGACTTCAGATTTTACCATTCTGATATTTTTCCGTATAACTTTCAATATTGAATGTGATATCAAAGGTAATTTCATGGTATTTAAGTTTGATGTGAAGATAGCAATGTCAATTATATGTATTACATGGCAATATTATTAATGTGTTTATATCCACCCACTGTTTGGGAGTGTCGTCTTCCTGATGTCTCCAGGCATAAAGAACTGTAACCATCTTTATATATTACACCATATACTACATACAAATATATATATATTTGTTTAAATGAGATTGATATGCAGTTATATATTTGTATATTGTGACTATTTTCTACCTTTCTATACTTTTTCGGATTTTTTATATATATATATATATATACCTTTTGTTTACATTTGTTGATAATTTTGTGTTTAAGTTACTTGTTATACATTAAAAATATGTTGTAAAAATCTCTGAACTTTCTTTGTTATTGTTAAACCAAAAAATTGTTTTCAAGCCTAAAGTAAGGTATATTTAACAGATATAAACTGATGAACATTTGGAAGGTGATTTTTATCTGTCTATTTGTCCGTATTTCAATCTGTCTATTTAGTCACCTTGTTTTGCAATGTTTTACTACCCACAAGTCAACATTCTTCTTCTAGTCGAAACATATGTACCAAATTACGACAGGCCATGATAGGAAAAATGATATTCAACATCATGGTTATCACTACACATTTATACAAAACAAACAAGTGACTTTATGTCGAAAACATGATGTATAAATGTCATGTAATTTATCAGACTTAATTGTCAAAGGACCCGACATTATCTACAGTAGGTATGATCACACAAATCAATAAGATTTTCTCATGTCTCAAATGGATGGTCTAGCTGGATGCAATTTTGTCAAGTAAAACGCAATTAAAAACTTGATTCCTCTGGCAGTGTTCTTTGCAATAAAACGGTAAATACTATTATTCCTATACACATCAGTTTGTGTGAGCTGGTTTAGCAAGTATTTCAAGATCAGTTACTGTTAATCTAAAGCTTTATACTATTGATGTACAGCACCAATGTTGAATTGTGATGATCCTCTTTAAGGTGTTTTACTACACACCCATGTACAAGTTACACAATCAATACAACATGCACAATATGGGGACTCCATTTGGGAATACTGGTCCTGTGTTACATTGGTAAAACCTCCCTATCTGTGTAGGATTATACAAGCAAATAGTTACTGCTTTCTGTTTTGGATAGATACAGAATCATCTACTTCAATAATTATATTATACTTTGTGCACCCAGTTTATATTGCTCAGGACACACCTTACTAATGTAAACAACTTAACGTGAAACTAGAGAGGATATGTCGTTACAAGGAAACGAAAATGATCAGGTCATACATGTATGTCTTAATGATGAATCTAACAGAAGAAATCTAATTTGAATATCTTTACGTGCTGCACGTGCATCAATTAATCCCTTTCACGAAGTTTACATATTTAGGAATTCAGTAAGCTCAGTTCTGAGATACAAAGTTTAGTCACTCTTAATCCTTCATCAAACTGTTGGCTTTCAATTTTCTTTTCCGTTTTAGTGTGTGATACTCAATTTGCCTTGGTTATCATTACAGTTAGGCTGCTTGCTAACATATGACACTATTCAGTAGTACCTATGGTACTAGTGACTAGTTCCACTCGTTGAAGAACCAAAGAGTTGAAGGACAAACAGTTCAGAACTACGGAATAATAAGATAAGATGTTTGCACACACACAGTCGGTCTTTATTAGGTAGTCCTCGCCGGTTTATCGCATATTGAAATTTATTGACCACGTCCATCGTATACACTCGTCAGAAATGGAAATCGAGGACACGACGGACTTCGTCAGTCAGTTACCTTAGCTTACAACGAAACCATGCAGGACAGCTTCCACTAAGCTGTGTGAAACGCGTGGGGATTCCAATATTCCTAACGTAAATTTTCCATTTTTGGATAGCAACATCCCTGCATACATGTTTACATGTCGCAGGTGATTCAATATTCAAGTATCTGTTGCAAAGCACAATTTCAGTACAAGATGTCTGTACAAACTCATATCGCAGTGTTTCGAGAGATGTAGGTTGACAGTAATCACGGGGAAGTTTAACGGTCGTCATAGTTAAAATAGAAAGCATGTAGCAGTACACACTGAATAAACATCTACTCTCATTAACACACAAAGTGATTTTATCATTAGTTACGATAACAAAGACCTGCGAGAATAAGGACAGAGTCGTAATGCAATAGACATTTTCAACGGTACGTTTGACTGATTACAAGAAACTCTATTTCACGCCGAACATGATTGCAGAATAGTAGAACATAAAGAAAATCCAGGTTAACATCAAAGTACTCGTTACTTTTATTATTCTTGCTGTATGAAGTTAGACGTGTTTGATGCTCGTTATTTTTCCTGTCGGTTCCGTTGTTGTTTACCTTGTTCTCATTTGGGAACGTGCCCTTTAATTTGTTATAAGATAACAAATGCTACGTGCAGGTTATAGAAATCCCGGACAGGTGACATCATACATTTGCACCTTTTCGTGCGCCTAAGTGAAAGGTGAGTGCGTTACCATTGCGCCATTCGACCACCCAATGGCGCGAATTAGCACCCTAGCATTTAGGTCAATTCAGAATGAAGACATTGAAATGCCACAGCAATTTCATTCGTTATATCGCACAGCTACCGTCTCCCACGTGGATTTGCTCCGCCTGAGGCTTATGTATAAATTCACCAATAATGTCTATGGACTTTCATATTTTGATAATTGCAAGCATAAATGCTAATGTGAACACGACAATGTCCTTATATATACCATAAGCTTTGTAGTAAACATGTCATGTTACAGTTGACATCGTCAGAATTCAAACTAACGGCATAGCTATACGCCATAAAAATCCAGCGTTACTATGGAGATGTCATGAGCCGGTAATGAAATCAAAAGTGTTTTGAATTTGAGCCGCCGTTAGTGGCGATATAAGACTACTATTGATTGCAGATAGGTTTTAATATAATGCAAGTTCTACTGGTGTCGGACACACCCATCTGTACATAGGAATGGCAGCCATGTATTCGTCAAGCTTGAGGAATAGGCCTTAAGGTAGGTCACATGTTACCCCAGACTGTTTTCGTTTTCTTTTATCAAGTCAGACAAAATAACAAAGGATCGTTTTGATTATGATTGACTTTTTAAAAATAAATTCCTTCATTTTCTATTGTACTTATCGCTAATACAAATCATATTGTACTGTTACAAACCATATTGTACTGTTACTAGTCATATGGTACTGTTACAAGTCATATGGTACTGTTACAAATCATTGTTACAAATCATATTGTATTTTTACAAATCATATTGTATTGTTGCAAACCATATTGTACTGTTACAAATCATATTGTATTGTTACAAACCATATTTTACTGTTACAAACCATATTGTACTGTTACAAACCATATTGTACTGTTACAAGTCACGTGGTACTGTTACAAACCATATTGTACTGTTACAAATCATATTGTACTGTTACAAATCATATTGTACTGTTACAAGTCACGTGGTACTGTTACAAACCATATTGTACTGTTACAAACCATATTGTACTGTTACAAATCATATTGTACTGTTACAAACCATATTGTACTGTTACAAATCATATTGTACTGTTACAAGTCATATTGTACGTACAAACCATATTGTACTGTTACAAACATAATCATTGTTACAAATCATATATTGTACTGTTACAAATCATATTGTACAACAAACCATCATATTGTACTTTACAAATCATATTGTTGTTACAAACCATATTGTACTGTTACAAATCATATTGTACTGTTACAAGTTACAAACCATATTATTATTACACAAACCATATTGTACTGTTACAAGTATTGTACTGTTACAAACCATATTGTACTGTTACAAACCATATTGTACTGTTACAAACCATATTATATTGTTACAAATTATATTGTACTGTAACAAACCATTTTGTAACCATTTTGTACTGTTACAAACCATATTGTACTGTTACAAATCATATTGTACTGTTACAAACCATATTGTACTGTTACAAATCATATTGTACTGTTACAAGTCACGTGGTACTGTTACAAACCATATTGTACTGTTACAAATCATATTGTTACAAGTCACGTGGTACAAACCATATTGTGTACTGTTACAAACCATATTGTACTGTTACAAGTCATTGTACACAAACCATATTGTATTGTACTGTTACAAATATTGTACCATATTGTACTGTTACAAGTCATATTGTACTGTTACAAGTCATATTGTACTGTTACAAGTCACGTGGTACTGTTACAAACCATATTGTACTGTTACAAACCATATTGTACTGTTACAAACCATATTGTACTGTTACAAGTCACGTGGTACTGTTACAAACCATATTGTACTGTTACAAACCATATTATATTGTTAC